ATTCTTTAACTTGATAAAAAACAAAAAGAGGTAACGACATTACCTTAAGGTCCTCATTAGATTGTTGTTGCCATCTTGAATAAAAAAAGGAAACGCCAAGTTCAAACAGATAGACTAGTTGCTATAGTACCTAATAGCATAAAACATAAAAAAAGTAAATAGCTATTAGTATTCTTTTACTTTATATAAAAAAAAAAGCTAACTCCATTACCTTCCAGTCACGACATTCCTTTACCATCACCAACATGAATAAAACAAAAGGAGGTAAACACCACGTTTAATAGATAGAATAGTTACTACAGTGTAAGTAAAATAAAAAAAAAAAAAAAAAAGTAAATAGTTAGTCATATTCTTTTACTTTATATAAAAAAAAGCAAGTCCGTTACCTTAAGGTCAACTTGAGATCTCTTTGACATGACCAACATGAATAAAACAAAAGAAGGTAAGCACCACTTTTAACGCGTAAAGTAGTTGCTATAATATAAATAAAATAAAAAAGAAAAAGAAAAAGAAAAAGGTTAGTAGTATTCTTTTACTTTATAAAAAAAAAAAAAAAAAAAAAAAGTAACTCCGTTACCTTAAGGTCACCACAAGATCTCTTTGACATCACCAACATGAATAAAAACAAAAAGAGTTAAACACCACTTTTAACACATAAACTAGTTATTACAATATAAATAAAATAAAAAAAGTAAACAGTTAGTAGTATTCTTTTACTTTATATAAAAAAAAAGTTAACTCCATTACCTTTTGGTCATCATAGATCCCCTTGTCATCATCAACATGAATAAAACAAAAAGAGGTAACCACCATGTTTAACAGATAGAATAGTTGCTATAATATAAATAATAATAATAATAATAATAATAATAATAATAATAAAAAAGAAAAAGAAAAAGGTTAATAATATTCCTTTACTTATAAAAAAAAAAAAAAAGTAAACTCCGTCACCTTAAAGCCAACATAAGATCTCTTTACCATCACCAACATGAATAAAACAAAAAAAGGTAACCACCACTTTTAACACATAGAATAGTCTCTACAATATAAATAAAATAAAATAAAGTAAATAGTTAGTCATATTCTTTCACTTTATATAAAAAAAAAAAGTCAAGTCCATCACCTTCCAGTCACCACATCCCCTTTCTCATTACCAACATCAATAAAACAAAAAAAAAAACGTAAACGCCACTTTTAACACATAAACTAATTCCTATAACATAAAATAAATAAAATAAAATAAATACTTGCTCATATTATTTAACTTAAATAAAAAAAGAAATGTCAATCAATCATTACCTACTGTCATATGAGATGACATGACTTTTTTTTTTTTTTTTTTGTCATCACTACTACTTACTGTATTGACATTGTTGCTAATGAATAAAACTAAAGCAATACAATATATAAAATAAAATAAAATAAAATGAAGATATAAAATAATAAAATAAATATATATTCAATAAGATAATAAAAAAAAAGGAAAAAGAAAGGTAGAATATAAAAAAATGGCCACCCAGTTCATCCCCCCCCCCCTTTTTTTTTTTGCTCACATCTCTCAAAATAACTTGTTCATATCCCCCCCATCCATGCCCTTTTTTTTCTTCAATCATCAACTAACAACTCTTTTATACATCTATCAATTCAATATCAATCATTCTATACCCCCTCTCCAATCCAAATAACAATCATTAAAATAAAATCAATTATATATACTTCATAACATCAACAATATCAACCCATCATTAAACAATATTAAATAAATAACAACATCATGCCTATTAAACAAAGGGGCTAAGCGTGACTTTTTCTTTGTCATATGTGAAATAAGTGAAGTAAAAAAAAAAAAGAAAGAAAATAAAAAAGGGGCTAAAACGCGACTTTTTCTTTGTCATATGTGAAATAAGTGAAGTAAAAAAAAAAAAAGAAAGAAAATAAAAAAGGGGCTAAAACGCGACTTTTTTTTTCTCAGACCGTGTGCCTTTTTTTTTTTTTTTTTTTTACTCTTAAAATCATGCATCAGAATCGGAGTCATCGTCTGAACAACGTGTCACTTTACGTCATATTGCCATTTAAGGTTATTCTTTTTAATGCTCATATTAACAATATACTATATAAAATCGATCAAATAGAAAAGTATTCATAATGGATTTATCATCAATAATAATCATCATCATCGTCATCATCGATAATCAATTGATTTTTCACATGTGTTGACTTTGAGTGGAAAAACAAAAGTAAATGTCCTATAGACCTTTTACTATGAGTTGAAGTTTTTTTTTCTTTTTAATGCAATAATGTATATTTTCTTTATTTTTTTTATTTGAATATAAAGAAAGATCATACAACAAGCATATAACATTGTTTTTTATGGGTGACTCGGAAAGATAAAGATGGATGATGTTTTTTTCTATTCATTTTTATTATTTACTAGAAATGGTAATTTTTAGAGTATGTACCTAAAAATAAAAATCCAGTTTGTTGGATAGATGGAGATCGGGCCGATTCCGATGATCATGGTTTCTTAAAAAGGAGGAAGATGACAGTAAATGATCATGCGACTTGCTTATCTCTCTACTGCAAAAAAGGAAAAAGAAAAAAAAAAGACTTTTTTATGCCATCCATCATACACAAGCAGTATCAAGATTCTAATCATAATACATATATAGAAAAATAGGATAATAAAAAGAATAAAAGGTATGTCTCATATTTTATTCTGTAACCTAACACAGTACTATATAACTATTTCTATCCATTCTATTCCAAGATTGTTTTTACTAATGTTGTAATGTGGTGGATCAGTATCCTTGGGAAAAGTATTAACAAAAAAAAAAAAAAAGATAGAGAAAAAAAAACACGCTACAGTGATAAACAAAAAAAAAAAAAAGATAAAGAAAAAAAAAACACGCTACAATGGTAAATAAGAAAAAAAGAAAAAGAAAAAGAAGAAGAAAAAGAAGAAGAAAAAAAAAAACACGCTCCAGAGGTAAACAAAAGAAAACGCTCCAAAGGTAAACAAAAAAAAACGCTCCAGAGGTAAACAAAAAAAAAACGCTCCAAAGGTAAACAATAAAACACGCTCCAAATGTAAACAATAAAAAATATTTTTTTTTTAATATTATTTTTTTACGCGATGATACAATAACCCATAACACGTCAACCATCATCATCAAATCTTTTCTTTTTTTTTTATATTACATAAAACATTCTACCTTACTAATAAAAAAAAAGAAGGGGGTTACTGTAGATGTAACCTTAATTCATGTTACTGTCATATCATCCAATTAAAAATAGTCATTGATATTTCTAATTGACATTATATAAAGAAAAGTATCAAGTTATACTTTAATTTAATAAAAAGTTTACATTAATATTAAATAAATTATTTCTTTTATTAGTTTTATTCATATTATTATTATCATCATCATTGTTTTTCTTTTTTTTTTAATTCTAATGACTCGAATATATATAAAATACTTACTTTCATCTTGAATAATAGAAAAGAGTTGACTAATTATGGTAATAATTTGAATTGTTACATTTGATAGAGCATTGCAAGCGAAAACACGCTAATTGTTTTGAAATGATGATGATGATAGCGCGTACTACTTTTTTTTTTTTTGTTTACAATGTTAGTATTACCTTATGCAGTCATCTTTAATTTTTTTTTTTGAAACAGATTACACGCTAACACGCTCCTTTTTTTTTTCTCATTAGCGCGTTACTTTTTTTTTTCTTGTTTATTTTTTTTTACGCCTCCTTTATAAACACTCTTTTTTCTTTTTTTCTTTTCCCACCTTTTCTTTCACTTTCTCTCCATTTCTTTTACTACCTTTACCTTTACTTTTTTTTTTTATTCCATCATGTTTTACTTTGTTGCTGAATGGTTTACTTTGGAATATGTTATCAAGTAATTGTCATGACTATACTCTATGTCTTCCCTCGTCTTAAGCACCTGCTGAAATGATCATACATCGTTTTCTTTGGTCATCGATTTCATTTGGCATTGGATTCTAGTCATCATCCACTTTCTTTTTTTACTTGGTGTTGGATTACAAGTCATCATCCATTTCTTTTTTGGTGGTGTATTACATGTTATGTTACTATCATCATCTATCTCTTTTGGTACTGGATTTGTCATTATCATCGTTTGCTTTTTGGTGTTGGATCCCATGATCATCATCCATTCTTTTTTATTTGGTGTTGGATTCCATGATCATCATCCATTCTTTTTTATTTGGTGTTGGATTCCATGATCATCATCCATTCTTTTTTATTTGGTGTTGGATTCCATGATCATCATCCATTCTTTTTTATTTGGTGTTGGATTCCATGATCATCATCCATTCTTTTTTATTTGGTGTTGGATTCCAGTTATCATTATCCTCTTTCTTTTTTTGGTGTTGGATTCCATGATCATCATCCATTCTTTTTTTGGTGTTGGATTCCATGATCATCATCCATTCTTTTTTATTTGGTGTTGGATTCCATGATCATCATCCATTCTTTTTTTTTTTGGTGTTGGATTCCAGTGATCATCCGTTCTTTTTTTTTTGGTTTTGTATTACAAGTCATTTTTTTGGATTACAAGCCATCATCCATTCTCTTTTATGGTTTTGGATTTCAAGCCATCATTCATCTCTTTTTGGTTTTGGATTTCAAGCCATCATTCATCTCTTTTTGGTTTTGGATTCTAGTTGTCATCATCCATCTCTCTTTTTGGTTTTGGATTCTAGTTGTCATCATCCATCTCTCTTTTTTGGTTTTGGATTCTAGTTGTCATCATCCATCTCTCTTTTTTGGTTTTGGATTCTAGTTGTCATCATCCATCTCTCTTTTTTGGTTTTGGATTCTAGTTGTCATCATCCATCTCTCTTTTTTGGTTTTGGATTCTAGTTGTCATCATCCATCTCTCTTTTTTGGTTTTGGATTCTAGTTGTCATCATCCATCTCTCTTTTGGTTTTGGATTTCAAACCATCATCCACTCTTTTTTAAGGTTTTGGATTACAAGTTGCCACCGTTGCCATCATCATCCATCTCTTTCTTTATGATGTTGGATTCAAATGATCATCCATCTCTTTCTTTATGGTGTTGGATTCAAATGATCATCCATCTCTTTCTTTATGGTGTTGGATTCAAATGATCATCTATCCTTTTTTCTTTCTGGCTTTGGATTACAAGCGATCATCATCATCTCCTTGTTGGACTACAAGTTGGGGTCACAAGCGATCATCCATCCATCCATCCTTCCCTCCTCCTGGTCGTGGGCTTTGGGTCTTGGGTCAAGGCTTTCTTGCCACGGTTTTGGAGTCATCATCACAGCCCTCGATGGCTCCAAAATCGTGGCAAGCGAAAGGGTTTTGGGTCCCGGACGTTTTTACGGGATATGGGTCATCGAAGATGACCCATATCATTATTATTAGAATTAGAAGTAGTTATATTATATAGTATTTACAACATCAATAAAAAAAGTCTGTTTTAAAAAAATATATGAAAATTACAATATGTGTTTAATATACAATATATGTTTATTGCAATTCAATGTTCATAAAGTACAGTTTCATTAAGTATTATGTACTATCTAATAGTGTATAAGTTAATACTGTATATATGTACTTTAAAACCCAAGTAAAGCCAAGTAAAGCTTTATTCAGCAAATCGACTTGTAAAAAAATTTTTTTTCCCTATGGCTTTTACATGGGTGCACGGCGCGCGCCCTATTACATTAGGGTTTAAGGTATAATTGTTTCGGTTAGAATGAAAGTTGTGGTAAGATGGGTCAATGATGGATAAATAAACAAATAGAGTATAAATAAAATTAAGTTGAAAGATAAAAATAAGTTTATTAGGTATATGTATTCTAAAAAAATGTTATAAAAAAAGCAGTTCCAATCAATAGTATAGTGCAGTAATAATAAGGTTGATATAAAGTACAAGTTTGATGAATGATGATAATTAACGATAGAGGAGAGAGATACAGAGAGACCAAGCAGGGCAGAAGGAGACGATCAAAATGATATGGTTTGCACACTTAGTTTTGCTAGGGATGTTCACTAAGAATGTTGGTAGTCCATCTGTCCATTTAGCTCCTGTTACAAAATGTGAATCAGTTAAGGTGGTTATGTTTTATGTATTAACTATCCTTGACAAGTATGAGGAAGGAATAAAGGAAAAAAGTAAAGAAAACAAGTAAAAAGTAAAAATAAAATGGAAACGAAATAAAATAAAAAATGAAAAGTCCGAATAGATAAAGGGTAGCAATGTATTCTATATTGTACTGTACTAGTGACAGTAATGTATATACAACAGAAAGTAGATGAATTCTTTGTTATTTTCCTTTTTATTGCTGATAATATATGGGAATAGATCGAGTCGAATAGAAATATATAATAAAAATTAATATGATTTCATATTCTTTTTGCTTGCATTCATCTGTGATTTAATTTATTTTTAAGGAACCAGGTACAAAAGTTGGAATGTATCGATAACGATTGATGATATTGAAATAATCAAGTAATAATAACTAAATAGTGATAATGAATATGAATTTTATTAAAGAATGAAACTGATCTTATAAGTAAACTACCAGTAATAACAATCACTAATGATCCACAAGCAAAATTGAGAGAAAAAAGATCAAAAAGATACTTCTAATTGATGGTAAAGTCGAATCCAGTTGAATCCTACGATAATATATCCAGTTCATTCATGTCGTCTATCTTTTGGGCAGTAGTATGTATCCATTCTGTTTAATTCTGTTGATCTATTGTTGATCCTATTTTATGTTCGTCCATTTTGCAGATTCTGTTGTATGCCCTTCCATCTTTTTGATCCTACTGTATTCATTTATTTTGTTGATCCTATTACCTGTCCATCCATCAAGTTATTCCAGATGAATGGCCACGTCGCGTAGTATCCTATTGACATAAAGTTACAATGATAAGCCTTTGTGTATCTAAATTTCTCTTTTTTTTTTTTCCCTTTTAGACATACATTCAGTAATAATGATTAACCAGAATACCAAGTAGAAAAGATGATAAAGAGGAAAGAATAGTGGCCTTAGGTGGACAGATGTTGTAATACAAAGATCAGTGTCAGAAGAACGCATATAAAAAAAATAAAAGGAGAAAGGGAAGGTTAGAAAGAAGAAGAAAGGGACTTGTTTTTGAAACTTACCTTTAATAAGAGTAAAAAATATTTGTAAAACCACATAGATAAAAGGAGAAGCATATAATAAAGAGGCTGTACTGTATAAAATAGATAAATAAAGAAAGAAAGAATGATAAGAGTAGAAAATACCAGGGTTACTATCCTTTTTTTTTTTGACTGACTTTAATCAATCATATTTGTATCTAGAATATAGATTGAAATAAAAAAAAAAAGGATGATATTAATATAGTAGATAAAGTTGATGGTGTAATGAAATGGATGATTTACCTTATTAAACTTAAGTATAATATGTTAAATATATTTTTGTGTTTGGTTGTTTTAAATAGAAGGTAACTGTAAACACAAACTAAAGAAAAGAGAATGACTCAGTTCATTGAATACAATGAATACACATAAAAAAGCCTTCTTTTATTTTACTTTACTTTGCTTTGGATTAAAATATAAACGTATAAATAAAAGAAGAAGAAGAAAGAAAAAGAAAAAAAAGTGATAAAAAGAAGAAGAGGAAGAAAATTAAACAAACACGTTCTTTTTTTTTATTTTTTATTTCTCACAGCATCTAATTTTATCTCAGCGGACAAAGCAAAAAAGCATGACAAGACATTTTTCTTTTCTCACACATTGTCTTTCTTGTCCTGAATCTAAACATAGATAGTTATCCAATCAAATTGAAAAGGGTATATACTTTTGATGATGATAAATGAATGAATTATAGAATAGGATAGAGGGTTAGTGTACTATTAGCTTTTGATTTTTATTCAGTTGATTTTATATAATCACGTCAAATAAATGATCGTTTCGAGTTACTTATATTTTTATCGATAATATTGATGTTGACGATGAATGGTTATATATTAAAGATGAATATCATGATTCATTGTTAGTGTATCTGCATGATAAACAACGATAGTGATTATTAGGGAGATATGATAACAAGATAATATTGAAGAAATGATTCAAAATAAGTATGTATTTTATTGTAAGTAAAGATATATATAAATATAAAAGAAAAAATAAATACAACTAATAATACTAACTATAAATATATATGTATATAACATAAAAAATCAAATAAAGATATGTATATAACATAAAAAATCAAATAAAGATATCAATCAAGAATATGTTTGTATCATTTCTCTGGTATTGATGTCCAGTTGATGTCTTGCTGTTCTTAATGGTATGTATCCTCCATATGATTATGTAACCTATTACTATCCACTTGACTTTTATTATCCATCCTACTGTGTATACATCCAGTTGATCCTATCGTTCATCTATGCCACTTGTACTGATATATATATTGCAACTTACTTGTATCCTCTTGATATAATATTACAACAACAGTTAGTAAGTCTTTGTGTATGTATATTTCTTTTTCTTTTCTTTTTTGATATTACCTTTTATATTGTTCTTTCATATTCCAGTAATAAGTGCGTGCATTTTGTACATTATTGACTTGGCATAGTAGGATATTCCCTTTTTGTTGTTAGGTAATATGAGTGACCTAAGAGTGGAAAAAAAAAGAAGAGTTAGTTGTATAAAGGCAAAATAAATGTAGAGAATTTAAAAAAAAGTTTGAACTCCTCTTTCTGAATGGATCATAAGTCTTGAAGCAAGGATCTTTCCTTTGTCATGACGAATCCTAGAATATGACTGAAATAGATTCAGCTAATTTGATCTGACTTTTACCTATACTTACAAAAGAGCAACGATTTGCTTATCGTTTTTCATCACATATCATCCACCATCCGTCACATGTATCAGTATCATCCGCTACCATTGAAATCGTTCAATCATTATGCTTGTTTTTATTAATTAAAAAGATAAAAATACAATATAACTAAATGTTTGGCTGTTGCAAATAAAAGTCTACGATCTATATAAAATAAAAAAAAAAATCAAGTGAGAAAAGGGCATCTAAAATGAAAATAATACTTTTTTTTTGGAAAAGAGAAAAGAATTACCTGTCCACTGGAAGTAGTATCTTCAGGGTCCTTGTCCTCACGAATACGAATAAAACGAGGGAAACGTAAAGAGATACCTTTAGATGGATTGATTTGACCAACGCCTGCCATATAAGTAGGACTGATACTAAGATCCGCACATTTGACTTCAAAGACTACAACAGGATCAAACCATACATCTGGAGTAGCTGGATTGTCACCAAGACAATAAAATCGTTTGGGAGCAGGAATGACATGACTGCTGAGTTGATCATATAATGTTTTTAGTATTTCTTCAGAAAAACCAGTACCAATTTTACAAATGGTTTGATATTCTTCAGATTCAGGATCATAACAACCAAGTAAAAAGCCACCATATACATTAGTTCGTTTACCACGTCCGTGATATGCACCCATTACCACCAAATCCATCGAATCACCTAATCCATGCAAATAATCCTTCTTCACCTTGAGCCAATTTCTTGATCGTTTAGATGGTTCATATGTCGCATGATCACCATCATAAGATTTCACCATCAGTCCTTCACAGTTGTTTTCAATTGATACATCCAAAAATGTTTGAATATCAGCAATATCATTTGAATCCATATGTGTTGCAAAATAAAATTCATTCTTAGTTTCGATAAAGGAGGAGTGCAGTAACCGGCGTCGTTCTACAAATGGTTCTTGTAAAAGTGACTATATCACAAAAAAAAAGATATTATGGTTATTTGTTTACTAGAAATATAAAAATAGACGAACTTACTTTTCCATTGAGATAAAGACAATCAAATCCATAAATGGCTACACGCACAGTAATTTCTTCTTCTTTGACATCCTTTCGTTTTCTAGTACTGAGAATTTGGAATGGTAAAATACATTCTTTTTCAATATCCCATGCAACAGCTTCACAATCCAATATAAAGGAAGTAGTTGTTGGTTTGATCCACTAGTAAAACAGGATAAGTAAAAGATGATAGTCTCTTTTTCTTTTCTTTTTTTTTTTTTAAAAAAAAAGAAATCATTTACCTTTTTAATCTTGTCTATGATGTCAGGATATCGTACAGACATGTCTTCAGAGTTTCGACTGTAAATAGAGATTTTGCCATCACTTGTTCTATGAATCTATATTATAGAATTGATCAGTATCAAATAATATATATCATATTGATTTTATATTACTTGAGCTCGTTCACCATCATATTTGTATTCACATGTAAATTTTTGATCCTGAAAACGATCCAATATTTCTGGTAATGATTTTGTAGGATGAGCCAACATGGGTTTTAATGGGATGCCAGGTCGCATCGTACATTTCGATAAAAGTTCATCAATGGGGTATTGTAAAAGGGCAGGTACAATCATATCGTAACTTGGTAATTGACTAGAATGTGAAAAAAAAGTCATGCGTTAATCTATATCAAAAAAAGTATTATTATTCTTGTTATTCTATTTACTTGTAAACAGCCTTCAGGATATCCGTTGCAGTCGACAATTGTTCTTCCTTTTTTTGTTGTTTCCATTTATCAAATTCTAAAATAAAAAAAAAAAAAAAGGATTGATAAAAGGTCAGTACATTCATCAATCTATCATTTTTTGTTTATCAAATACCTGGATTTTTCATCACCACCGCTTGAGCAAGTGCTGATAAAACAGTTTGTTCAGCTAATCCAATACGTAATTTTCCTTCCAATTGTCGAATCAAATACTTTGCTTCATTTTCCAAGCAAGCCACTAGTAAACCTTGAATCTTATCCACCTTTTTGTTTTGAGACTAATAAAAAAAAGAAGAATGAGTCATTCTATTTTTTTTTTCTCTGTTGATGTCGCTTACAGATTGACCAGAGAGTTGTGCGATTTCTTTGAGAGTTTTGAATACATGAACTGTTGTCAATGGTTTTGGTCGAAAGAGTGTTCGTTGTGAAGTCTTGCTATTCTTGGCTACTGTTCCTAAATCACCAATCAATATATAGTCATCTTTGAGCGCTTTCATTGTTCTTCCAGTTGATTTTGCAATAGCCTTCATTAATAATGATTCACCAATTCCCAATTCTAATCCTTCATAATCTGGACACAACTATTATCATAAAAAAGTAGAAGGGATAAAAATTAAATATAATGATAATGAGTATCTTTTTTTTTGTCTGTACTTTGTTAATACACATGTAAACAATTTCTAAAAGTCCAGAAGGAGATAATCGCATGACTTGAACAAATAGAGTGACCAAATATTCAGTAATTTCCAGACGTTTTGTGGTATTTTCACATTTCTCAAAGGTGCGACAAAGAACAGCATAAGGTACACTATATTTATAAATCAAATAATAATAATAATAATAATAATAATAATAATAAAAAGATGTTGAGCCTATTTTGTTCTTTCCATCACTGTAAAAATGCTACTTACGGTTCATCCTTCTTCCAATTGGTGCCCAATAAAGCACTTTCCTTGGAGATTGACATTTCCGTCCTAATATACATATATAATCAGATTAGAACATAGTTTTCCATAATATACATATAAATGTATAAAAGACTTACAAAGCCTTTACTTGGTCCACCTGGCTCAATTCTTCCACTTGGTCCATTTCCATATCATCATCAGCAGATCGACTTTTCTTTGCTTTAGGTGTTTCTTGATCATCTTCACCATTTGTCAGATCTTGGATTTCTCGTTTCTTACTGTTACCCAAAAAAGTTTCCTCTAATCAAAACAAAAATAATTGTATGTTTATTATTAAACAAATAAAGGTAAATTCATCCATATTTATATTTATAATACCTTTAACATTTTCTTGACTATTTATCGAATCATTGTTGTCTTGATCGTTTGGTGTATCAAGCTCTTTTTTAATAGTAGCATCACTACCACTACCGAAGAAAGAACTAAAATAATATAGAAGGAAAAAAAAAGAGTTAAAAGAATGCAAATAACTGTTATATTACCTATGCTTACAGTTTTGTTTGTTTCATGAATAGATAGTTTCAATCGTAAAAAGATAAAAGAAGAAAGAAAAGAATCGCGCTGCGAGTAAAATAATTTTTTTTTATATGTCGCGCCTTAGCAACTGACACGAGAAGTTAGTCGGAGAAGGAATTAAAATCATAAAACCATGTATATGCAGTTTATCATCATGATCCTACTTCGATCTAGGACTAAAATGCTAAGACAAAACCTCTGATACGATGAAAACCAAAATAATTATCCAGAATATATCATATTTTATTGCTTTTGTTCGCAGTGGGTAACATGACACAAGCAAGAAAAAAAGCAAAAGAAAAAAAAAAAAAAAGAAAAATGGGTAACAGAGATTGAAACACCGCATATAAAGTAGAACGTTATTCAAAGTAGAAGAGATTCCATTTCATTTTTTTTTTTCGATTATTTTCTCAACAGTATACCTTATTATGACAACCCCCATTTCAACAACTATACACTTTGAAGATATTCGAGCTAATATATGGCAACAACTTCAGCAACGTGATAGACAAGAACAACTCTTCCATAGTGTCATTTCATCTAGTAAGTGTTCAAAAAAAGGAATACTTATAGCACTAAACTTCTCTTTTTTTCTTTTTGGTATAGACCAACGATTACAGCAACAATTGAATCAACTTGAAAAAAAGGCTAAACTTGATAACAGTAGTCATATTACATCGTCTAGGTAATAAGATGGAGTTTCTTCTCTCTTACTTTTTTTTCTTTGTTTTCTTACAATTGTTTTTTGCCTTTTCATTATTATGATAATAGACACTCCTTATCAAGTTCAAACGCAAATGTTGAAATATTAGAACAACGGATACGGGAACTGAAGGAAGAGCGCGCAGATATGTACAAATTACAAAGTGAAAATGCTCAAAGACTGGTTCTGATGAATGATCAATTACGTAACAAAGAAGAAACGGATGCAAAGCAAAAACAAGAGTAAGTAAAATAGAAAATAAAATAATAATAATAATAATAATAATAATAAAGATATTCTTATCATTATCATTGTATATTATATATTAGACTGGTCTTATTGGCTGATCAAACCAAAAAGTTGACAGAAAAATCCAATCTACAAATTGAACAACTTCGAGAGAAAGACGTGACGATCCAGGTAAGAAATATACCTATATATATATATATATATATATTTTACTGATTTTCAGCTCGTTTAGATTCTACAAGATGAACTCAGTGCATTGCAACTAGAAATCAATACCATAGAACAACGAAATCAGCAATTGACCAAAGAAAATCTTCAATTAGTACAGCGATGGATGGAAAAAATGAATTCAGAGGCAGATAAAATGAATGAAGCAACTCAATTTTATGAAACGGCATTACAACAACAACTTGCACAATCTCGACGTAAACAACAACTATCATCATCAAATAAAAACTCTTCTTCAGATCAATCCTTATTATTGCGAACCAGTACCATAGTATTACCACGTCAACACTACAAGTCTTTTGTAAGTAATAGTGCTTATTTTTTTCTTATCTTCAAAATAATTATTCTTTTTTTTTAATCTTTAAAATAATTATTTTCTTTTTTCTTTTTTTTTAGACAACTACACAAGAAGGTGATCTTTATTGTATTCAAGCATCCAAAACAGGAAAATACTTTGCAACTGGAGCAGAAGACAGAAGAATCAAATTGTATGATATTACCAAAGGCATGTCATCCGCTAGCACTACAACATTATCAGGGGCGTTACAATCCATTACATCAATAGATTTCAATTCATCCGATGATTATTTGGTGGCTTCTTCTACAGATCACTCTACGCGTGTTTGGAATCTTTCTACAAAAAGGATCGCAGTAAGCATAGGGTTTGTCTTATTACAAAGAAATTTACTTTTTATTATTATTATTATTATTATTATCATAGCATACGTTGACAGGTCATATTGGAAAAGTGTTTGCAGCAAAATTTGTACCAGCAGATAATAATCGTGTTGTTACCGGAAGTCATGATCGTACCTTGAAAGTGTGGGATTTGAATAAAGGATGGTGTGTACGAACGATTTTTTCCTTTTCAAGTTGTAATGATATCTGTCTCTTGGATCCTGATGGGTAAGGAATATTATTAATAATAGGGACAATATTGACTTGTCTTTATATATATTTATAGTCAAACAGTAGTGAGTGGTCATTTAGATAGTACTTTACGTATTTGGGATGCAAAATCTGGGAATGGAATCAAGGACTTGAATGGAATTCATACAGATCAAATTACTTCTGTTTGTGTCTCTCCTGGTAAGTGAAAAAGAAAAAGAAAAACAATGTCACTTGGTTTACTTATTACTTTGATTTTAGATGGATCATCCGTGTTGACAAATAGCAGGGATAATACATTGAAAATAGTAGACGTTCGTATGTACGAGGTTGTACATTCTTTCAGGCAAGTATTTCAAAATAAAATAAAATAAAAAAGACAAGCTTACTCATCTTTTTTTTTATTGTTCTTGTTAGTGCTCCTACATATCAAAATGGATTGAATTGGTCAAGAGCATGTTTTAGGTAACAAAATGATGCTTGAAGTAACTATTCAATTTTGATATTCAATTTCTTTTTTTCTCTTTTTTATATAGTCCTGATGGATGCTATGTAGCTGCTGGATCAAAAGGTAATCATTATATAATATTTTCTAATGAAATGAAATCAAATATTCAAAGTTATATATATATATATATATATATCAATTAATTAGATGGAACCGTTCATATTTGGAATGCAAGAAACAGTCAACTAGAACGTACACTCAAAGGTGATCACAAGTAAGTATTATTATCATTATTTGATTATTTAACATAGAATATGTTTTAATTGAATTCTTTTGAACTTTAGATCTCTTATCTGTGGTGTTGCATGGAGTCCACTTGGTACTGATCTTTACTCCGCTGACAAGACTTCCAAAACTGTTTGTATTTGGGATACTTCTATTGAACAACGTTCATTGTCTTCTTTATCTAAATAGATAGATGTATTTGTCAATTAGTTTTTGAAATAAACTATATTTTGGACAAGAGATTGTTTTATTGCCATGTCTTTTTTTTAAAAAAAAAATTGTACCTATATAAATATATATATGGAAGTGTGTATGTATTGTATTTGTGCAAACAAAGATGGAGTAAAGGTAACTAACCAGCTAAAATAACTAACTACTTTTGTTCAGTTGGTTTTATCGAGATTGTGTGCAAATGAATCCGGAAGAAGTAAAAGTAGCATTGTTCATAGAATCACTAGAAGAGTTTGGCCGAACATGATAACCATAACTTGTCATAAAATCACGAATTTGATGCTTATCCAATCGTACTGATGTTGCTGCCCGAGTATTTGGTTGTTGATGTTGCTGTTGAGAATCCTGTCCTGGTTTATGAGCACATAAAATACCTACACCGTAATTGTCGTCGTCGATAGTGAAATACTGCGCAGAGGTGGCATGAACATCCATAAAAGCTTCTAGTCGTCCATAACTTTCTGCCATGCTCATATCATGAATGGAAGTAGTAGCTGGGTTAGGTAGATTGATGAGTCCAGGCATATTGAATATTAAAGAGAAAAAAAAAAAAAAAGGTAGATATATAAAAAAAAAAAGAAAAGGAAAAAAAAAGAAGGCAGGAAAAACCTTTTTTTTTTTTTTTTTATTTAAAGAATGAATTGTTTTCCATACTCCGTGCGACATTCGCAGTATTGATAAAACTATGCTAAAGCTAAAGAGGTGTAATCTATGTCTAATGTCCTTTGTAAACTGGTTTTCTCTTTTCCTTGAATGCCAATAATCCTTCTAATCTATCCTTTGTATGTATTACTTGACCATAATAAGATTGTTCTACTTCCAAACCAGAATCCCTACAAAAAAATAAAAAAAAAAAAGAGGACTCAGTAAAATGAAAAAAAAATTGATTCTTATTTTTTATCATTACATATCCAAATGAGCACCACGATCCACAGCTAATTTGGCTAGTTTCACACCAATAGGACCATTAGGTAAAATACGTTGCCCTATTTCAACGGCTTTTGTAAATCCAGTGGTATCATCCATAGCATAATTGACAATGCCATAATCTTGAGCAGTTTTTCCATCCAAAATAGATGCTGTGAAAATCAATTCTTTGGCTTTGGAAGTACCAATCAGTCTTGATAATCGTTGAGTACCACCAGCACTAAATAGAACAATAAATAAAGTGATCAATATCTATACTTATTTTTTTTTCATTCTTAATGTTTTACCCTGGTAAAATGGCAAGACGCGTTTCCACCAACCCCATTTTTGCTTGTGGACCTGCCATACGCATATCACAAGCTAAGGCCATTTCTAATCCTCCTCCAACAGCGGTACCATCAAGAGCAGCAATGGTTGGAATGGGTAATGTCTACATATATACATAAAATGAGTCCTATATATATATAATATTTTATTGACTTACCTCCAATTCTCGGAAAGCTTGTCGAAGATTATATAAGAATTCAGAAACTTGAGTAGGAGTCATATTTGCTCTTTCCTTCAAATCAGCACCAGCACAAAATACACCATCTACCAGACTTTCCAAAATCAATACACGTGAATCGCTATATAGATAAAACCGAGGATATATTAGTATTGTGGATATATTTTCGTTTTGTATAAAGTTGCTTACTTTGAGAAACGAATTTCTGATAAAGCTTCACGAATTTCTTGTACCAATTTGACGGATAAAGCATTACGAGCAGCAGGACGGTTTAGTTTTAATACACTGATACCTTGTTGATCACCTTGTAAATGTTCCAAATAGGCTTCTTTGCTGCTAGTGTGGGTACTGTGAATAGAGCGAAAGGTGATGGGAGCTACTAGACGATTCATACCATTTCTAGTGGTGGTAGTAAGAAGACATCGGGAGAACATGATAATAATAAATATGTGATAAAGAAAAAGAATGAAAAGAAAAAGAAAGAGAATAAAAAAAAAAAAAACAAAAAAATCTTTCTCTTGTATCTACCCGTGAGAAAAAAATAAAAAAAGCAGCGAGCGGCGTGTCAATCCAGTATCGCGTCTATAGTGCTATAGGATTCCTGCTACTAAAAAGTCATTTCGAATCGTTGTCATCGACATGCTTGAATTCAAATAATAGTCGTTCATAGGAATCACCATCTATTTTTACCTATTGTAATTACAGTGTTTTTCCATGTGAAGCGCATTTATTTTTTTCTTTTCCCTACGTTTGATTAGAGATTTGTTTGCATTGGGTTTTGAATATATTTGCGGTGATTCTTATTACGGAAATGGATGCAATAATTTGATCGTTTTGGAAGCTCAAAGCTGCTTGTCATCCCAATGAATAAAAAGGTTGAGGACGACAACGCAAATCACACTTTTTTCATCTGCAAACCATATTATTCAATTACACAAATTATCTATTCTTCTTCGCTAATTCTTATGTAAAAAAAAAAAAAAAAAAAAAAAATAGTATACGTTCTCATCCTAGTTTCAATTTTAATACCAATTATTCATTCAAAAGTACTATTCATTTATACTAGTGTATCCAACCATCATGTCATCCATTATCGTACTTACTTTTTTGCATAATCAATGAGTATTAGCAATTAAAGATTTCCGTGCTCTTTTGTATTTTTCCTTTTTAGGGAAGTCATCAAGTATTTATGATTGAAAGTAAAAAAAAAAAAAAAAAAAAGAAAAGAATCATCCACTTTATACACTATGTTAGTCAGATATCCACATTATAGACTTTGTTAGTCAGACAGGATAATACCCCAGGCAATAATCAATATGATTTTTCCATTTTTGTGGGGTCAGGAAGGGAGAGATTTGTCATTTGCTCTCCAATCATTAACAATCATAACGTAACACGGGCGATGCGGATCAACATGAAACTCAGTACGTTCGGTAATTGAAAAAGGCGTTTTTTTTTTCTCTCTTTCTTTTTATCATTCGTTTTTTTTTTCCCATTTATTCCCTTTTCTTTCCTTTCTTTTTCTCATTACTTCCATACAATGCTTTCTACTATTGCTCGTAGTGCTGTTACTCAACCCACTCGTTTAGCTTCTCGTGCTTTTATTTCTACTTGGAATAATGTTCCTCAAGGTAAAGTAAGATAAACATAAAGAAAAAAATTATTAAGCTTTTTCCTTTTTTTTTTTTTTCATAGGTCCTCCTGATGCTATTTTGGGTGTAACTGAAGCCTTCAAGAGAGATACTGATCCTAGAAAAATGAATCTTGGTGTTGGTGCTTATCGTGATGACAATGGTAAACCTTATGTTTTGGATTGTGTCAAGAAGGTAATTTAAACAAAACACGTAAAAAAAAAAAAAAAAGGAGGCGGAGGAAGAAGAAGACGAGGTGACTCATCTTTCCTTTTTTAGGCTGAAGCTGTTTTACTTGAAAAGAGTTTGGACAAAGAATATGCTGGTATTACTGGTGTACCTGAATTCAATAAAGCTGCTGCTGCCTTGGCATATGGTGAAGATAGTGCTGTGATTGCTGAAAACAGAGTAAGTCCTTTTTTTTTTTAAGGATACATACAATCCATCCGGGGAAACACGTGAAGATAATGTGAAAAACCGGGGATCACCAACTGACTTTTTTTTTTTTTTTCTCTTTTTTGAAAGCTTGCTGTGACTCAATCCATTTCAGGTACAGGTGCTCTCAATATTGGTGCCAACTTTTTGAACACTTTCTATCCTCATGCCAAGACTATTATGGTGCCTAACCCTACCTGGGGTAATCACAATGCTATTTTCTCTCGTGCTGGTCTCAAGGTGGAAAAGTATGGTTACTTTGATAAACAAACCAATGGATTGAACATCAACGCAATGTTGGAAGATATCAAAGTATGCGATGATACTATTTTTATTTTATTTTGTTTCTATGATATACTTATCTTTGAATGAAATATAAAAATAGGCTGCTCCCAAGAATACCGTCATTTTACTTCATGCCTGTGCTCATAATCCTACTGGTGTTGATCCTACCAAAGAACAATGGGATGAAATCTCTCAAGTCATCAAGGTAAAATGGAGATTATAGAAAGTATAAAAGAATATTAAATTATTATTATTATTATTGTTATTTAGGAACGTGATCATTTTGCTTTCTTTGATATGGCTTATCAAGGTTTCGCTTCTGGAGATTGTACCAAGGATGCTTATGCTCTTCGCAAATTTGTCAGTGAAGGTCAACAAGTGGTTCTTTCTCAATCATTTGCTAAAAATATGGGTCTCTATGGTGAACGTGTGGGTTCTTTCTCTGTCATTTGTGCTGATGCCGAAGAAAAGTCTCGTGTCGACTCTCAACTCAAGATCTTGATTCGTCCCATGTATTCCAATCCTCCTATTCATGGTGCTCGTCTTGTTAGTACCGTTCTCAACACACCTGAACTCAAACAACAATGGTTGGATGAAGTCAAGTTGATGGCTGATCGTATCATCACTATGAGGTATATCAAATGATTTTATTTTATTTCGTTATACATATATATGTGGAGAAGAGCAAGTTTTGGAACAAAAAAGAAAGAAAAAAACAAATGACTTACATAAACAATTTTATATCATATAGAACCAAGCTTAGAAACCATTTGGAACAAGATTTTGGTTCCAAGAAGGACTGGAAACATATTACCAACCAAGTAAGTCAGAATAATAATAATAATAATAATAAAAGGATAATTTGTAACTTTTTTGCTTATATACCTTTGTTTATAATAGATTGGTATGTTCTGTTATTCCGGTATGACTCCTGAACAAGTGGATCAACTCAAGGATAACTGGCATGTTTACTTGACTCGTGATGGTCGTATCTCCATGGCTGGTATTTCCTCTGGCAATGTCAAATATCTTGCTGAAGCTATTCATAACGTCACCAAGGATTAGAAACAAGATGGAAATGATATAGATTATATTTGTCGTTTTTTGATTCATTCTTTTTAGTACTTTCCGTAGTAGTTTACATTTTTTTTTTTTACCTTGTACATTATTCCTTTTTATTTGGTTTCCCACTCCCCTACTCATCATTCTTTGCTTTTACATTTACGTTTCCTTTTTCGTGTTTATGTTTACCGAAATGAAATAAAAAAAATACATCTTTGACAACTTTTTTAAGTAAAAATTCTATTTTGTGTTATGGTCAATCATTCATCAATGTCATTTTCATTATATATTAAATAAAATGATATCAATATTGGAATATTTTATTTTCAATAAGTAGAATAAATATACAATTTGAATTTTATTTGTTTGAATGTATGTGATGATGACGATGATGATAATAATGATAATACTAATTCAGATAACATAACAGGTAACAAATAGAAGGATAATATACAAAAGGTATACAAAGAACGGAATCTATAGCATTTTTTCTTTTTTCCAATCAACCACTAACATAGCAGCCCTATAATAATAATAGTAATAATAATAATAAAGAATTATATGAGTCATTGAGTAGTATTAAAGAAAAGGAAGATCATCCACAACTTACCCAACTTGATTTGTGTAAGCAAAGAAAAAGCCAAAGAAGGGTACCATTTCCAAAGCAGAAGCCACCATTCCAAATTGATGGTATTGCCAGTATAACCTGTTGATATGTTGTTGTCGTCGAGTGTTGGACCATTGATACATATCAAAATAACGTCGATGTGCCGCACCGCCTTGACAAATACCTTGCATAGCCAGAAAACCGACTGGACCAATCATAGGAATGAATGTCAAAGGTAAAGAGATAATATAGATGACAGGTGGAAGCCAAGTTAAAGGCCATTCAGATGCTTCTTCCTTTGCACATAATCCCATGATATGAGTACCTGATAACCACCATTTGGCTGCACTTTTCATTTCATCCGATGTCGATGGTAATGCCTTAATATCCAATTTTTCCACTACCCAATCTTCCACTGTATCCAATATAGGCTGTTGATGTTCATGATGATGATGATGATGATGATTTTCTTTTTCATTATTATTGTTGTTGTTGTTTTCGACAGGAAGAATCATACCATGTTCTTCAAGGACAGCATCAAATAAACGATCTCGTATGGAACCAATAAAATATTGAGTCACTTGTGAAGTCACCATAAAGGATTCAGCCAAACATAAGATGCCACTTGTCACAACAGCCATTGTCCCTGGACCTAAAACTTGTAAAATAGAAGAAGCTAAGGAAGCACCAGATTGGTCACGAGCTAATTGTCGATAAAAATGACCAATTAAACGAACTTGCCAATGATAACCAACACGATATAAAGGGATTAAGGCCAACAAACTGACAGCACATGCTTTGAATGTAGAAATAGCGATGGGTTTACCAAGTCGACGAGAATGATGTACAAGATGAATAACACCTCTCACTGGATAACTACCTCCTATAGGCTTGGACACGACTTGAGGCATGGTTGAACTTTTGAAACGCAAAAAGAAAATTAAAAAAAAAAAAAAATATTGATGGAGAGAGAAATAATTTTTTTTAAATATGCAGGTTACACTAAGATATGCTTGGTTTGAGATTCCGAGGCTCAATAAGCTGAAGATTTCTTTGTACAAGAATAATTATGTTTTTCTAACATAAGAACAAAGGATATTCTTACTCTCCAAAAAAAAAGAATCCTATATTTGATGAAATAGTTTTGATGTTATCAAAATACATATGCTAGTATATGAATTTTGATAGTAAATGTCTTTTGATGAGTTTGTGTATGAGAGGGTTAGTCCGTGTGACTTTCGACTGAGATTGAATTCATCCTACCAGCCAGACAAAAAAAAAAAAAAAAAAAGGGAGAATGACTAGCAAAAAAAAAAAAAAAAATTGATTTTTTTTTTAAGCATATATCATAAAAAGAACAACCTTATTTCTCCTTCTCTTTTAAAGTCATATAGCAAAACTAAAGTGACTTTAATAGTTGTAAAGGCATTGGTTGACAATAACAACAACTATACATCCTATTAACTTTCCGCAGTGTATGGCGTCAATATCAACCGAAAAACGGAAGCAACAGCAGCGACAGCAGCAGCAGCAACAACAACAACAACAAGAACTGAACGACAATAGCAACATATTGAAACATGTGGATAATATTGATATTTTACAACAATGTATAAAGGTTCTTAACTATTTAGTATCTTTCCAAGAAACTGGTCCTTTTACAATACCAGTACCCAAAACTGCCACACTATATCATAACAAGATCAAAAAACCTATGGATTTCTTTACTTTGGAACAACGAATATTACGTCAAAAATATCACTCTTTTCAACAGTTCGAAGACGACCTTAATCTTATATGGAACAACGCTATTTTATTCAACGATCCAGGTGACTCTATATACAAAAAAGCCGTCTATCTAAAACAACAGTATCTCAAGTAAAGTTTCTTTTCTTTTCTTTTCTTTTCTTTTCTTTTTTTTTTTTTTTTTTTTTTTTTTTGTAAAAAGTTTTGTTTATCTAACTTATTCGTTTTCTTTATTACATATTATATAGTATGGACAGTATCATCAAAAAGGAAATGGCATCTATACCTTATATACCTGTGGAATTATTATCTATTCACCCAACCATAACTGACTATGCAACTGATAGGTATTACAATAGTAATATACACATATATTCTTCTTATTGACATCCTCTTTTTTATTGTTATTATTATTAATATTACTGTTGCTTATTTCTAGAACTCTTTATTTTACTCATGTTGTTCTTCCTCAACAAGCACAATGGATGGTTAAGAAATTCCGAGGATATAATAGTGCAAGGACTTTATACAATGAAATATCAGCACCTCTTTATCAGTGGCTTCAGGATCCTGAAACAGCAATCAATCAAGATCTACCTTATCCTCGACTTTACATCAGCAAAAATCGAACATATATCAAGGAAGCCGCCGATCATTCATCCTCTAGTTGTTTTGTATTGATATGGGATGTGGAAATTACAGATGCGCCTTCTACTTTGAAACGGGATGATATTTTTCTTCTTACCACCAATGTCACTCTGGGCTATCCTTTTAGTGAATCCATCAACATGTTTAATCCTCCACCAATCAGTCAACCTGATGCATCGAACGACATCCTACCAAAAGCATATGTTAAATTCCTTCCTCTCAAAACCCATTACAAGGTCAAATGTCTCATATCGAAACAAATGGAATCCACGTTCTTACGCCGTCCACATGTCACTCATCGTGTCATCGCCAATCAAAATATCAATGGGACAGTCGACGAATTTTTAACACGGCAAATGGTACACTCTTTATGGACAGGAGAACATCATTTAGATCTACCAGAAATTTATTCTATATCAGACACCAATACTACAACTCACAAGAAAGAAAAGTCATCTATATCATCAACTTCTTCAACATCATCACCAACAACAGCAAAGTCATATCAAGCATCACATTTAGCATCAAATCATTCAGCATCACATCCAGCATCAAATCATTCAGCATCCACAACTACTACTTTATTCACTCCAAGTGACACCAAAAAAGAACAGATATCAAGGACAGTCAATAATCAAATACCCTCACTATCATCACCAACATCATCGTCAGATGTCAAAACATTAGAAAATTTAACAACGGGGATGAATGGTGACAGATCACAAATGATTACCAAGACAGCTGTCCCTTCTGCGGAAGAAGAAGAACAATTCGAAAATAGTCTCAGAATTTATCGTGAACGTTGCAATACTCTATTTGATGATTTGAAGAAATGTAAGTGGATATGAACAAATGGATTATATATAGATATATACTGATATTTTAATTATTTTAGATGCGAAAAGTGTTGGTGTCCAGGTGGTGAATGTTAAAAAGTATTTGGAACACACAACTCCTCATGCCAATGCTGAAGGATACTTCAAACAAGTACGTTATGTTGAAAACAACAAGGATGTGGTGGTGCAAACTTTTCGAAGGATGACGGCTTCTCAACGTGTTATTGAAATCATTAGTCTATTAAAAGTCAAGGGTTTTCCTCATATGGCGGAAATTCTGGAAGTACTTCATGCAGATGATGACGAAGGACAGGAGGTGATTGGACTCTCTATGCGAAGATATCAGCGGACACTCAAACAATATACTCACTCTCATTCACATCATCGGCTTACGGCACATCAAAAATTGGACATCATTCGACAAATGCTTCATTGTATTGAAAGTATTCATGATGTTGGTATTGCTCATCGGGATCTTTCTGAAGTCAACTTTATGGTGGATGAATTAGACAATGACCCTCGTTTACCTGATGGATCTACAGCTGCACACGTATATTTGATTGATTTTGGTAAGGCAATATTTACAACTCCAGAGGATGCTCGACGATGGTGGATTGCACCTGTACCAAAACAATATCAACAGCAATTATTACTCAAGGCTCAAGGCTCTATATCGACTTCAACTTCATCTTCAACAACAACAACAGCAGCATCATCACCTACACCTATTTCACCATCTGGAGGTAGCCCATCGGCTGATTTGACGACGATGACACTTCCTGGACATGAATACGATGGGGAGGTGATTCCTGAAACCAAAGAAGATTTGGATACATGGTGTGAAAGGTTACCATTGGTGTATCTGAAACCTGATCATGGTTATCGACACTACAGATCTATTCAAACATTACCTCGTAACAGAACAGATCATGCTATTCTACCATGGTTAGTGGATCCAATGGCTGAAGATATGTATTCAATGGGCACGTTGATGTGGAAAATATTTGCGGAAACTGAACCTTGGCATGGTATATTAGATACAGATCTTCGTCAATTACGTGAAACGGTGGAAGAAGATGAAAAAATTGAAATCAGGGTCAAGAGGGAAATCGCTGGCGATCTATCACAACAACTGGTCCTATTCTGTCTCAAGACACAACCGGAGGAAAGAGCAACAGCAACAGATCTTCTAGCCTGGTTGGATCAACCCAATATTACCAAGGGATTATTGGAGGAATGGACGGTACATGCACCAACTGAACGGAAAAAACGACATGCGAAATCAGCTTTTGAATTTGAAGAAGAACAAGCACGACATTCTTTGGCATCTGCAAGGAATCGAAAAGCGGCCAAGAAGAAGAAACAATTACAACAACAACAGTATGAACAGGAACAACGCAAAGCAGAAAGAGAACGTGTCAAATTAGAAAAGGAAAAGCAAAAACAACAAGAAAAATTACAACTACAACCTAGTATGATATATCCACAACCACCACCACCACCACCAGTATATTATTATCCTCCATTTCCATTTTATTCAATGCAAAATACATCATCCATGTCATCACCTTTACAACAACAACAACAACAACCATCCATCTCATCAGCACCATTTAATTCATATCAACCAGCTCCACCACCACCACAGCATTCAGCTTTCCGCAACTTACGATTCACCATGCCTATGACGCCTAATGGACCTGCCACGACTAGTAACAAACCAACTAGCCCCATGATTGTTGATTCTCATCCAGATACGACTTCTTTTCTACCTCCTGACAAATGGATACAAGATCCATCCATGTACCCTTTATCGAACGTACGTACGGAAATGCAAGGACCGGCCGAATCACAATCTCCACCACGACGTGTTTTTTATCAACAAAAATTACGATGGATGTATAATTCAACATCAAAATTAGGCTTCACTACAGGAAAAGAGACAACCGCCGATTCTACTACCGTCTCGACTATCAAAACTACAACCAATCAATCATCTATTAGTATGGAAAGTATATCAAAGCAACAACAAGAGGAGACAACAACAAGTAGTGGTAGTAGTAGTAGTAGTAGTAAAAGTGGTTATGTCAAAACGGGTAAACCATTGGGAAGACCAAAAGGAAGTATAAGTAAAAGGAAAAGACGTCAACAACAATATCATCGTCATCGACAAGAAAAATCAAATCAAACTTCAATTGTGGAAATGTCCTCACCTACGGAACAACAGTCTTAAGTCGTTTTGGTATAAGTTGTATTTTAATTTATCCCCCCCATCTTAATTGATGTATGCATGATCTTTATTATTATTTTATCTTTATTGAATAAACATTTTTTTTTAATATCTATATATTTTTTGTATGTATGTCTATTTGTGTGTGCGGAGAGAGATGGAGTGAATATATATACATATATATGATGTTCAGGTGATTCTTTTTTTTTTTCTCAAAGTTTTTTTGTTCAGGTCACAAGAAAATAAATTTTTATGATATTATAAAATTGGTCTTTCCCAAAATTGATGTCGCATTACCAGTTTTTCAGTTATTGCTCTAGAGACATCGGTAGAATATGTCAAAACATATTGATTGATGATGATACAATATATTAATCATTTTCTTCTTTTTCTTTTTGAAATCCTCCTTTGGTGTTTCCAATTCAAAGTAAATAATCAACCTGTAAACAGCAACATATAAATATAAGTTATCACCTCTTCATGAGGATGTATTTAATACAAACAAGTGAAAATAAATATAACAAAACAAATGGATATGTTGACTAAATATATATATACCCTTTTCTATTACTCAATGGAACTACTACCACTCCTTTTCTTCTTTTTTTTTTTTCTTCTTCTTGTATTCAATTTGGATTATGCGATAACTTTATTTTTTTTTTTCTTTTCTTCTGTTATCTATTTTCTATTCTTATGATATTTTATTATTGAATAAAGTGTAATGAAGGATCATCATATCTAAAAAAGGAATATTTATTTTTGTAATACTTGTTTTCCAAATAGGAAAATAGAAGAATGACATGATGATCTGATGATGATGATGATATAAAATGCGGGGTATAGAAAAGAAATTTCACATGGATGATTAGATTCTAACGAGAACCAGGTGAGTTGGAAAAAAAAAATCATTAGGGCAAAATTTTATTCTTTTTGGCATGTGAAAGAAGAATAAAATGATAGATTGATTATTTTTTTTTTCTCGCTCTTCTTTTTTTCTTTTCTTTTTAACTCCCTACTCTTTGTAAATATGACTAAAACCTTCACTATAGAAGAAGTAGCTAAACATACTGCTCCAAACGACTGGTAAATTAAAAAAAAAAAAAAAAAGAAAAGGATAAAACTAAAACTGATCTATTTTTTTTTTTATATATAGCTGGATTATTATTCATGATGGTGTATATGATGTTACTGAATTCCTTAATGACCATCCAGGTGGTAAAAAGATCTTGTTAAAGAATGCTGGTGTGGATGCTACACAAAAATTTGATTCTTTTCATAATGCTTCTGTCTTGTCAAAATTGGGTGCCAATTATTTGATTGGAAAACTCGGTTCGGCTGAACCTGAAGAAACTGCGGAAACTGATGAAGTGGAAGATATCAATCCTTTAGTTGTAGGTAAACCTTTTGGTGATATGGTACCTTATTCTGATCCAATGTGGTAAGTATATATATATAATTTTCCTTATTATCCTATTCTTATATTTATTATTATTATTATTTGATAGGTATCAAGATTGGTATAGTCCTTATTATAATGATTCTCATCGTGCAGTACGTAAAGCTGTTCGTGAATTTGTTGAAAAAGAAGTGATGCCTTTCTGTCATGAATGGGATGAAGCCAAACAACTACCTCGTGAATTATATATCAAGGCAGCAAAAGCAGGGATTCTTGCTGGATGTATTGCTCAAGTCAGTGATCCTTCCATGGTACCTTATGGTATGCCAGGTGGTGTCAAATACGAAGATTTTGATGCATTCCATCGTATGATTACTTTGGATGAATTATCACGTTGCGCTTCAGGAGGCGTGACTTGGGGTTTAATTGGTGGTCTTGGTATTGGTATTGGTCCTATTATTCATTTTGCTTCCAAAGAACTTCAAGAGTTGGTCATTCGTGATTGTTTAAATGGTACCAAGAATATTTGTCTAGCTATTACTGAACCTTCTGGTGGTTCAGATGTTGCCAATTTAACTACAGAAGCAAAAGATATGGGTGATTACTTCTTGGTCAATGGTGAAAAGAAATGGATTACCAATGGTGGTAAGTAACCAAAAAAAAAAGGATGTATTGAATGATCATCACTCATCTTCCATATCATAGTATTTGCCGATTTCTTCAGTGTGGCTGTTCGTACTGGTAAACCTGGATTTGGTGGTATTTCCTTCTTGTTGATTGAACGTAATATGCCTGGTGTTACTACTCGTCAAATGAATTGTTCTGGTGTTTGGTCTTCTGGCACTGCTTACATTACTTTTGAAGATGTTAAAGTACCTAAATCTCATGTTATTGGCAAGGTTGACAAAGGATTCAAATATATCATGGAAAGTAAGTGCCTTCTCTTCTTAATATGATTGTCCAATTCACAACCAATGAAATGTCATCATCTGATCTTTTTTTTTTTTTTAAAAAAAAAAAAAAATGAATAGATTTCAATCCTGAACGTGTTGGTTGTATTATTCAAGCCAATCGATTTGCCCGTGTATGTATTGAAGAATCTATTACTTATGGTAATAAACGTGAAACATTTGGCAAGAAGTTGATTGATCATCCTGTTATTCGAAATAAATTGGTAAGAAAATAACAATTCATTTATATATGTCATTCCTTTAACTTATTATTATTTCTAGGCCAATATGATTCGAAAAGTTGAAGCTACACACGCATGGTTAGAATCTCTTGTATATCAAACAACACAAATGGAACCAAGTATTCAAGCAGTACGTCTTGGTGGTCCTATTGCTCTCTGTAAAGCTCAAGCATCTCGTACTTTTGAATATTGTGCTCGTGAAGCTGCACAAATCTTTGGTGGTCTAGCTTATACTCGAGGTGGTCAAGGTGAAAAAGTGGAACGATTATATAGAGAAGTTAGAGCCTATGCTATTCCTGGTGGATCTGAAGAAATCATGCTTGACCTTGGTGTTCGACAATCTATCAAGGTTGGTCAATTCATGGGTGCCAGAATGTAAATATAGTTTAGTCTTAGTTTAGTTATTTTCTTTTATTCTTTTATTCTTTTTTTTTTTTTTTTTTGTAACAATATTAATAAAAAAAAAGAAGACCCCTTCTTTGTGTGTGTATCTATTTTTATTTATTGTTGAAAACAAAAAAAATCATGTCCGTTTATTGTTATTATTATAGGAAAGGAAATGTTCAGGCAAGACGATAAGGATTTGTTTCTCGATAATAAGTAAACTCATCCCATACAAAATCAGGATCAATATTTTTATAAGGTACAGCACAACTACCATCTTGCCAATCAATGCTAATTGCTGGATCACAGTGACATTTTTCTTGTAAAAATGGTTCAGTAGGGCAATGAGCTACTGGTGGATGATTATAACCAATATCATTAAAAAAATGAATTTCACTTTTTTTTAATAAAAGTGCCGCTGCAATGGAATGGACAGGTGCATCTCCCCATCTTTAAAATTCAAGTCGCATAAAAAAAAAATAAAAAATAAAGAGAGATTAGTACCCTCACTTTTTTTTTTTAATTTGGATGCTTATTATTTTTTTTTTTAAAAAAAAAGATACCTTTCGTAAAAGAAACCACCTTCTTGATCCAAATGATCAAAGAAATCAAGATAGGGCTGACTACGGAAGAAATCCAAAGAACCAATTTCAAAGTTGGACCAAAAATGACATCCATTATAATAATCAGCTTTGGTAGTATCATCCATTTGCATGATCCAAGATAAAAGACTTTGTTGAGGATCAAATACACCATAATGTGGAAATTTTTGAATAAAGCGACGTGTAGCTGCCCATAAGGTTTCAATCGTTTCAGGAATCTCTTGAATCGCAATCGTCCATCCATATTTGAATCCTTTATCTTTCATCAATTGAAATACATCGTAATCCACATCACAATAAAAATCAACATCTGGTTCCACACGCCAGTAGTAATCATAGCCATCCAAAAGTGGATGTCGGAAAAAGAGTCCTGATTGGAATCGACACATATGTCTATAACTTTCACTATCTATATAAATCAATCAATAACAATATGTAAATTTAAGAGAGACTGTTTTCTGTACCCACTTTTTTTTTTTTTTTTTTTTTTTGTGACGGATGATAATCTTACCAGCATAAGGTGGTGGATTTTCCAAACTGGCCATTTCTTTACGTTTAGTTGCAGCAATGGATTGATCGATATGTTCAGGATAACCCCACCACATGGTATCTTTAAAGATACGCGTGCCATTTGTGGTCCAGAAAGGAGCTGGTTGGACAGATTTAGGGATTTGACCAAACTGAGCAGTGGATGAGATTAACAAATGGACATAATGTTTAAATTCATCCGTGAAAGGTTCTTCATTTAAAAACACGTAGGGATAATGGAACCGACGGTTGACACGGGCTTCAAATTGTCGAATGGAGGCACGAATACCATGAAGATCACTATTTCTAGCCAATATCACTACCACTCCTTTTGCACGATCTTGGTCTTGAATGTTTTTATTCAATGGAATAAATGGTTGTTGTTGCTTTGAATATTGTTCATTTCCTTTTACTTGTATTGGTTGTGTTTGAAACTGATTGCTTTGATTTTTTATAACATTATTGTTGTTGTTGTTGTTACGATCATACATAAAAGGTGATGAAGTTTCTACTGGTGAACTTTCTGATGATGATGATGATGACGATGATGAAAAATAAAAATAACGACCTAACCATAAAAACAAGAACACTATCATAAAGGTTCGAATCATTGGAAAGTATTTCGATCTTTTTCGTCGATATTTCTCAAACATATGGATTTTATATTATATAATGATGTTAGAATTATTAGATAAATAGAGGAATGAATAGATAATAATGAATCATTACAAAAAAAAAAAAAAGAAATCAATATCTTTATATCTCAAGAACTATGTTGCATATCATTAACATACCTCAATCATGCCTTTTTTGTATAATCCCAAAAAGAAAAAAAAAAAAAAAAGGAGATGGACCTTTTGATGGTCAGCCAATAAGATTTCAAGATGAAAGATGTAGCCTAGAAGCGGAGCATTGAAAATTTTTTGAAAGAGAGGGTTCAACACGACTTCATTTCTTTCCCTTCTTTTTTTTTTCTCTTTATTCATTATAATATTATACACATCATGCCTTATACTCTTCTTGCTCTTGAAAACCCCTTATTAGATATTCAAGCCAACGTTTCAGATGAATTCTTGGCCAAGTACAAACTCAAGTCTAACGATGCTATCTTGGCTGCTGAAGAACACCAACCTTTGTAAGTTATATTATTTTTTTTCTTATCAATTAAACTCATTTTTTTTTTTTTTGGTAAGGTACAAGGAATTAGTCGATACCTACAAAGTTGTCTATGTTGCTGGTGGTGCTGCTCAAAATACTGCTCGCGGTGCTCAATACATCATGCCTCCTAACAGTACTGTTTATATGGGTGCTGTGTCCAATGATGATTATGCTAAAACTATCAAGGATGCTGCTGAAGCTGATGGTCTCAAGACCAACTATCAAATTGTTACCTCTGCTCCTACTGGTACTTGTGCTGCTTTGATTACTGGTCACGATCGGTAAGTAGTTAACATATATATGCTGAAGTAATACTCAATATTATATATTGTTATTGTTTTTAATATATAGATCCCTTGTTACTAACTTGGGTGCTGCCGATTTGTTCACCTTTGAATTCTTGCAACAACCTGAAAATTGGAAGTTGGTGGAAGAAGCTTCTTACTATTACGTTGGTGGATTCTTCTTGACTCACGAAGGTGGTTTCAAGTCTGCTACTGCCATTTCCGAATATGCATCCAAGAATAACAAACCCTTTGCATTGAACTTGAGTGCTCCCTTCTTGTCACAATTCTTCAAGGAACGTCTCGATACCATTATCAAGAACACTGATATCTTATGTGGTAATGAAGATGAAGCTCGTACTTATGCCAAGCAAGCTGGTTTTGAAGAAACTCATGATGTTCAAGTCATTGCTAGCAAGTTATCACAACTCCCTAAGGGTAATGATCGTCCCCGTATTGTCGTCATCACTCAAGGTTCCGATGCTACTATTGTGGCTGTTGGTGATAAGGTGGATAGTTACCCCGTCAACAAGGTGGAAAGCAAAGATATTGTCGATACCAATGGTGCTGGTGATGCCTTCTGTGGTGGTTTCCTTGGTTTGTATGCTCAAGGTGTAACTGATTTGAAACGATGTGTTCAAGCTGGTCACTATGTTGCTGGTCTTGTTATCAAGCAAGTTGGTCCCACTTATCCTCAAGGTGCTGCTAAGGGTACTCTTCCTACTTTTTAAATCATTTAATATAGTTTAGATTCTTTTTTTTTTTATATTTATTTTAGAATCATTACCATTTTGTCATAGTTTGCTTTTTTGTGGTTTTAGTAATGTATGTGTATATGTTGTCTTTTTGTATACGTTTTCATCAATTAAAAAAAAAGAATATTTCATCATCGCGAAATAGTCAGTCATTAAAAAAAAAAAAAAGGATGTCTTTATTTCATGATTGAATAAGTGATATATATATACTAAACATGGGGAATGAAGGAATAGACTAAACTAAGACGATGACCGTTGACGCTTGACTGGAGGACCACTAGATCAAATAAAACAAAAAAAAAATAGAAAATAAAAAATGAAGAGATCAATCACTTTGCAAGGAATGGAGACACCCCCCTCAGTTCTCTCACTCTCCCTTTTCTCTCTCTCTCTGTCTTCATTTTGAAATATTACCTTTTGATGTCAGCAAGTTGTTGTAAAGTTTCCAGGTCGAGTTTTTCATCGGCATGGGCTTCCGCTACACGTGCAAAAAAATCTTCATCGTCTTCATCGTCTATCATAAATGAGAAAAGGATAAGTCATACTCTTGATTTCCGCCATGTTTTTTCATTTTACCTATAATAAAACTGTCCTCTGAATACAACAGTGGTTTCGTTGTTTCCTCTTCTTCCTTTTTTGTTGTTGTTGTTGTTGTTGTTGCTGTAGGTGGAGGTGGTGGAGGTGGCGGCTTATTATCATCAGTTGGATCCAATGTTTTCCGAATATGTTCTTGTCGATATAATTCTAGTGGAACAAAAGGTGCCTTTGTTATAAAATAAAAAAAAAAAATCATTAGTTTGAATTCATAATATATCATTTCTACTTACAGTCGAGCGAGCCATGGTACTGATATTCCGCAAATACGTCTTATCGTATACGCAATTTCCAAGAGCATTTCCAAACATACGAAGAGCTCTCTTCATTCCATCAGTGGTTGATTCCTTACGGGCCTTTTCAAATGCAGAGGCTTTGGTCTTCATATTATCAGCTACGCCATAACCAATATCTTCATGATATGTTCCATCTTTTAATGTGACCCGTACAGTAGTTGCAATTCCTAAGTTTATTTTGCCGTCGTCTGATATATCAAACTATAAATACAGATCAAAGAGAAATAGAGAGAGAAAAAGAGAAAGAAAAGATTAGCATAGATCTATACAGATCAAACGTTCCAACTTTTTTTTTTTTTTTTTTTTCAAAACATACAAAATCCACTACAGACTCCTTGACTTGACTACTCCAACCATCATAACCAAATAGTTCATTGGCGAGATTGATAGCTGTTTTACCTTCTAAATACATGAGTTTTGCTCCACCAGCTATAATATATAAGATTAGTTCGTGTTTCCGTCGTGTTTCCGTCGTGTTTCTTTCTTTTTTTTTTTTTTTTTTTTTACTTGCGTCCACTTCGACTTGAGATCCATTCTGGACCAAGAGATTTCTTCAAATCTTCCTTTAGAGAATGCGATTGATACATTGTATATTCAACGTGTTTTGATCTAAGAAAGAAAGAAAAAGAAAAAAAAAATAGCAGGATGAGGCACAACAATTGCAGATAAAACCTTAAAAAAAAATTCAACGATGGCGGATTGCGAAAAATCACATTGAGGCAGGGATTATCAAATGAACTTTGTATAAAGATTCCTTCAAGCTCTACTACTTTTTGATGATGGCTACGGAAAGAAAAAAAAAAGCTTAATGTAACACAAAACGATTGGAAATAAACAACAAAAAAAAAAAGAAGGTAGGGTCATTCATTGCAATAACCCTTTTTTTTTTTTTTGTTAAATGACAAGTTATTAGAATAGGGGCAATTATGATTGGTTAAAGAGTTGTCTGATGATGATGATTTGTCCATTCAACTTGTCAGGCACCAGACACCACTAAAAGAACCAAAACTAAAATAGTTAAATGATCTATTATGACCACTTTCCATTCCATTTTTAGATCATTGCATTGAAGAAAAAAAAAAAAAAAGAATCCATAAAAAAAAGGTTACTTATTCTCTTTTTCTTTCACTTTTTTTTTCTTACTTTTTTTTTTTTACCATTCTACAATATGAATCAAAGTAATATTATAGATAGAGTGGTTTATTATTTATCATTATTACATGATAAAGAAAATTCATCTGGTAGTTATTATCTTGTAAATCGACAATGGTACAAAGCATCTTTACCTTATTTACCTTCAGTCTTATGCATTCAACCTTTTACATCATCATCATCATCATCATCATCAATGTCACCTTTGAGTCATCTTGTAGAAAAATTAACCTGGTTTAACTTGTCTCATGCTCAACAGAAAAAAATCGTTATTATTGACATGACTTTTCTATCCTCACAGCACAATCATCCTTCTTCCAACGAATTGTTTCAGCATTCATGTCATCGACGTTCTTCTACTACTCCCTCTACATCACCTTATACTTCTTTTTTATCTTCATCCCCTATCACGAAATGGATCAAATCTGTCTCCCCTTTAAATAAAAAAATAAAAAAGATGGTTTCTATTTCCTCTCTTAATACAAAATATCAACAGAGAAGAAAAAGCACGTTGTATAATGAACCAACATTCATTCCATTTTCCTCATCCGCTTCCTCTACTGATGGCTTTACATCTATCACTTCTGAATCACTCTATCATCCAACCAAAGAAAAAGTAAAACTTGGCGATAATAATGATGATGCGTCTTCCTATTTTTGTGATGCATGCTTACAATTGTACGATGTTGCTGATGCTACGGTGGAACTACTCTCGCTTTGTGCAACTTATGTCCGTGCACTTAAACTTGATTTCAAACACAGTCGTTACCATAACAACAACGACCAGACTATGAGATATTTCTTCTCTCAGTTGATGCGTCATAATGTTATTTTTCCTCATCTACATTCAATCACCATTCATAATCTACCTCGATGGAATCAACAACAATCAAAGACATGGTGGATGTGGCTAAAGACATTACCCACACCATATCATCTAGGTATACATCATTGCACTTCAGAGCTGCTACAGTACGAATTTTGTCAACTACTACGTCAATGGATCAACAACACGCCATTTGATGATACACATCTACGTTCGATACATCTTCATGGTATTATATTACAATATGATCGAAAGCAAAGCCTATTACTTTTCCCATCATCAGAAATATTTCCATCCTCTTTGCATCATTTGTTATTGACAGACTGCGATCCTGACTGGTTATTCTCACCTAACCCATGGCAATCCATCAGCCAATCTTGTCCACATTTAAAAACCCTTCATGTCTGTAACAAGTCAACCGCCACTAATCATGCAATGATGGTGTATCATCATCACATGATCGATGATGATGATCATTTGGTTCAAGGTGTATCCGAGATTTTACAACATTGTACTGATCTTGTTACATGGTCCATTCAAGGTCTTTCTATCCATTCCACTGATGATCATCTTATTAAAACAAGGATTATTGAACGTGCATTGATCGATGATCCTTCTCAACGTAAGCGTACTCGATGTACCTCTTCTCCTTCCGCCATACTTATCCACACAAGAGATCAGGCCACTTGGCGCTATAACATAGATAGCATACTTTCTAATAGCTTACCTTTATAGATTTTTTTTTCTTTTTCTTTCTACTTTTTTTTTAACTATCATTTCAAGTTACCCGTAATAAATAAATAATAAAAAAAAAGTTACCTACTTTCCCTATCTTTTGTTTGTTTCTTCGGTATTTAAAACCCTAAGCATCAAAAGCTTTTGTTTTTCCTTACCTTCCAATCTCATACATTTTTTTTTCCTTTTTCCTTTTTTTTTTCCTTCCCTTTTTTTTTCAATGACTGTTCCTCAGACTGAACCTTTACTTCCTCGGCATGCATCTATAACAGTCATTGATGACGAATCACGTTCAGTTATTTTACCACCATTACCTCCTTCGATAGTTCATGATGGCACACTCATGTATTACATGGTATGGACTTGGCGCTTAGTTATTTTCTCAGCGACAGGTGGCACTAGTTTAAGACTATGTAATATGATCTTACAACAAGGATTGGGTATTACTGGTAAGAGAAGAGTTGAACTGTGACTTTATATTTAATAATATTACCCTTTTTTTTTGTTTAATTGATTAATATACTAATAACTTTTTTTTTTCTTTCTTTCTCTATTTACTTTCTTTCAGTGGCAAGGATAGGATGGATATTATATGGGCTTTTGGTTAGCATCTTGGAACTATTGTTTGTCTATCCTTTCACTTTGTTTATTATTGGTACTATCGGTTGTCAACGTCGATTTTATGGTCGTGTTATCTATAAAGGCTGGGGAACTTGGCTTTTACCCTGGTCCGTACAAAAAAGATGGATTCTGTCCAACTGGTTGTAATCTCCCTCGCTCTCTCTCTCTCTCTCTTTGTACATCTTATATTATTCATCGTTAGTTATAGATACTCTTTAATACATTCATACCCCCCAACTCTTATGTTATCCAATTATACAATAAACGCGCTTGTGTAAATATACTTTTCGAATTTGACGTGATTTGACTCTATGGTTCATATGATATCTCTTATGATTATTCTTATGATCATTCTTATTCTTATGACGATATATATATATTATAATGATGATAATTTCCCTGTTAACTGTCAGATGTCAAATTGAAATTGAGTGCTGATTAGCATTGGTTTGTTTCAATTGATCAATGACAAGGGATGTCTTCCATTTGATTTCAGCATGTTCCTCCATCACACTTTCATATGAGTGTGATATCCTTCAGAACAAGCGTTACTACATGCATCAAGTGTCGACTGTTCATTTTTCTTATGCAGGAACAATAAGGTAAGGGGGAACAAACATTCAAATCCTCACTTTTATGATGTCATTTTGAATGATGCTGTGTTGTGAATAAGGTGCCTATGAAAAACCCAGGCTGTGTTACATCAATAAGACCTTGCATGGTTCGAGAATTTGAAAAAAGAAAACATTTGGCGCGGGGATTTCGTATTATCTCTCTCTCTCTCTTTTTTTTTTTCTCTCTCTCTCTCTCTCTTTGATTCTCATTATTTCAGAAATGGCTAGTACAGGTATGATATCACCATATTCTGTTTTCTCATTTTATACTAATCGATCCTGTACTACTACTATTATTACTAACGCTACTATTATTATGATTATTCTTATTATAGATCAACCAGCTGGTACCATTGGCGATTTATTCCTACGTTTACGCTATGCAACGGACCCTACAGCAGACACCTTTTTCGAATGGCAGGGCTCTGTATTGTAAGTCAATGAAAAAAAGTGACAAACAAGCGAATGTTATATATGTGATGATATGTTGAAACAAAAAAAAAATTACTTTTTTTCTTGCATAGTGCGTTTGTACCTGGAGAACCTCCCAAGAAGGTTTTCAATGTCGTTGGTATGAATGTGGCCAAAGCTTCGGTGGACAAGGACACTCAACAACTCAAGATGACCAGTCGAGAACTTACTTATTATTTGTCACCAGATAATGAGAACAAAAAACTGGAAACTTGGGATAATCCATGGACAAAGGAAAAAGATTTACCAGTCATCCACATTGCCAATGACCCTGTACAAATGGCTTTACCTGCTAAAGCTCCTTTGACTATCAATACCAATCCTTACGGCTCAACTTCTGCTATTGTTACCGAGGTAAGAAGAAAAGTATTTCTTTTTATGTAAAAATAAGTTGTTGATTAATCATTCTTTCTCTTCTTTTTTTTTTTTTTTATTTTGGTGATGCGTATTCTAATAGATTCCCTTATTTTATCCTAACCCATTAGCTACTGAAGATGGTATTTATGATGATTATGATTCTACAAAGATGTATCAAGGTAAATAATAATAATAATAAAAAAGAAATTAGGGAAACTTGTCAAGTAACTCATTTTGATATATTTGATGATGATGATGATGATAACAGCGGCGGAATGTTTTACCTTTAGATGTGCCACCGATGAACTATATAAGAAGGAAACGATTGAACAAGTGGATATTAACTGGACTCGAGTATCACCTCCAGCCCCATTTATGAAGATGGGACAATATCAAAAACAACAAAGTAAAAATGGTGGTTGCTATTTGGTATATCATTGTACTGGTTACAAACTACCTCCAGGATCAGATTATCATGCTTTGAAGAGCTCAGTACTTCGTCATGAAATCGAACATGTTGTGCCATCTTATTCTCAAGCTCCTGAATCCTTTGATCCCAAAGTCCGCGGTGTCTCTAGTTGGACTTACTTTAAACAACATTATGATCGATATCAACATGATCCTCATACTACTTGGCCTATTCCTGAAAATCATCAATGATCCAATGATATTATCTTTTTTTGGTAGTTAGTTGTCCTTCTATATACATTTATCTATAAAATAAAAAAAAAATAGGTTTTTTTTTCCTTTGTTTGATACAAATCATATTTGTTTTCCTTTATTGATGAATAGAAATAGCAACAACGAAAAAAAAAAATATGACTTTCATATATATATACATATATATAAATAGTTGATCGACTAAACTAAAAGTAAACTAAATACTAAAGTAGAATAGATATAAAAATTGAGGAGAGTAAAATGTATTCTCCTATTTCACTTAAGATCGTTCACCACGAAGACGACGAGCCAATTGAATATCTTTGGGTTGAATAGTCACACGCTTGGCATGGATAGCAGCAAGATTGGTGTCTAAACAAATGAATCAATATTTGAATAATGAGTATGATCCTTTCATCTTAACCGCAGTCCTACTAGTCATTTTTCCAATTCTGTTTCAAATAAAAAATAAAATTTTTTTTTATTACCTTCAAAGAGAGAGACAAGATAAGCTTCCGCAGCTTCTTGTAAAGCACCAATAGCAGATGATTGGAAACGCAAGTCAGTCTTGAAATCTTGAGCAATTTCTCGTACCAAACGCTATAAGAAGAAGAAGAAAAAAAATGAGTATCTTTGTTATCAAAGGAAGATTGTGTTCTTTTTTTTTTTTTCTAGCCTACTTGGAAAGGAAGTTTACGGATCAAGAGTTCGGTGGATTTCTAATATATATAAAAAAAAAGAAGGATGAATTTTAAGTTAAGTGATTCCTTCATAACAATATATCATCACTCCATTCAATTTTTTTTTTTTTTACTTGATAACGACGGATTTCTCGAAGAGCAACAGTACCGGGCTTATAACGATGAGGCTTCTTCACACCACCTTGATTAAAAAAAAAAGAAAAATGTGAATATGTTTAATCATGTTCCTTTTTCATATTTTATTTATTTATTTGTTTACCAGTAGTAGGAGCAGACTTGCGAGCAGCTTTGGTAGCTAATTGTTTTCTGGGGGCTTTACCACCAGTAGATTTACGAGCAGTTTGTTTGGTTCTAGCCATATTGATGAAATTAAAAAAAAAAAAAGGAGTGAAGAAAAAAAAGAAAAGAAAAGAAAAGAAAAAAAGGAAAAACAAATCGTTTATTGACCTTTTTGTCTATCATGGGATTTTTGATAGTAATGGTTGATACTCCGCAGTCATTGCTTCCAAAGTAAGAAGACTATAAACCTGTCCAATCATACTACCATTGTTTCGGTTTGATCGGCTTGATTTTTTTTTAAGTAGAAATGACCATATTATCAGAAGAAGAAGAAAAAAAAAAAAAAAAAAAGAAAGAGATCCAATTTCTGCAACCTGATCTTACCAAATGTCAACAGTTATTATTATTATTTTTAAAATTGGGCCAAAGGAGTATTTTTTTTTTATCCATTTCTTGATTCATCAATGAATAATTACAATGATTTTGGTTTGAAGTTCCTTCCGTAATTGAAAAGAATAATATAGAATGGGATAAATGGAAAATATAGATACAGAGAGAATAATAAAAAGTTGTTTTTCCTTGTTTTCTTCTATATCATCAAAACCTGATGGTAACCAATCTTTCACTACCAAGCGTCCCTTTATTTCATCACCCTAATAACAATAATTACATATCATCCAATATTATTCACATAATCATGACACTATCAATATCATTTCAATATGAGGACACAAGAGATTTTTTTTTTCGTTTTGAAATGCCGCATTTTCAACCATCTTCTTTGTTTTTCCCTCTTCATATCACGCCGTCTTTTTTTATTTTTCTCTCTCATGACCAAAACTTTAATATTAGACAATGGTGCGTCAACAATGAAAGTTGGTTTAGCTCATCACCGTTTACCCAAGTAATTATCAATCTAACAAAAAAAAAAAATTGGTCTTATTAATACTTCCATATTTTTTCTTTTTTTAATATTGTAGAATCGTGCCAAATGTCATTTTACGTGGAAGAAACGATCGTCGTCATTATATAGCTGATCAAGTAGATGAATGTACTGATTTCTCGTCACTTTTATATCGCTTGGCTTTTGAAAAGGTAAAAAAAAAAAAAATAAGATTCTATTTATGGATCTTTAATAATGCATTCTATTAGGGATACCTGACCAATTGGGGTTTGGAAAGAACAATATGGGATCGCGTCTTCAAACAAGTAGTCAAGGTAAGATATGGGGGATATATATAATATGTACGGAATAGAGTTGTACTAAAAATGTACATATTTTTTATCCTAGATAGATACCAAAGACACTCAACTTATTATTACGGAACCACTTTTCAACTTGACCTCGATTCAAGAAGCTTATGATCAGATTATTTTTGAAGAATATGAATTTCAGTCGTGTTATAGAACAACAGGACCTCAACTTTGCATCTATAACGATTGGTATTCACTTTTTGGTGGCGATATTCAAACAAACAGTATCCCTGATTGTGCTTTGATTGTAGACTCTGGTTACTCTTTTACACATATTATCCCCTTTTTTCAACGAAAACCAATCACCAAAGCTATTCGAAGGTAACAATTAGGATACTTGCTTATTGTATAATTTTATTCTGATCTTTATTTTTCTATATATCTATATATATATATATATATATATAAATAGGATTAATGTGGGTGGGAAATTATTGACAAATCAATTAAAGGAAACTGTCTCTTTTAGATATTACGACATGATGGAAGAAACTTATATTATTAACGATGTCAAGGAAGCGTCTTGTTATGTATCACAAAATGCCATGCATGATTTAGACATTTGTAGGTAAATTTTTTTCAAAAAAAAAAACAAAAAACAATAATATGAAAGATACCCATCAAATATATATATATATATATATATATATATATTTCAATCTATTAGACTAGATGGTGCAAAGAATACGATTGTACAAGATTTCGTTTTACCTGATTTCACCACAACAACTAGAGGTCATGTTCGACCTCATCAGATGCAAAGCAAGAACAGTAAGATCAAGATGTCAACAAATGATGATGATCAAGTATTGGTGATGAATAATGAACGCTTTATGATACCCGAATTATTGATGCATCCTTCAGACATTGGTATGCAGCAAGCTGGCATCCCGGAAACCATTATGCAATCGATCCAAGCATGCGATCCAGGTATTTTTTTTTTTTTTTTAAAAAAAAAAAAACTGATTCTTTTCATCTTTTCATGACTGATTTTTCATACTTAATTTACTTTTCATTATTAGAACTACATGGACTTTTGTATGCAAATATTGTACTTGTTGGTGGGAATGCCAAGTTTAATGGATATCAGCAAAGAATGTAAGATGAAGAATTAATAATATCTGCATGTATGAATAATGATATTGACGATATATGTATTGGTAGAGAAACGGATTTGAGACAGATGGCACCAAGTATATTTGACATCCGGGTGACAACACCAATAGAGTAAGTAGTAGTAAGGATGATGAATCCAAAAAATTATATTGTGCCTTACTAATACCTTTTTTTTTTTTTTTTGGTTGATGACCATAGACCTGTTATCGCAGCTTGGATGGGCGGACAAAGGATGTTCTCCAATCTAAGTAAGTCCGAATCACAACAGATGTTTGTTACCCGGAAAGAATATATGGAATATGGTAGTGATATTTGTAGAAGGAAGTTTAGTTATTGAATGTACATGTTGATTATTATGATGGACATAATAAAAAAAGAAGCTATTTTTTTTATCTAGTCTTATTTGATTTTGTTTTTGGAAAAACGATGAAGAGGATGTTTTTAGCACGACAAAAATGGGAATGTGTGGCTAAAATGAAATAGGACTAATTTTGGATCTTACTCAAAGACCTTATCCGGTATATCTTTACAAAAAAGAGAACGTAGCGCAGTCAAAGGGCGAAGGAAAAACTGGTACGATTGACGATGATAATGATGATAAGGTTCAATGAAAGACTATATTATATGAGAATGTATGACTAGAAGTATCAAGCAAGATTATGGTTCATCAAAAGTCATCACTATAAATAGATTATTCAGAAAACCAAACGAGAGGATGATGATAATAATAACGTGGTAATTTACAGTAATGTATTGAAAAAATGAGCAATCATACTTATGTAATTTTTTTAATATTGATTCGAATGAATTTAAATACAAGGTTCAAGGTGTGCTTCCAACACAAGTGATGTCCAGGCCAAAGAAGCATAATGTGCCCTTTTTTTTTTATTATTATTATTATTTGTTTTTTTGAGCTCGACAGATGACTAGATTTGGTTAGATTCTAATAATTTATGAATGAGTTTGGGTATTGATGTTTTAATGTATATTTTTCCTGTCTTTCTCTTTTTCAAAATCACCACTTTTTTTTTTTTTTTTTTTTTTTACTCCCGCCATCTCTCCCTAAATATACTTACATATTGAAGTTTGTATTACCAAAGACTTTAGAGAAGGTAGTACCTTTTTTTTATTTTATTTTTATTTTTTTTTAGTTGCCTTATTAAAGTCATCATTATGCTAAAAAAACTAGTTTAAAGATGTAAAAGGGATCTAGTATGAAGTATAAAGAGTAGTGATGGATTCTATTTTTGGCATTTTCTTTGAGGTTGTCATCATCATCATCTTGTTCCTCAACAATGAAAAAAAAAAAAGTGGTACAAAAAGAGAAACAAAAACAAAAAAAAAAAAGTCTCGACTCATAAGCAGGCACCGGCCACATTATTTCTAAATATGTTTTTTTTGATTTACCAAACAAAAAAATCAAGAGGCTAGAGAAAAAAGACCAATGTATCTTCTATAGTCCACGTGTCTTATTGCTTTTTCATTATTTTGCTTTATTCTTATCATTCGTTATTTTATGCCAAGGTCAAATATGATTTTTTGGCTCTAAGTAGATGCGGTATTTCAAATCCGTTTCAGGTCCTTTTTTTTTTCCCCTGGACTAAAGAAACTAAGTCTAATAATAATAAAAATAGTATAAAGAATCTAGATAAATAAAAAAAAAATAGATTCCCTAAGTAAAATTTTTTATCAAGATGGTTACTAAGATAAAAAGGTAAAAAAATAAAAAATAATAATATAAAAAAAACAAAAATAGCAGCAGTAATTAAGGAATATCAAAAAAGTTTTTTGGGATCCCATAGAAACTTACCAATTTTGAGACTCAGGTAATTAGTTTTGTCCACTCGATTAGCCAATCATATTAAATAGATTCACCATAGTTTCAAACTCCCTCAATTTGCGTTTCCCTTTTCGTCCATTTCCTCCCTTTTTTTTTTATTTTATTTTAGTTTTATTTTTTTTATTTTTCTTTTCTTTTCTTTTCTTTTCTTTCTTTTTTTTTTCAATAGATATTCTTTATTCTTCTTCTTTATTCTTTTTTTTTTAACTTTATCGCTTAGCAAACGATCTAGTCGAAAGAAATACAAACACCCCTCTTTTATCAACTGACGAAAAGAAAAGACCAAACGTCGATTTTACGCGAAACCTAACATATTCTCTCGACCTCGACCTTTTTTTTTTTTCTTCTTTTTTATTATTTGTACCATCATCCTTCCATTCCTTGTATCAACTTTTTTTTATTACATACCCAACACAATCGTTTTAAAACAATAACATGCGTACTACACTTCTCGCCTTGGCTGCTATCGCCCAACTTGCTCTTTCAGTAACTGCTGAACCTGAACCATACAAGGTTCCTTTGTATCGTCGTTCTAATGGTGTTATTTCAGCTGCTGGTAAAGCTCTTGACAATGGTGTGGTAAGTCATCCTAATAAAATAAACAATATATATAGAATGATTGATTGATGGATGATTATTTGATAGCTTGCTGGTACTGTTCAAATTGGTACTCCTCCTCAAGAATTCACTGTTGCTTTCGATACTTGTAAAGTTTATTATATATTGAGTCAAACTTTTTTTTATTTATTTATTAATATTACTCTTTTATTTTTTATGTATCATTATAGCTTCTGGTTACTCTTGGGTTCGTGGATCTAGAGTAAGTAGTCTATACCAAATAGAACAAAGAAATACACAAAAACTCCTTCACCCCCTTTCCTCTCGACCCCTCTCTCTTTCTTTCTCTTCTCCTCTTTTTTTTTTTTTTTTTTTTTTGTCATCATCTATCTTTTTTTTTCACTTCATCCCCTTATATTCAGCACAGCCAAAGAATGATTCATCTTACCCCTATTTTTTTTTTTTGTTAGTGTAAAACCGAAAACTGTCTCGACCGTTGTACTTATTATGCTAGACGATCTACTACCAGCAAACCTACCGGTCAAAAGTTCTCTGTCAAATATGGTGATGAATGTGTTGACACTCATATTTACTTGGATACTGTAGAATTCTCTGGTATCAAGGTTCACAACATGCCTTTTGGTGGTGCTTATCGTATGAGTGGTTTCGATCACGGTTTTGATGGTTATCTCGGTCTTGGTCCCTCCGTTAACTTCAACAACACCAAGTTGACTCTTGGTTCTAGTCGTCATCTTGCTAAACGTGATGATTTACCTCCTTCTGCCTTTGTGCCCAATGCTTATCAACAAGGTGCTGGTGTAGGTAGCTCTCAATTCGGTATGTACACTACTGATAATGGTGCTGGTTTTGATCAAAACGGTGGTTCTACTGGATCTACTGGATCTACCGGTTCTACTGGTTCTACTGGTACTGTTCCTCCTCCTGCTACCAATGGTACTACTACTCCTCCTCCTGCTACCAATGGTACAACGACTCCTCCTCCTGCTACTACTTCTCCTTCTAATGGTGGTACCACTGGTAATACTGGTGGTGTGACTTCTGGTGGTTTTGGTTTCAGCAAACGACACAATACTCAAGAACAAAAACCTGCTGGTTATCTTGTGATTGGTGGTATTGATAAATCTGCCATCGAAGGTGATGTGAATTACTTACCTTTGGCCGACAACAAGAATGGTGGTGCCAAGAACTGGGATGTATGTATTAAACACGCCAAGATCGGTAAGGAACTTCCTTTACCTCAACAAGACAATGCTATTGCTGCCATCAGTACCTCTAGTCCTTATATTATCATGCCTAAATGTCAAGCCGATGAATTCAAGAAAACCTATGGTGGCAAGTTCTATCAAAAGTCTGGTACTTATAGCGTCAAGTGTTCTGAAATCAAGGACCTTCCTCCTTTGAAATTGACTTTGGAAAACAAGGTGGTTCAATTGCCTGCTAAATACTGGACTCGTGAAATTGATGCTGATCGTGATTGTTGTGAAGTTCTTTTGGCCAAGGGTGCTTCTACTACTGATTGGGTGCTTGGTGTTCCCTTTACCAATGCTTTCTATACCACCTTTGATGCTGAAAATGAACAACTTGGTTTGGCTATCAAGAAAGGAAATAGCGATAAGGATCTTCAAATCTATGATGCTTAGGTTTTTTTTTTTTTTTTTTTTTTAGTTCTCCCCTGTTTTAGATTTAGTCCTCCTTATTATACATCATCTTTACTCCTCTCTCTTTTCTTGTAGAACTTCATTCTCTCCCTTCTTTTTTATTATTATTCTTTTTATTTCTTCTCCTTCCTTTTTGATATCTGTACGTTTGATCTATCTTTGTCTCTTTTTTTATTTTTGATGAAAATGAAAAAAAAAAAATTGAAAAAAAATATATATATACACATATACATATTCTTTCTATTATTTTATTGTCCTGTCTATCATCATTCTAATTATTTGATCTGATGATCCTCTCCATTCACTCTAAAATTTTTTTTTTTTTTTTTATCTATTGACTTGAAATGACTATGACTGAGTTCCTTTTTTTTTCAATAAACTTTTTTTTTCCCACCCCTGAAATCCATCTTTCTGTTCAAAACCTTTCCTTCATGCCCAAAGATGTTTTAATTATTATTATTATTACTATTCATTATCACACATACCTTTCACATACATGACACCATCTTTTTTCATCATCATCATCATATAGAACTAACAAACTAAAATCACTCTATATCATGTTTTTTTTTATTGAAGAATCATCATATCAAAACAAAACTATCTACAAGCTCTTTTTGAACCACATCTAAATTTCCATGTAATATTGAATATAAACTATTGATAATATTGCCATCATCCTAAAAGAAAAAGAAAAAAAAAAGATATGAGTCTGGGTTTAGATTCGATTCTCTCTTTTTTTTTTTTTTGGTGTTACCTTGTAGGCAGTAGCACAATCTGGTGTAGCCTCAATATTCAAAAGTATAGGTTGATAATTATCTGTCAACATGATATCAAATGTATAAATACCATATGCACCTTCATCACAGTCCTTTCCAGGTGCCAGACCAAGCCGTTGATGTTGAATGGTTGCCGCATATAGAACATCTAACCATACATATGCATAGCATTAAATAATATAAAAAAAAGGGGGGATCATTGAGTAACTATATATGTTCTTCTTTTCATTTTTTTTTCTTTTTTCTTTTTTTCTATTACCTTTGATCACTTTGTAAATATTCGTTTTAATATTCTTCCATTGTACATTTTCCTTTTCCATATGACGAATAAAACTTGTATGATCTAAACTGGTCATAGAATAGCCACTGTCAGAAAGATATTGACGGTCCATATCTTCGACATCATCTATCTTGTACTTCTTATTGGCTAGACGAACCCAAAACTTGTTGTTGTAAACAGCAGCTAACCATGTGGGAGGAGATGAGGCTAGATGACGCAGTGCTACTATGAAGCGAAGGTGGAACTTTTTGCCATTGTAAAGACAAGGTCGAGTGATGTACCGTTGGGCTGATTGAGGGATCATGGGAGTATCATATTGACGAATCAGTTCAGGTAGTGATGTGATGATACGGCGGTTTGAATGGTCGTCTTCATAAGGCTGAGTAAGCCAAAATGGAATTTGTTGATCAGTGAGCCGGTGTAAATGATCACCTACGCATTCGGCCAATTCCTTTTTCAAATCGTAAACAGTTGGATACCAATCATCTGTTTTGATACCATAAGTTTGACGCAACAATTGAGATAAGAAACCCCGATGGGTGAGACATTGTTCATTGCTGAATTTATGTTGTTGTTGTTGTCGAGTCCAAACGAAATCCGCTTGATCAGGGGAACTAACCCATTGTATATTGTCCAATGTCAGTCCTAAGCGTACACAGTCTATATCCGTAAATACTTTGGTTATATCTGTAGTTGATGATGATGAGCTGAGAGCGGCCTGAACATCGTCCATTTGAGTAATTTTATTGTCAATATCAGAATGTTTGATAGTCTTGTTACTATCCAATGCAGCGGCAAATACTTCATAGGCTTCTTTGATCAATGTGGAATCAGCGAGTAGTTGCTGGTCTTGAGGCGAGATACGATCTTTGAAAGCATAAAGATATGCTGTTTTATCACATTGTCGATCGGTCATAGCCTTTGGAAGAAGGTCACAAGAAATCAAATCACCAGGTTTGATGGATCGGATGGGAAACAAAATACTATAAGGTATCATACCAGAAGCACCACGAGAGAAAATAAAAGGAACGCACATCATATTTGGTTCAGTTGAATGGCAGATAGCAGAACCCACTTCATCATTCACGTCTTTATACCATCAAAATAAAATCAAAAAAAAAAATGAATGATTAGAAATGATAAGTAAGTGATAGGATATATATTTTTTTTACTTACACAAGGCGGTTTGTGCAGCTGATTGACCATCGGTTTTCAATACAGTATAGGAATAAGTTTGAATAAAAGACCACATTTTGTTGTATACTCTACTAACGCGACGTTCCATCCAATCTTGTATCCATTGTTTCTTTTTCTCTTCTTTTTCTATCTTGACTTTATCCTCTTTTTCTTGAGCCTTGCCACTAGCAATTAATTGTCCCAATACTTGGTCTTGTAATTCATCCGCTTTTTTCTGGAATTCAGGATCAATAGTCAAATTCTACCCAAAAAAAAAAAAATGAATAAACATCTCTCATTATCATTTCCTCATAGATCTTTACCGCAATAGCATTCACCACTTCATAATTTTCATCTATCAGTGCTTGTTTTGCTTTTTCAAAAGATACATTTGCTTGTTCGGCCACCATGGAAATAATGTCATGATTGTGTTCCATTTCCTCGTCACTTTCGTCTTCATCCACCCAACCTTCTTCCTTTTCAACATCCATCATATTCTCTAATCTTTCCAATAGAGCTTCATTTTCGCGTAATTCTTTTCTTGCCGTTTCTGGTGTAGTTGTCCAAGCATGATCGATCAGATAAATATCACTAAGTAAATAACTTGATTACTAACTAATGATTTTATAAAATTAGATACTTACCTGTGTTTATCCAATCCAGTACTATCTGATTTCAAATGAAGAGAATAACCTTCTAAAGGTTCACCATAATGAAGTTCCATAACTGAGCCTGCATCAAGATAATCTTCACCTAGTTTCATGAATAAAGGCTTCCAAGATTATTTAGTAAAAAAAAAATACAACTTTTTATTATTATTATTATTTTACCTGCCATAGTTCTTCTGGAATGGCTCCTAGTTGATATTGGTGTACTGCCACAAAGCTTTCAAATGCGCTTGACATTATTTTTTTCCAAGGAAAACAAAAGAAAAGTGATTTTTCTATTTTTTTCTTTTTTTTGAAACTTTAAATTTCTATGAATGAGTTTAAAAAAATACAAATTTTTGCCTTTGCCCAAGAAAAGAAAAAAATGACAAGGTACAATTATATATATGCTCATCTCAATCCATACTTTTATTATGATTCTTGATAGATCTTATTTCATCGTTCAAAATATATATTTCTTCCATTTAAAAAATCCATACTTTCTTTTCTTGAATTGAAACCAGAGATAGCAAAAATGTCATTATGTATCGTTATGATGATGGATGATTATTCGATAGAATACAGTAATACACATGAGGAGATATGAAAGATATAAAAAGACAAAATGACACACACAAATAGTTATGATTATTACTGTACTCCAGTAAAAAAAAAAAAAAAAAAAGTAACACGCTAAGCCTATATACACGGCTGTATGTCCGGTGGATGATGGACCATCTTTTATCCTTTTTTTTTATTTCAGTCTCAGATTTGATGCAACTTTATTTTTTTTTTTTTTTATTTTTTTTCCAGCACTGATTCAGATCGGCTACAAAACCGAATATGATTATATAAATATAAAAAATCAAAATAGTTGATCTTTTCTTTTCTTTTTTTTTTTTTATTATTATTATTTATCTTTCAAAATGACAAAACAACAACATATTGCAATTATTGGTGCTGGACCCGGTGGATTATCATTGGCGAGATTATTACAAAAAGGGGATGATCATCAACAATATTCCGTCAAGGTGTATGAACGAGATATTAACAATAGTGTACGCATCAGTGGTGGTAGCTTGGATCTCCATGTGGACTCTGGGCAAATCTTTATTGATAAGGCAGGATTAAGAGAAGAATATGATGCTGTGGCAAGAACTGAAGGTGGATTTTATACTTTGTATACTCAAGACCTCGATAAAGTATGGGAAAAGTCAGTACCAGAACATCCGGAATTGGATCGTAATGATCTAAGGACACTTTTGGTCAATTCATTACTACCAGACACAGTGATATGGGACCGCCATATGATCAAGATCGAACCACACGGTCGTGGTTACCATATGTACTTCAAGGGTGATGATCAACCGGTTTATTGTGATGCCATTATTGGTGCTGATGGTGCATCATCCAAGGTACGTGCGTTTATATCACCTAGTATGGCCAAACCTACTTATAGCGGTGTGACATTAATTCAAGGTGAAATGTTGGATCCTGTCAATCAATGTCCTGAATTGTTGGCAAAAGTGAACAAAGGAAGTTTATGGGGATTTGGATCACGCGGTCGATCTTTAGGATTACAACAAAAGGGGGATGGTACTTTGATTTATTTTGCTTCCTTCAAGGCTGATGATGAAGAATGGTTCACAAAAACATATGGTATCGATACAGGTGATAATGAAAGTTTCCGTGCTGCTTTGTTATCCATCTATGAGGACTATGATGCTCTATTTTTGGATTTAATCAAGAAAACAGATCTATTTGCCATTCGACGCTGTCATGGATTAATGTATAGATCTACTTTGAACGAACGTTGGATACCCAAGGATACTGATGATGATCGTCCTGCTATTACATTGATTGGTGATAGTGCTCATGTAAGTAAAAAAAAAAAAAAAAAAAAAAAAAAAAATGAATGACTAACCCACTTTTTTTTTTTTTTATCTAGGTAATACCTTCTTTTGCTGGTATGGGTGTGAACAATGCCATGTTGGATACTATTGAATTATCAGAAGAATTATTTAAAGAACATCAAGATATACGTGCTGCTTTCACTGCCTATGAAAAACGTATGATGGATCGTTGTATTCCTGCTGCTGAATTTACTGCAAAAATGGAAGATATTTTCCATTGTGAAGACAATATTCGTGAAATAACCAAAGTATTCAATAGTTTTGGTAATGGTGTCAAATTTACTGACAAGTGGAAACATTTAGCAGAGAATTAAAATATAGTAATCTCCCTCCTTAGATAGTAAAATTAGAATTGATTAGTTTAAACATATAAATAAATAAATATTTGTAAACTATTCTGTCCCCAAGTAAAAGGATGAGGTTTTAAATCATTTGGCTATAAGAAATCAAAATTTGCTTTCCCATTTTTTTTTCCTTTTTCTTTTCGCTCTCTCCTCTTTTTTTTTTTTTTTTTTTTTTTTTTATGTCAAGCGCGTACAGGACAAATTGGATTTGATAGGCTATAGGATCATACGACAAGGCTCAAATGGACAAGAAAGACAAACAAGTTATGTAAAGGTACCTTGTTGACGATTCTTTTTTTTTTTTTTAAGTTGATTGGTTTTTCTCTCATCTGGTCCTTGCTGTAGTGATTCTTTTTTGTTAGTAGTAGTTTAGTGCTTGTCTTAGTCAGTGTTTATATTATAAGTATATTATCTCCTATACTTCTTTTCTTTCTTTTTTAATAAAATTTATATTCATGCTCTCATTAATATTGTTATCATTGTTGTTATTGTTGTTATCATCATCACAATGTCATACAATCATATCATCATTTATCAGCCATCATTCATCTTTCATACAAATAAACAAAATACAAATCCATAATAATCGTTGATTTTCCAAAATAAAAACAAGAGGGAGGTTTATTAAAAAATAAAAAATAAAAATATATGCATGCACTATTACTACCATAAACCAAAAAATGTACAACTAGCTAACTACATTCCATCATAAATCCAACAACCAAATTGAGAGTTTGAGTATACTGAATGGTTGCAGGAATAGCCAAAGTAAGATAGCCATGGGTCGCTCCGATGATGCGCACAGCACAAGCGTCTACACCAGCCTCAGTGAGTCGTCGTACATATTCTTCACCTTCATCCCGCAAGACATCGCATTCTGCTGTCACCACTAAACATCGCGGTAATCCCTTGAGTTGTTCCAAAGTGGCCAAAATGGGTGCATTACTGACTTCTTCCGGTCCATAGGTCCAGTCTCCTCCTTCCAGTTGTACTCTGCTATTTTCACCATGATAGTTTGCAGCAAAAAACGCTATTTCATCATGAGAAAGTGTATAGTTGCCGTTGCCATAATGATGGTAAGAGTCATACTGATTTCGAAAACGTGCCACAGCTGGATAAAGTAAGATTTGTCGATTGATCACATGACCATAACCGCGTTCTTTCAAAAGAACTAGCATATATATATATATATATAAAAAGGAGAAATGGAAGAAATTGGTATCATACTTTGGGTTCTTCCTCTCTCTCTCTCTTCACTTACTAGTTGCAACAGTTGACATATTCCCACCTATAATGAAAATCAAGTAAAAAAAAAAAGTTATAAAGGTCTCCCTTGTATTTTAGTTTTAGATTTATTCTTTTACCTGCAGAGTCACCAAAAATCATAAGTTTGGATGGATCAACATTGAGAGACGCAGCATTTTCATATATCCAAAGAATAGACGAATAACATTCTTCCACAGCTACAGGATACTTGACTTCAGGGCTAAGACTATATTCTACATGAATCACTGCAACGTGTGCCTTGACGACAACCTATTATTACGAAACAAACAAAGCAAAAACAAACAAACAGAGATTATAGACGAATGAAAAAAAAAAGCATTTTTTTAGGACTTACATCTTTAACAAACTTTTGAGCTTCAAAAAGACTTCCTATACACCAGCCTCCACCATGTCTATGATATATAAAATGTAAAAGCATACTATGAGTTCCCCACTTTTTTTTCTTTTGGTATGTCTATTTATCGAAATACAATAACTTACAAATAAATAGCTACAGGAAGCACTTGTTGTTCAGTTCCTTTTGGTCGAAGTATAGTCAAGTCGATTTCAGCTGGTTGTCCGACAACATTGATAGAGATTCGTTTTGTTTCCAAAGGAGCAACTTCAGGAACAATGGTCGTCAGAAAGGTAGCACAATTCTTACCAAAACCACGAAGTTCATCAAGAGTCATTGTCTTCACAGAGAAGCCTTTCTCTTTTATGATGGCAATAGTTTGTTCATAAACAGGATGAGGTTGAGGAATGGGATTAGTCATTATTTGGATACAATGAGAAAAAAAAAAAAAAAAAGGGAAAGAAAGAAAATATTTTGTTTCATGCAGGATTTTTTTTTTCTCTTTTTACTTTCGGAATTTCACCGATATCAACTCTAGGCCGAAATTAACGTTGTAAATGAAATTAGTTTATTTCCTGATTCGATCAACAGTTTATAAAGTGTAAAAAAGTAGGATGATCATCTTTACCATGATAATCATTGATGATCAACTATAAAGTACAATGGTTTTATTGGGAAACAAATAAAATAATAACAATAGTAATAAACATCTTCTTTATCTAAATCAAATGTACGGATGATCATACCACAATACTACAAGGTGAAAGAGCTTGTTTGACGAAGATCACGACTAGAGGCACCCACGTGAATTTGGAATTGACCATGAGGAATCACCCATGATTGAGAAGCGACATCCCAGATACTCAGTTCAGTCTTGGTAAGTTCAAAACAGACGGTTTCTTTGTGACCACTCTTGACAAACACCTTTTCAAATCCACGAAGTACTTTGGGAGGTTCACCAGCTGATTCAGGGAAGGATAGATAAAGTTGGACAATTTCAGCACCATCGGCTTCACCAGTATTTTGAATATCCAATTGAGCATTCACCTGATTCTTCTTACTATTGGATTTGACCTTCAATGATCCATAATCAAACTTGGTGTAAGAAAGACCATGACCAAAGGGAAAGAGAGGTTCAATATTCTTGGCATCAAACCAGCGATATCCAATGTTCAACTTTTCAGAATAATCAATCTATATAGAAATAAAAAAAATAGATAAATATACCTCGCTCATCCTTGAAGAAGAAGAAGAAGAAATCGAAGGTCTTTTTTTTTTATTCAATTCATTCCATCTCGATGCATATCCTTCCTTTCTTTATTTCCATGTCACTTTGTTTACCTCCAGATCAGAAGTAGCTGCAGCAGCATAATCCTCTTGATTCTTAGCAATAGTATAAGGAAGACGACCACTAGGATTGACATCACCGTACAAGACATCAGCAAGAGAATTACCACTTTCTTGTCCAGGCAAACCTATAAATGTAAAGAGAATAGTTAATCACTAGCTTTCAATCCCAAGAGTCCCATCTTTTTTTTTTTAATCGTTTACCAGGCCAGACAACAGCTTTGATATTGGGATGGTTAATCCAAGGCATAAGAATAGGACCAACAGAATGGATGACAACAATAGTATTCTTGTTTGCGTCTGCGACGGTTTGAATCTATTTCCCACGAAAAGAATGATTGAGTATGATAATTTTATACAATTTCATCAATCATATTTTTTTTTGTTCTTTCTTACCAGATTATCTCCATTATTCCATAAGGTCAAGTTATTGCGATCACCAGCATTACCATCTACAGTAATATATTCTTCCCCCGAGTCTGAGTTAGCAAAGACAATGGCGATATCAGAAGCTTGTGCGACTTTCTTGGCTTCATCCAGATTCCAATTGTCGTGTGTTGTTTGGAACTTGACATTCTTTCCAGCACGAGCTTGAATACCGTCTACTGGCTAAAAAAAAAAAAAAAGTCAACTCAGATCAAGATAGCAACATTGATGAGTTTGGCTACCTACAGGAACGATATAGCTAGGGAACATCACCGCACCACTACCCCAACCTATCAAACAAAACAAGTTAAAAGAAATAAGCAGTTGAATTAATGTTCAATCAATAATGAATATCATAATAACTTACCTTGAACCAAAGTGGCAGGGTCACAACCAAAGTTAGCACATTTCAGCACGTTGAAGAGGCTAAACATATCATGACAGACACAATTTCAGTTCCAAAGATCTTGCAACAGTATATATTGTTCAAAATGTTTAACTTACAGTGGATCACTGAAGGCGTCGCTACCGATAATGGAGATATTGTTGTTGCTTTCTGAAAGAGGAAGAATGTCATCCTGGTTTGAGAGTATGACAACAGAAGCAGCACCTAATTCACGCACCTTGGTTTTATGGTCGGCTTCCACATTGATGGATCCTAACGGCGTCATATCCAAAACATTGATGGAGCTATTGGGAAAGTTCTGGAGAAAAGGAAATAAAAAAAAAATAAGGAGTTTTTATCTATTTCACAGTGGCGGGCATTCAACATATCTTTTTTTTTTTTTTTTTTTACTTTGTCTTGACCCATTTTGTACCAAGCAGAGACAATGCGATGAGCCATATCTGTCACAGTAGATTCGCTGACCTTGCCATTCTTTACAGCGTTTACCAAATCTTGACCAAAATAAGAGGGAGAAAAATTATCTTTTGGATCCCTGTTCCCTGGCATGACCATATCCAAACCATTATTAGGGGATTGAATCGTTTCCATGGCAGCCCACCAATCTGTTTGAATAAAGCCCTGGAATCCTAAAATAGAAATGAGTTTGAATAAACGATCATGCATTGAATGATTTAGAATATATATATACCTAATTGATCTCTCAAGACACGATTCATCATATCATTTTCACAAGCAGAAGTACCATTCACTTTATTATATGAGCACATGACTGAGCCCACTCCAGCCTATGATAAAATAAAATAAAAAAAAAGAGTGAGGAGATCAAATCAAGAAAGGAATTTCCCTGCATACATCAACAGCACGAGCAAATGGCCAAAGGTAAATTTCATGCATAGTACGGTCATCAATATTTGAACTTTCCTATGAATCATATAAAAGAAAGATGAATAAAATTCATATTGGCCTAAACTTTTCATTACCTCATTTCGATTCTTTTCTTGATCGTTAGCAATAAAATGTTTTGCAGTAGCAATGACCCCTTGAGATTGAATACCAGTGATTGTTTCATAAGAGGCAACACCACTCAAGTAAGGATCTTCACCAAATGATTCCCATCCACGACCTCCTTCGGGACTTCTCATAAAATTCATAGCTAAAATAGAAAGAAAAAATAAAAATAAACTGAATCCAATATACCTTGCATCTTTTTTTTTTTTTCTTTTTGATGTCAACTTACCTGGACCCAATTGGACATGTACACCTTTTTCATAGAATTCTTGACCCATGTAGATTCCACGATCCAAAATAGCCTTTCGATCAAAAGAAGCAGCAGCATTGATGCCAGCAACACCAAGAGTAACATTGAAAGCTGGTCTAACAAAAAAAAAAAAAAAAAGAAGAGATGAGAGTTGAATGGAAAATGGATGCAATTTTTTTTTTTTTTTGGACTTACGCCATACCAAGTGGACCATTTTGAAGACAAAGTGAGGGAAAATCAGGATTGGTCACAGGAGAAGTGCTTCCAACACAACGAGCGTGGCCGACTCCCAAGCCGGTAGTGATATTTACTTTTTGTTCCAATGACATTTGATTTACCAATGCTGTAGCTAACCGTTGAGCTTCTTCCCAGGAACGTAGTTCAGATGTAGTTTCTATTAAACCAATCATCATCATCAGCATCATCAATAAAAATGATGATGTTTTGGATGAAAAAATCGTCATTTTTCTTCTGTTCAATTAAAAAAAAAAAAAAGAAGAAGAAAGAAAAAGAAAAAATAAAAAAGGATCTGCCTTTATAAAAAGTTTGTATATTAGTAAGAATTCTGAATGTTAGATTTGAGGCATCATTTTTCTCACTCTCCTACTCCAGTTTTCCCTCGTACTAAAAGTACAATTTGGGTAGCATGGCCATTGCAAGTCATCACTACATCCATATGTTCCATTGAAATCAATGGTAAAATGCTAGTCATCATTGAAGAGTGATATTGGCGGAAACAGTATTCATTTTCTACATTATCCATCTAAAGGCAAAAAAAAAAAAAAAAAAAAAAAAAAAAGAAACTGGCAAGAAAAAAAAAAGAAAGGGGGGGGGAAGAAAAAAACTAAGTTCACTGGGAAGTAGAATCATAAACTTTGTTCCAACTCTATTTCAAGTTTATTCTCTCCCAGGTATCCTGATAAGCCTGAAAAAAAAAAAGAAGGGGAAGGAAAAGGTCTGAATCGAGGATGAGTTTTGACTTATGATATACCAAGGATAGTAAATGACATAATATTACTTATCCCGATCTAGCATTTTTGAATCGGTATAGATGTACCTGGTCTGCTTATGTAGTTAGTATAAATATGTGCATTGACATCATACTTGAACATATTTATTTGAGTACAAATAACATCGAAAGATATTTCCCTTCACCTACCCGTTACCAAGGGGATGTATCATCGTTATTCATCTTGCGATCATGTCATATTGCTTTGATATTTGTCCTCGTAACTCCTGTTTACTTTCATCGATCACTGTACCGTTAAGATACCAGTTTTAGCAGTCCTTGCATAACACCAATACCAATACCGATCGTGACATTAATATTAGAAAGAAAAAAAAAAAGAAAAAGTATAAGCAAGTAGGATGAACATGCTTACGATAACACATGGATGGTTCAAATAAGAGTACAATACATAGTTTTATTGGAAGATAAATAAATAAAATAAAGGAAAAAAAAAAACACAAAATAATAATACTAACAATAATAAATTAACGTCTTTATCTAATCAAATGTACGGATTGATCATACCACAATATTACAAGGTGAAAGAGCTTGTTTGACGAAGATCACGACTAGAGGCACCCACGTGAATTTGGAATTGACCATGAGGAATCACCCATGATTGAGAAGCAACATCCCAGATACTAAGTTCGGTCTTGGAAAGTTCAAAACTGACGGTTTGTTTCTGGCCACTCTTGACAAACACCTTTTCAAATCCACGAAGTACTTTGGGAGGTTCACCAGCTGATTCAGGGAAGGACAGATAGAGTTGGACAATTTCAGCACCATCGGCTTTACCAGTATTTTGAATAACCAATTGAGCATTCACTTGATTCTTCTTGTTGTCAGATTTGACCTTCAATGATCCATAATCAAACTTGGTGTAAGAAAGACCATGACCAAAGGGAAAGAGAGGTTCAATATCCTTGGCATCAAACCAGCGATATCCAATGTTCAACTTTTCAGAATAATCGATCTATATAGAAATAAAAAAAAAATAGATGGGTATGTTTCCTTAAAAAAAAAATTCGTTCATTCCTCATCATGATCTCTTATTTTGGATCTAATTCATCTCATCATCATCCACTTTTTTTTCCTTTCTTTGTTTCCATGTCAATTTATTTACCTCCAAATCAGAAGTAGCTGCAGCAGCATAGTCCTTTTGATTCTTAGCAATAGTATAAGGAAGACGACCACTAGGATTGACATCACCGTACAAGACATCAGCAAGGGAATTACCACTTTCTTGTCCAGGCAAACCTATAAATGTAAAGAGGATAGTTAATCACTAGCTTTCAATCCCAAGAGTCCCATCCTTTTTTTTTTTTTTTTAATCGTTTACCAGGCCAGACAACAGCTTTGATATTGGGATGGTTAATCCAAGGCATAAGAATGGGACCAACAGAATGGATGACAACAATAGTATTCTTGTTTGCATCTGCGACGGTTTGAATCTATTTTCCACGAAAAGAATGATTGAGTATGATAATTTTATACAATTTCATCAATCGTATTCTTTTTTTGTTCTTTCTTACCAGATTATCTCCATTATTCCATAAGGTCAAGTTATTGCGATCACCAGCATTACCATCTACAGTAATATATTCTTCCCCCGAGTCTGAGTTAGCAAAGACAATGGCAATATCAGAAGCTTGTGCGACCTTCTTGGCTTCATCCAGATTCCAATTGTCACGCGTTGTTTGGAACTTGACATTCTTTCCAGCACGAGCTTGAATACCGTCTACTGGCTACAGACATTACAATGAAAAAAAAAGGAAAGGGATTAGTAAACCTTAGACTTGACGATGAAAGAAGATAACTTACAGGGACAATATAACTTGGGAAAGTCACTGAACCACTACCCCAACCTATCAAATAAAATAAAGAAGTAAGTCATGTGTATAAATGATGCAGGTTTTTCTTCTTCTTTTACCTTGAACTAAAGTGGCAGGATCACAACCAAAGTCAGAGCATTTCTTGCTATCAAATAAACTAAATAAATCATGTTAGAGGGAGGAAAAAAAAAGTCAATCAAAAAGGTTAGAAAATAATAAAACGTATCATTCGATAGTTTTGAAACTTACAGAGGGTCACTGAAAGCATCACTACCAATGATGGAGATACTGTTATCGGCTTTGGTGAGAGGAAGAATCTTGTTCTTGTTTGTGAGCAAAACAACAGAAGCAGCACCCATTTCACGTGCCTTGACTTTATGGTCGGCTTCTACATTGACAGATCCTTTGGCAGTAGGGTGGAAACTATTAAGGGAGGTTTTGGGGAAATTCTGGTAAAGAAAGAAAAAGAAGAAAGAAAAAAAGGTGAGTTTTTTTTTTTTTATAAATCCCCTGAGCGGGGACTAAACTCTTCTCCTTACCTCGTCTTGACCCACTTTATACCATGCAGAGACAATGCGATGAGCCATATCCGTCACAGTAGACTCCTTGACTTCCCCATTCTTTACAGCATTTACCAAGTTTTGACCATAGTAAGAAGGAGAATAATTGTCGGTTGCATTCATATTTCCTGGCATGACCATATCCAAACCATTGTTAGCTGATTGGACTGTTTCCATGGCAGCCCACCAATCTGTTTGAATAAAGCCCTGGAATCCTAAAATCAAAAATTAAAAAATTTTTGAGTAACGTGAATACTTTCATGATTTACACACATTTTACCTAATTGATCTCTCAAGATACGATTCATCATATCATTTTCACAAGAAGAAGTACCATTCACCTTATTGTATGAGCACATGACTGAACCTACACCAGCCTATGATAAAAAAAAAAAAAAGAATGAATATAAAAAAAAAAAGTTAGGAGATCCATTCGAGAAATTAAGGTTTCCATTATTAGACTTACTTCGACGGCGCGAGCAAACGGCCAAAGATAAATTTCATGCATAGTACGATCATCCACATTTGAGCTTTCCTATGAATCATTCATTATAAAAATATGTTCATAAGGTTCGATATTATTATTATGATTATTTCATTACCTCATGTCGATTCTTTTCTTGATCGTTAGCAACAAAATGCTTTGCAGTAGAAATGACCCCTTGAGATTGAACACCAGAGATCGTTTCATAAGAGGCAACACCACTCAAATAAGGATCTTCACCAAATGATTCCCATCCACGACCTCCTTCGGGACTTCTCATAAAATTCATGGCTAAAAAAAGGGGAGATTATAAATGATGGCTCAACATACTTTCTTCTTTTTTTTTGCAACTTCGGTTTACCTGGCCCCAATTGAACATGAACACCTTTTCCATAATATTCTTGACCCATATACACACCACGTTCCAACATAGCCTTTCGATCAAAAGAAGCAGCAGCATTAATACCAGCAACACCAAGTGTGACATTATAAGCGAATCTAATGGTATAAGTAATTTTTTTGTTAGTTGTGGCGGCATCATCAATAAGATTGATCTTACCTCATTCCAAGAGGAGCATCTTGAAGACAAAGTGAAGGGAAATCAGGATTAGTAATAGGATAAGTATTACCAACACAAGGAGTAATGTTGAAACCCATTCCAGTGGTGATGTTCACTTTTTGTTCCAATGACATTTGACCTACTAGTTTTGTAGCCAACCCTTGAGCTTCTTCCCAGGAACGAAGCTTTGGTGCAGCTTCTGAGTTGTTTGCCATTATAATCATCATTAATAATAATGATGATGCTTTGGTAATGGATGAAATTAGCATATTGTTTGAATGAATAAGTAATGATAAAAAAAAAAAAAAAAGAGGAGAAGAAAAAGGACTTTGATCCTTTTATACAAAAATGAAAAAGTTGGAAAGGTTACACAATGCCTGAAGTTAAAATGTAGAGGGACAAATGGTGGGGAGGAACAAAAAGAAATGAAATCGAATGTAACCAAAAAAAATTAAATGATCTTCTACTTCCCGATGATTGATGCCATTCATCGTTTTGGTATTGTTTTTTACTTTGATTCTACGGTCTAAAAATTTAGTACCTAATATTATTATAAAACCACGTTTCAATTGAATGATGATGACGTATAATGATGGTAAATATGTTGGAGTGGGGTAAAAAAATAAATGCGACAGTGAGAAAAAAAAAATTCTGGTAAGAAACTGAAAAGAAATCAAGATATTCTCCCGTTGATAATTCTTCCCACAAATGAATTGAATGTGATACAATATTATAGATCTCATCATCTTCTTGAACAATAATATTATACAACAGTATAACATTTGTCTCAGACACATCTATTTGTATATATACTAGATCATAGACATATATATGTACTTATGTATATGTGTATGTATGTGCTTGTATATAATGTATATATATGTTAATTATATAAATAGAGAGAATAGGAGAATAATCATCCGCGGGTGATTTCGTCGAATTTTTTTTTTCCAATAGAATCTATTTTTTTTTTTTTTTTTTGTGATTCACCCCGCAAACTCCACTTTCTCCCATCCTCCCACCATGACAAACAAACTCTAAAACCACTTGATTTCCGCTCTTCGGTTGAAAATAATAATATGCTTTGTCATAAAAGGGAAAGTTACCATTTTTTTGGATTATTCCCATCTCGATTTTACTTTTTTTGATTTGGTAATATGTTCCCTCTCCAAACATACCCTGGGGATATAACCTTTTTTTTTTTTATATATATAGAACCCTGAAAAAAAAAATAAAGGGAGACATTCAATCATGTACCTGATATTATCCATGAATCTGAAATTCATTCAATATCATATAATAAACAATAATTTTTTATTTAATTACTACATCAATATTTTTAAAATGATAAAAAATTTTTATTTTCAAAAAAAGGCTATTTTGATCAAGTCCATCTATTGTAATGTCAATTGCTTCACTAAATTGAGATACCGAAATAAAGTTAAAATCAAACGGATTTTTCCAGCTCTTCTTCTTTTCCCATTAGCTCTTTTTTTTTTTTTTTTTTTTTTTTTTTTACGTTCCTTAGTACGTAGTTACAATCAAGACCCTCCATACATATAGTAGTTGGGATCAACTATCAAAGTTTACTATTATAGGTATTATCCGAAAGAAAAAAAAATATTGAAAGTTCATCATATTAATAATATATATATAATATTGGTTCTCTCAATGTACTTTAGTTTATAGACTTTCCTCAACGCCTTTTATCTTTGAATAGTCTACTAATTTGCAGTGATGGATCCTATCTTTCTTTTTTTTAGAGCGCATTATTTATGCACATAGAAAATATATGGCAGAAATGATAGATATCGAATGAAAAAGTTATTTCGATGGATGTATGACAGGATTTCAATTGGACAATAAAATCACATTCCAATTATGCAAAAGTAGCTTGATGATTAGTTTTTATGATTTTAAATATCTTTAATTAGTATTTTACCGTAGATAATATCTTTATTGTATTCTTTTTTTTTTTTTGAATAAAGCGAAAAGTATCACTCATATCTTTAGTAATAGTACCAGTCATCATTTATATGTATGTCATCAGTATAATCTTATGTTGTGCCCTCATCATGAAGCCAATGGGAAGAAAAACGGGTTATGATGGGTGCTGCAATATGACACGTGATATTTGTTACCAATTAATGTATCATCACTATTTATTTAGAACATCTCTTTTTTAACGTATTTGATTTTCAGAAAATAATGTTGCCCTATGTTCTTTTTTTTTTTTTTTCAATCATAGGTACACAAAAAAAAGTATTTTACTTTAACCACGTACACACAAAGCAGCCTGTTCATTTGCTTGAGCAACCATACCAACGACTAAAGTCAGTGCACCATTGGCCAATTACATCATGGCATTGAGCAATATTTAAATCGCCGTTTATTTAGTGACAAAAAAATCAAATCCAATTTTGGTTTCTTCTCTCCTTTCCTACCTTTTTTTTTTTTTTTTTTGTATTCTCTTCATTTCACCCTTTTTTTTCTCCTATACCAACATATATAGATATATATGTATTTACAAGATGGGAACTGGAATAATTGTACGGACAGGTTCCTATTTACGAAGGTTATTGCGATATATTGGACCTGGGTTTATGATTGCAGTAGGATAGTAAAGCCAAAAAGAGAAAAAAAAAAAGATAGAAAAAAAAATGTTTGTTGTATATTAATTAACCCTTTTCTATATTTGATAGTCTTGATCCTGGTAATTGGTCAGTGGATATGGAAGGTGGTAGTCGTTTTGGATATACGTTACTTTTTGTGATCTTGGTTTCCAATGTGATTGCCATCTTTTTACAAAATCTAGCGATTCGACTGGGCACGGTTTCTGGCTTGGATTTAGCAGCAGCTTCACGACATCATTTACCACGACCATTGAATCTCTTTCTCTATGTGATTTCTGAAATTGGTATCATCATGACAGATCTTGCTGAAGTCATTGGTAGTGCTATTGCCTTGACTTTACTGTTCCCATCCATCTCGCTTCCTATGGGTGTGGCCATCACTGCATTGGATGTATTGATTATTCTTCTGTTCTACAAGGAAGATCAAGACGGACAACATGATATGCGATTTGTTCATTATTTTGAATGGTTTGTTATGGCTTTAGTGTCTGCAGTGGGGATCTGCTTTATCATCGAACTTACATTCTCGCCGGTCGTTATGAGTGATGTTATGCGTGGATTCTTACCTTCCTCGGATATCTTTTTGGACAAGGATTGTTTGTATGTAGCTATTGGTATCATTGGTGCCACGGTTATGCCTCATAACTTGTTTTTACATTCCTTCATTGTACAATCAAGATGTTATGAATGGAGATCTCAACGACCTTTGGATGATTCAGAAATAGTCACCGAATCAGCTTTAGCACCTACTCTTGATTCCTCCAGTGATACCTTATTTGCAGATGACGATGACTACAAGGACGATGATCATCACATGCTAAAAACACAAGAACAATGGGAAGAAGAAGAAGAAGGGGACGATACCATTCGCATGACAGCTTTACCTAAAATGAAAGTAGATGATGATGATGATGAAAATGATAGTACTATGGTAATGATAGATGAACGACACAACAAACGAACGATAGATCAAGTGCGACAAGAACTGGAGGAACATGTAGGAAACAGTTTACATTATGGCTTGATGGATTTGGTGGTGGCACTTTGTTTTGCATTCTTCATCAATGCCGCCATTCTGATTGTGGCATCAGCAAATTTCCATCACGAAGACTCGGCGACAGTGATGTCAGATTTATTTGATGCGCATGGATTATTACGACAATACATTGGACCGGTGGCAGCATTTGTGTTTGCGATTGCGTTATTATGTGCAGGACAATCAAGTACATTGACAGCAACTTTGGCTGGGCAAGTAGTGATGAGTGGATTTTTAGGCATGACGACACGACCTTGGTTACGACGGTTGTTGACAAGATTGATTGCTATTGTACCTGCCATGGCGGCAGCTTGTTTAGCAGGACGATCAGGACTGAGTCAAATGTTGGTGGCAAGTCAGGTAGCTCTTTCCATTCAATTACCCTTTGCCGTTATTCCTCTTGTGTATTTTACTTCCTCGGCCACCATTATGAAATTGGACGTGATACAATCATCAAACAACAACAACAATAATAATGATACCAAACCTTCCTTCTTCCGGACAATGTTATATAAATTGGGTTATGTCGACAAGGATCAAGAACAAGAACAACCTTTTTTGACACAAAAACAAGAAGAAGTTTTGACTTTTGCCAATGGATGGATGACCAATGTGTGTGCTTATCTGATCACCCTTTTATTACTTTGTCTCAATATCTATTTAGTCTTATCTACTTTGTTTCCCTAAGTTTTGTATTATATTCATTCAATAAAAACTATTTAGACCAAAAAAGAAAAAAATGAACATTTCTTTTATTATTATTTTTTATTTTTTAAAGAAAAGACAATGGGTAATACTACAAAAATAAAGGTGAAAAAATGGATAGTAAAAAAAAAATAAAATATAATATAATGATGATGATGATGATGATGATGGTACCAATAAGAGTATATGCGGGATGTGAGAAATTTAAAAATAAAACGAATCTATGATCTATCAAGAATAGCTTTGCAAGTGGTTCGAACAACAGGAGTGGCCCAAGTCTTGTCTGTGGAAAGTGTGGTGAATAAATCCGTATCCCAAGTAGTGATCTATTTAGAAAACATGATGTTAATTGTACATAATCTATAGAATTCTTTTTTTTTTTTGATGATTTACCTTATTTCCCAACCGAGATGCTGTTTTATCCATCAAACTGGCCAATTTCATCAATGATTTCAACCTTTCATTGTTACTAGATATTTGAGTGTTCACATCAGTACTGGTAGTGATTTTCTTGATGGCTTGTTGAATTTGAGTCATCCATGTGGGTAAAATAGTCTTTAAAAATGCTTGATCTATTTCCTTATTTTTCTATTCATCCAAAAAAAAAAAAAATTATAATCAGTAAAATTCAATTCATCTTTTTTTTTTTTTTGGAGTTTACCTTGGTAACACATTGTTGAATAAGAATACCAGACCATTGACAAGCCAAAGAATGACGGAAAGTGTTAGCACAAGCTTCAGATTGAATAAATGGAAGTAATGAGGGAAGAAAAGAATCCCAACAAGTCAAAGGATAACGTTGCAGAAAAGTGACAAAGAACGAGGTATGGAGAGGATTGGATTTCTTGGCCAAAAACGAGACAAGACTGGCTTGGTATCGTTCCATATAGTGAGCCAACACACGACCTTGTTGTTTTGTTTTTTTGTCACTGTTGAGAACATTCACTGAGATGTCGCTACCAGAGCCCACAATACACCGGCGGAGGAAAAGTAAAAGTTGAGAACACATATCACCATGTGCTTTGCCTGCACCATGCGTACTGACCGAAAATGCATGAATCGAGTTCACAATATCCAATAACACAGAATCATCATAGGAACCATACACAGGCACTTCAGTGGCCTTGCCAAGTTTGTTCTTCAAATAAGATTCTACCTTGTTGACAAATTGGGCCACGGACGCCTTGGAGGGAGTAGTTTGTACCACTTGAAGAAGAGGAACAATGGTGTCGAGCACAAGAGGATTGGTAGGGTTACGACGAGCAAAGAGAACAATCAAATCCATCACATTGTTCTTGAAATGGACCACACTTTCTTGCATATTCTTCTTGTTTTGCTTTTCCACCTTCTTTTGTCGGAAGATCTCGGCTAGTTTTTCATCAAACGCTTCCATCGCTTCATCGTCCAATAATTCTTCATCATCAGAGTTATCGCCTAGAATTCCTTGGTTACGCATGGCTTCTTCCAGTTTTTGTCGAAGTTCTTCATCCACTTCTCCATTTTCTTCGTCATCATCTTCATCTTCTTCTTCGTCATCATCTTCATCTTCTTCCATCACATCATCATCATCACCGTCAATCATTTCCACATCATCATCATCCTCTTCTTCTTCGTCGTCATCTTCGGCACCAAATAATTCTTCACCACCTTGTTTGTTTTCATCCGTGATAACAATCTATAGGAAAAAAAAAATAAATAAATGATCAATGAACATGAATATCCAAATTTTCTCTTTTTTTTTTTTAAAAAAAAAAAACTTACATTGATCAAGTTTTCCATGGCTTGTTTCGTTAACAAATGAGAGAAGAGTTCAAATACATATTCGGAGATACCTTTAAGCATAGGTGAGGCACTGGTCAGGAAACTCAATAGGATATCCACAATCACTTCAATTGCTTCAGGTTCTTGATCTTGTTGTTCAACTTTGGCATTCTTCTTGTTCTTGTTCTTGATATCTTGAGCCAATTTTTCATAACAGTTCAATAGATCACCAAGTAATCCTACACCTTCTTCTTGATCCATCAAGGAATGAAGTAACACATGATAAAACAAAATTTCAAAACCATAGGCTACATTTTCTTCACCATCTTTGACTTGTTGTTTCAATCCTTCAATCACCTTAAGTGTCTCCTTGATCACCTTGTCACTATCTTCTTCTTCTTCTTCTTTTTGATGTTGATGATGAAGGGTCAATGTGTTGGTGGATTTTTTGTTGTTTTTCTTCAAAAGATGTTGGTACTGTTGATATACGATCTCGGCCCATAATTGACCATCATTAGTGGCTCCATTCCATCGACGTGTCTTGAGATGACCAGTTTCGACCTTCTTGGAGGGTGGTAACTTGGAAAGAGCGAGTACCAAGGCTTGGAATTTGGATTTACAGATAGAACGTGTGGCTTCGGATAAAGCTGGGCTAGGACATTGATACTCTACAAAATAATCGACTTCTGTGGTGTCTTTCTTGGATTTCTTGGCCTTCTTCTTATTGTTGGATTCATCATTGTTGACATCGAAAAAGGTATAAACCAAGAAAAATTGAATGATATCTTTGATCCAGGTTTCGTCCTTGGGTGTTTTAGGATGATGAACCAATAGAAGCATTTGTTGAAGAGCCCATTCACGCTGTATTTCGACAATAGGACGTTGATGATGAGTATCATCCGATGTAGCATTGTTGTTCACAAACAGTCGAGCAAGATAACCCAAATAATGCCGGATACCCGTAGCATCCATGGTGGCCAACAAATTTTCAACTGTCTTCGTTTTTGTGATACGATCAAATTGATGATTACCATATTTCCCGATCAATTGAGATACCATAGCAAAACCAACTTGTTTGTTTTGTTCTGCTACTTTTTGGATGGTGATGGCGGTTTGACGAGCAGCCTTGTTCAAGAATCGGACTTCTGATGACAAGTTGTTGATGAATGTACGCATGAAGTTTTCTGTAAAGATCAAAGGCATTTGGTCAGTAGATAATTGAGGAAGTACTTTGTTGACGATTTGGAAACCCCAATATTTGCGACCATGACTAGCTTGATTGCCAAACATGTTAGCTAAGAGAGAGAGAGAAAAAAAAGGGGTAAGAATGGAGGTTTTTGCATTTGTATTATTATTATTTTTTTTTATTACCATCAACAACGATAGACCAGAATTCATGGAATGAAGCATTCATTTTGTTGTTATTGTTTTCCATGGATAAAAGAGGAGCCAAAAGACGATCCCAAATTGAATGTAATTGAGGAGTCCAATCTACTTGATTATCATTGTTTTCAATAGGTACTTCCTAATAAAATCCATCAAAATCAGTTCTCATTTTTCTCTTGTTGATTTTTTTTTTGGTACTTACTCGAACAATCAAGGCTACATGAGGAAGATTAGCACGATCAAATACATTTTGACTAGCCCATCCTTTAAAGGCACGAGATAGATCCACATCAGAAACTTGTTGTTGAATAGCCAAAGTTAAGTTTACTTCATCCACATTGGCGATACTTTCACGTAAAAATAAAGTCATGATTTTATCCATCACTTGGTCCTTTTTTTCCATTTTGTTGACCTGTCAAAATAAATTCAAAACAAAAAAAAAATGAAAAAGGTTAGTTTTTTTTTAAATAACTTTTATTAATGATGCACGTTACTTACATGAGGTAACATATTGATGATAACATGATAACAGACTTCGTTCAAATACGTTTTAGCGTTTGCAATTTCAGAAACAAGATCAAGGATACGGAGAACATCATCAACTGATGTAGAAGAAGATCGAGTAAGTAAACCAGAAGCAACAATAGCCATGATCCCAAAGAGTCGACCAAACAACATATCTCGTACTTCTTCACCAGACATGCCATTTGTACGTTCTGTATATTGACAAAGGAGATCCAAGACCAAGTTGGTGCCGATACAATCAATAATGGACAAAAGTTCGGTTAGTGCTAGAGAGAAACCTTGACGAGCACCTTGACGTGAAGAAGGTAAACCACGTAATAAACGACGTACAGCATAAGAAACATCGGAAGCACATAATATATCCAATTTTTCTTCTGTATCCGCAATACCATTATCGTCCATGGAATCCAAACTCTTTTCATGTTGTTGTTGGAAATCTGCCAATGTCCTGATTAATGTTACTGTGGCTTGTTGTCGAGTCTTGACATCCAACGACGCTAGATCCCAATATAAATTCAATGTGGTCGTGGACATTCTTCTTTCAAATATAAAAAAAAGGAGAATGGAATGGATCTAAAGAAGGAAGGAAAAAGAAAAACTGAAAAAAAAGAAAAAGAAAACTCCCTTCAAAAAAAAAGCGTTAGGAAGGTGGCTTGTGAGGGCAAAAAGGTAAGTGGGCAAATTTTTAAGTTGCCGCCTATTTTTTTTTTTTTTTTTTTTTTTTTACCATTTGACGCATGATTTTGGGCCTGAACACTTCTTAACTAATTCGTTCTATGGAAGCAAGATCATAACCCTCTTTTTTTATTATGTATTGATGAAATAAAGAACAAAAAAACACACTTTTATTTTATAAATGATATCATCCTAATTAAATATTGCGTACGAACTCTTTTATAAATCTGTATAGTGTAGAAAGAAGAAATAGTTTTATGCTTATAGAGAAAAAAAAAAAGTGAAAATAGCCAATTCCAAAAAAGCAATTGCGGAGTATCAATCAAACCAATAAAAAAATAAGCTTTTTTCTTTGTCATCTTTTTCTCTCTCTCTCTCTTTTCTTTCTTGTCTTTTATATATATATACACATGACTAATATTTTTGAAGCAGCCGCTTCTGGAGATCTCGATTATATTAAAAATCAACCACAAGCAACTTTGAAGAGTCGTAATGACCGTGGTTGGACTGTTCTTCATTTTGCTGCACGATATGGTCAACTTGATATCGCGACTTACTTACGAGATAACCATGGTGAACTTTTGACGGTAGTGAATGGTGATGGTAAAACACCTGCTCAACTAGCTCAGTTTTGGGGTTATGATCAAGTGGCTCAATTACTTTCTCCTCCTCAACAAGAACAACAACAATCAAAGGAACAATTGTCAAGTCTATCCAAACAAGTTAACCATGTCAATTTTTTTGCTGGAAGTCCCCTGAATAGGTATAGACAAAAAAAAAATGAATAGAAATAACAACTTATCTTATTATTATGATTGATTAGATATGGTTGGTATCGTACAGAACAAGATCATTTGAATCGATTGATGCATGCTACCAATGCTCGATTCTTATTATTTTCAAAATTGGATCCTTTATTTGATAAAAATGACAAAAAAACTGGATTATATTGGGCTGATGTTGAAAAAATCAAAGCGGCATCATTGGAAGGTGCATTGGTATTTTTAGGCATTGATGAACGATTTGTTAGTGATAAAGAAGGTGATGCAAAAGAAGGGATTCCTTATTGGGCTTTAGATATCACTGTCAATGAAAAGGATAACAATATGACGTTGGTACAACTTCATCAAGGTAATATGAATGACAATAATCAAGATCTAACTGAACCTCGTCCTCATTTTTTATATATGACTTTTTAAAAGATTTGGAAAAGGAAGGATTGGAGTTCTCATCACCATTACCTCTTGGTTTCCAATTGGACAGGGAATCTGCTGCTATTCTTGCACAAGCACGAGCTATGGGTAAAAAAAAAAAGAAAAAAAAAAGAATGGAACATGTCGTCACTCATCTTGATATCATTTAACTCCTTATATATATATATATATATATATATATATATATGTATATTTGGAAATGAATAGTGGACTGGCATACAAGAAACAAATTTTGTCCTGCATGTGGAAACCCAGTGAAGATCAAAGAAGCAGGGTACAAGATGACATGTAGTTCCAACGAAACTTCTCAATGTATCAGTCATAATGGCATTCATAACTTTGCTTATCCTCGAACAGGTATATAAATATATAATATGATTTGATTATTTATCCCGAACTTTTTTATTTGAGTAGATGCGGTTGTCATTGTTTGTATTGTACATCCTACAGCAGACAAAATCTTATTGGGAAGACAAAAACGATGGCCAGCAAGAATGTTTTCATGTATAGCAGGATTTGTAGAACCAGGTGAATCCATTGAAGAAGCAGTACGTCGTGAAGCTTTAGAAGAAACTGGTATTCATGTGGATCATGTTGCTTATCATAGTACACAACCTTGGGTAAAATGATTATGATTAATAAGGAAAAAATAAAAAAAACTCACATCCTCTTTTTTTTGTGATAAGCCATTTCCCAATTCCCTCATGTTTGGATTTATTGCATCAGCTACAAATGAACAAGTCAAGATGGAAGACAAGGAATTAGAAAGTGCCCGATGGTTTAGTCGCTCGGATGTCTTGGGTGCTTTGAAAGGTGATGGTATATTTACTTTACCCCCCAAATTAGCTATAGCTCATCAATTGATTCTTACTTGGGCAACCTCTACACAACCTGCTAAGATGTGATCTTTTTGTTTTTAAAATCAAATAAATTAGGATGGATGTATTTATTTTATTATTTGAGCTGTTTTATTTTGATGATCAATACCAGGATGACCAATATGTTATCATTCATGCAATGGACAGAGTGATTCTCCCTCTCTTTTTTTTATTATTATCTTTTTTCTTGCTTATTTAAAAATCATATTTTTAAAGTTTGTTAGTATGGGATGGATGATCTGAATTGAATGATAACGATTGAAACATGAAAATATCCAGATTGAAGTTTGTAATAAAAGTAACCATGGTTTGGATGAGGTTGATCGAAAATGCTCTGAAAGTGCTGGTTAGAGAACAAACCCGTTGGCTGCGGCGTTTGATTTTATTTTATTTTATCAAAGCCAAAGAGGCAAAAAAAAAAATAGGGGTTACGCGCCAAGTTCTTCCCAACCCCCTCTTCCCCTTTTTATTCATCCAACATATAATCATGTCTTACCAATCTAATCAATACAATCAAGGTGTGCCTCCTCCTCCACAAACACAAGCTCCATACGGTTATTCTCCTCAACAAGGTTATGGTAATAATAATAATAATAATAATAAAAGAAATTAGTTTCATCTAGTCTAAAACTTGTCTTTTTTTTTTATTATTATTATTATTTTCTTATATTTCATATAACATATATATATATATATATATAAACGAATGATAAACTATATTATTTATAACATATAAGGACATGCACCTCCATCTGGTCCTCCTCCTGGTGCCAATCCTCAATTATGGGCTTGGTTCAAAGCCGTAGATACCGATGGGTCTGGTCAGTTGACAGTCGATGAATTACAAAGAGCTTTAATTAATGGTGATTGGAGTCCATTTAATATTGAAACTGTGCGTACTATGGTGAATATGTTTGATACTGGTAATAATTTAAAAAAAAAAAGTGGATGCATGATTGATTCACAAATTTTCTTTTTTTTTTTTTGCCCTTCAGACAATAGTGGTACCATCAACTTCAACGAATTCAGCGGACTTTGGAACTATATTGAAGAATGGAAAAAATGCTTTCAAACATTTGATCGAGATGGTTCAGGATCGGTGGATCGAAATGAAATGAGTCAAGCTTTACGTGCTTTTGGTTTCAATGTATCAGATAAGTTTGTCCATAGTTTGATTCAAAAGTTTGATCGTTATGGTAAAAAAAAAAAAAAAAAAAAAAAAAAAAAAAAAAAAAAAGCAAAAAGGGAAAGAGTCAACTGATCAATTTTTTTCTTTTTTGGGTGGAATCAGGTACCAATCAACAAAGTCGTGGTAATGGCAATGTCACCTTTGATAACTTTGTACAAGCTTGCGTTACTGTCAAGACATTGACTGATTCTTTCCGTGGATTTGATTCAGATCAAGATGGTTGGATTCAAATCAATTATGAACAGGTAAGAAATAGGATTAAAAGTCAAATGATTGTTTAATATCTCAAAATTATTTTTTTTTTTTGAATGCATAGTTCTTGGATCTTGTTGTTCGTCAACGTGCTTAGGATATACCTTTTTCTTCTTTTTAATAATAAAAAAAAATCGATTTTATTTTGTCTTATGTGTACAGTCATGTGAATTGTACCAAATGCAGGATATTAACAAAATAAAAAAAAAGGAGGGGCGTGGTTGAAAAAAAAAAAAAAAAGGTTTTCTTTTTGACCCTCAGATGAATCCCACCACATGGACCAAAATGTCATAAAGTGAGTACAAAATACAACTCCCTTTGGCGGCACCAAAAAAAAAAAAAAAAAAAGAATTGAATAGTTATGTAAAGACAACACACAAAAAAAGAAAAGCCATGTTATGATGTCAATCTCACTTTTTGTACTACTCATTTGTATGATAACTATCTCCACATGCTGTGCTTCCATATTCAACATTAGTATACCTTCAAAAGCTATTGACTTTTCAACGTATATTTATTTTACTTCATGCCTGTAAACGCATGATTTGCTACAAAGATCATTGAGTGATGATGATATGAATGATAATGAAGAATGACTAGTAAAAAAAGATACAATGATGGTGAAGAATATATAGTTGGAATGAATATATATATATGATTTAAGAATGATGGATGATATCTTTTTTATATTTTTTGACAATGACCAATTGAATGACGACAATAGTTAATGATGATGATTATATTGATGATGATAAAATATGGATGATGATAAAATAAGAATGATGATAATAAATGATGATAAGTAAACTAAAGAGAAAAAACAAGATATGTGTATATATAGTACAAGTGCTAAGTAACAGAATTGAATTAAAAGAGTAAAATGCTACGGAGGAGGACGATGATGATGTTGTTGTTGTTGTTGTACTTGCTGTATAAAATCACGGAATGAAGGTAACGCTCTTCGCTCAATGTTAGATGCAATGGAAGTCGTAGCAGTGTTCTTTGTCATATGAATATTGTTAAGCTCTACTTCATGATGGTGATCAGTTGTTGTTACAGGTAAACTTAATCGTCGTTCTGTTGTTGTGGATGCTTGTTTTTGCTTTTTATTTTGTTCATTATAGTGTTCATCGTCTCTATTTCTATTTAATAATAATAAAAAAAAAGAGTGGATGATATTGTTAGTCATTCGATCTGTCAATGAAAAAAGAAAAAAAAAAAAGACGTATGTTTATTTGTAATGGAGAACCCATTTTTTTTTTCTCTTTCTTATCATTAAAACTCTCTTTTTTTCTTCTTCTTCTTTTTACCTATCTAATGATTTTGTAAAAGATGGCGATAATTCATTGGTAGTAGAAGAACAAGCTGATGGAGAAGAAGATGATGATGATGATGTTTTATTGTTATTATTGATAATAGTAGGTATAGTACTGTGATGATCATCATTGTCGCTGTTGTCTTCAACAAGATCTCCGCTTGAGGAAGTAGTACTGGTTGGCTGATTAGTATCCACGTTCCTTTGTTGTTGTCGTCGTCGTGGCTGTCGTGGTTTAGATGGGCTTCGAATTCGTATTTTCAATCCTTGTTCAGCAAAACATCGAGCTAGTGGACAAGAACCAAACATACCAGGGAACTAGTTTATTAACAAGAAAGAAAGAAAGAAAAAAAAATAGATTAAAATCAAATAGAACATAAGCACACACACACACACACACACACACACACACACACACACACACACACACACACACACACAAATATATATACACATATATATATAACGCAATATATAAATATATACAATATAAATAAATATATATATATATAAATATATAAATATAGATATAACGCGTCTGGGTATATGTTTGATATTACCTTTTTCGCGGAATATACCGTAAACTCGTCCGTAAAAATGGATTGTAGGAATGTAACCGAAGTCCTGGTTGACCAAGTTGGGTTGGACAACACACACACATATATATATATATATATACAAATAAAATAAAATAAAATAAAATAAAAAAATTTTTTTAGTCGTTTATGATTTTTTTTGTTCTTAGTTATCCTTCCTTTTTTTCTTTTTTTATTATTTTTTTTATTTTTTTATTTTTTATTCTTTATTTCTTATTTTTTTTTACCCTTGAATTTGGAATAAAGATAATTGAAATCGATATCTACCTTCGACGCGAATAGAAAGATCTGAGAAGACAAAGAAACATTTTGGAATATAATCAAGATCTTTAAAGAGATATAAAGATGAAACTGTGCGACCGACCGTTAGTTGAGAATGAAGACTGAGATCCACTTGTTGTTGTGTTGATGATGATGTTGTTGTTGTTCTTGCTGCTGGTACCAACACTGCTGTCATAAACAAATCAGTCATGTATTCCTCTGGAAGGAGTAATTGATGATAACTATTGAAAAAGAGAAAAAAAAATCACATGGTATAGAATGGTAAGTTTTTCTTTTTTCTTCTTTTTTTCTTTTTCTTCTTCTTTTTACCCGTTGTGCATCTGTAATTCAATGATAAGAGGAGGATCAATTGGTCGTCGATCCACTATATAATATGATTTTTTTTTCTTTTAGAAGATGTTTTTCCTTTATGTATAATATTTTACCTTTGTCACCTACTCCACAAGTACGTGATTGTAAAGGTTGTTGACGTATGACCAAATTGAAATATCTAAATAATAATAATAATAATAAAGATCAATAATCAAAATGAATTTGATCCAATATGATTCTTTTTACATGGGCAATCCAGGTAATGACCCCATGATGGTCGTTTAAACGGAAATAAAATCGTGATAATTGTAGTAAAAGATGAAAAAAAAAGAATAATAAAAAAAAGGGGGGAAGCCGTCAATAACTAGGTGAAAATCCTCACCCCTTTTTTTTTGAGTCGCCAAAAAAGAAGGAAAGAAAGAAAAAAAAAAAAAAAAAAAAAGAGAGAGAGAAAAGAAAAGAAAAGAATGAAAAAAAAAGGAGGGACTAAAAAAAAAATTCTTATTTCTATCATCATCATCATCATTATCATTGCTGATATTCAAAATCATTCAAGAACCCAGTGTTTTGTTTTGGTTGGTAAAAGAAAAAGACTACTTTCGGGCATTCACACAAATTTTGTATAGTCTAGTCCCTATAAAAGTCAACTTGTCCTACTTTTGGAACACAAAACGATACGATCATTTATTTTTTTTTTTTTACTTGTCATTTCTTTTTCTTTTATAAAATGAAATCCATATTGGGATCGATCTTAGTCATCGCTTGTCTTTATTCGGTCTAATCAAGTTGTCAAACTAATAAAAATCAAATCTTTTCTTTTTTCATAACGTTTTACCGAAATAACTAAGCCAAAATGAAACCATCCACCCAAAAAAGGAAAACTCAAGGTCGTGCACAGATTTTTCTTTTTTTCTGGGTGTAGGAGTTAGCTTTTTTTTTTTTTTTATTGTAATTAATTCATCCAGCCACCTGGAAAAATAACTATGAAGATCTTCAAAAAAAAAGTCCTATTATAAAGGGAACATAAAAAAAAAAAGAGGTAGTTCTTTTTATTTCATAAAAGGCAAGATAACAAAAACAAAACAAGTATAGATATAATGTATAAAAAAAAGAAGCCAAATATAATTAAAAAAGTAAAAAGATGATATCAATAACTAATTATACTAAACATATTCATCATTGTGCATATACAGGATTCCAAGGCCAAGGAAGATTGGATACTGTTGAAGAAGAAGAAGAAGAACCTGTAGTTGTTGGTATGTCAAAGGAAGCAGTAGAATAAGAAGTTGATGAAAAAAAAGGTTTGAAATGTGTAGTAGTAGATGGATCATTTCTTTGATTCAATAATAAATGGGTATTGACAGCTGGCATAGAAGATATAGGAGGTAAGATGGATGAATAACCATTTGTCATCATACGTCTTTTATAAAGGAAAAAAAAAATAAAAGATCAATCCAATTATCATTTCTATTTTTATTTTTTTTTTATTTTACTTACGTTTTGGATAATGTAGTTGTTAATTGTTGTTGAGATCGACCCCAAGAAAGACGAATACGACAACTACCAATTTGATATCCATTCATATGTTGAATGGCTGAAACCGCAGCATCATGTGATACGTATTGAACAAATCCACATCCTTTTCCAATAGGAATCTTGACATATACAATATCACCAAATGGACTAAAATAATGTCGTAATTCATCTTCACGTAATGGTGTTGATAATCCACCTACAAATACTGTTGTATTATTATTATTGTTGTTGTTGTTGTTGTTGTTGTTGCTGTTGTTGTTGTTGTTGTTGTTGTTGTTGTTGTTGTTGTTGTTGTTGTTGTTGTTGTTGTTGTTGTTGTTGTTGTTGTTGTTGTTGTTGTTGATTTTTGTTGAAGTTGTCAGTGGTACAGGAGAAGAGAAGGAGAAGATAGGAGAAGTATGAGTACTACTATTACTACTATTTCTACTACTAGTAGTACTACTATTAGTACTATTGGTATTGTTGTTATTATTTGTATGTTTTGGTGTAGCAACAGAAACACGAATAGGACGATTGGCCAAGATAAAACCTTGCATTTCAATTAAAGCTTGTTGTTGATCCAAAGGATGATGAAAACGAACAAAACCATAACATCGAGATAAACCTGTGTGTGGATCGATCATGATTTTAGCTGATTTACAACTTGGATATCGAGATTGAAAGAGATTCTATTTTGATAAAATAATAAATTCAAAGTATTTGATATTTTTATTTTTTTTTTATTTATTCTTACAAAAAGTGTTATATCAGTACAATCCCAAGGTAAATCACCCACAAAAATAGAATATTCATCCAATCGATCTTCTCTAATAATAATAATAATAAAAAAATAAAGGATAAGTAAAATAATCACAAAAAAAAAAAAAATATTATATATTTCTTTATTATTACTTTTTATCAAAAAAACCACCTGAAGCCCAATTTAATTTGAAACATTTGTTGGTATTTGATATGCGTTCACCTTGATAAAGATTTAACATGCGTCGAGCCATCAGATTGGTTCCAAAATCAATAAAACAATACCCGGCACTAACTCTAACCCGTGATATCAAAACAAAAAAAAAAAAAGATTATATATATATATATATAATATTATATTATATAAATATTTTTTTACCCTGTTGTTTTATCACGAATCACTTTGACTTTAACTTTATCTAACCATGAATTGAATAAAGACTGTATAAATTGTTCATCCATCCAAACTTCCAAGTCACCCATCCTATTCAAATATATATATATAATAAGTATAACAAGTTAATAACTGGTTTTTCTTTTTTTTGTTTTACCATAATGTCGTTCTTTGATCTTGTTGAACATGATCACTCGTAAAGCATGAAACTGAAGTAGAAGATGGAAGAGTCAATTCATGTTGTTTATCATAAATATAACTAATACCCATAAGTAAGTAAGTAAGTAATAATAATAATAAAAAGTAAGAAAAGAAGAAAAGAAAAGGAAAGAAAGAAAAGAAAAGAAAAAGAAAAGAAATGTCCCTTTTTGTTATTCCTTTTTTTTTTTATTGAGAAGAATTTGAAACACAACTCTATTATAACCCCAAGACTTATCTTCAAAGGAGATACAATATATAAAATCAAAATAAATAATCATCATTATACTATCATTGAATAATCTTTTCTTTTTTTATCTTTTTATTTTTCTATCTGGCATGAATGAATATCCCTTTTTTGTAAAATATAAAATATATAAAAAAAAAAAAACGCGGTATTTAAAAATATTATATGGATTCAATGATAATAGTATAATAATGATGATGATCATTGAACATATTCTAGTTGATTTTATAAATCAACTATTTTCTTTCTTTCTTTCTATTCTTTTATAAAATTGAATCTATCATAGTCTCCCAATTGGCCACAAATTAGAAAAGGGACGCGTATTTTAAGGTCCGTGTCTATCTCTTCTTTTTTTTTTTCTCTTTCTTTTTTATAATAATAATATGAATTATTCTTCTGCTGAACATTTGTATGGAGATAATGATAGTATATATTCTAAAGTTGAATTCAGTAAACAACTTGCACAATCCTCTTTACTATCTGATGAACTAATACAACGTTCAGCAAGTCAGTTTGGAATTAGGCCAAATACTTTATTAGATCAAAATATAATGGAAAACGAGGTATACTTTTACTACTCTACCTAAATTTATTATTATACTCATCTTCTTCTTTTTTTTTATATATATAATTGAAAGATCTATCCGTTATCACAGCGACGTCGACCTCTATTGCCTCAACAACAACAACAACAACAACAACGACAACAACGGTCTCTCCGATTACCAACAACAACAACACAAGAAGAAGAAGAAGAAGAACAAGAAGAAGGTCATGATAAGTGGGTAAATTCAATTACTTGTTAAAGAAGAGAAAGAGCCACTTAACGTTATATATATGATAGAAACCACAAGATTTGGATGAACAAAGTGAACTTCAATTCCTTGTACGACATCTTCAACGAGAAAATGAACAATTATTAATGGCCTTACAACGTAGTCATGATGGATTAATCAAGTGTCGCCAAGAAAAAAGATTATTGGAAGATATGTTACAAGATCAACGGAAAATGACTTTGGATAAAGAATTGGAGGATTGTATTTCAGGAACGCCATCCAACGAGGTAAAATAAAATAAAATAAAATGAATAAAATTCTAATATTTATCTATAGTGGAGTAAGCAAGAATTATTGGCTTTAGTGGAACAGGTAGAACAACGACAAAAAAGGGATATACAACATCGAAATGATTTACTATTTCAAAAACAATACTTGATGCTTGCTAATGCAGCACTTGAATCATGGTAAGAGGGGAAATAAATATAATATATATATATATATAAAGATCATGTCAAGATAAAATCTTTTTCTATCTATCTATCTATATAGTGAACAAGAATCATTAGATGTATTACAACAATTAGGTGTTACCAAGGCTGATCCCCCACTTTCTCCATGGTCTAAATGTCGAGCATGTATGTGGACCATCATTGCTGTGAAACGCTTCCAAGCCGGTGTATCATCTTCCTTGGCAAACAGAGTCAATCATGACGATCACTCTTCTTGGCAGTGAAATAGAATAGAATATCTTATATACCCCCCCCTATTTATCTATTTTTTTTTTTTGTCAAAAATAAAATTTTCTTTATTTAGTTTTGTGATGTTGAATGAATAAAGTATTGTACAATAACATAAGGTATAAAAAGAAAAAAAAACTATGTGCAAAAGCTAGACATATATATATATAATATGTAAACTAAGAAAGTAAAGGGAATAAAAAAAAATTGACTATATACTATTGAATAAAAAAAAAGATGGTAGATCAAATAAGAGCTCCATAATGAGGTGGACTTTGGTTTCGTTTGTTGCCAATGGTACGTTGTGGATAATAATGAGATGACCAAGCATTGTATTGTCGAAGTCGACTATCCCCTTCTCCAAGTAGATGATGATGATATAATCGACTACCAATACATGAATTTTGTAATAAACTTTCATGAAGTTCATCTTCTCTTGCTTCCTTTTCTACCATCATCAAAGTAATCAATGTTATTAAAAGAGATCCCATCTATAAATAAAAAAAAAAAAAAGGAATGTCAATCAGATACTTTTTTTTTTTTTGTAATGATATACCTGAAGAATCAAAAATATAAATAATCCAACTAAAAGTCCATGATGCCAAGTTGTACCAAATTGAAGCCAAGCTGATTTACATCCTATAGTAGAAATTTGACAAGTCAAGGGAACAGGTCGATCTTGAGGAGATGCATAACCACAACAATGAAACCTTTTTGAAAAAAGGATTAAAAACTTATTGCTTATCTCGATTTCAATCAACTTACAATTGTTCAATATCCAATAAAAACCATTCATCATGCGTATAAAAAAAGTCCCATATTATCTTGATTTTGGCATCTAACATATGATCTTGAGATTGAATATAAAGCCAACCTAAACTCATCAGTTGACAAAACAGTGCCAAGGCCGTGAAACCACAATATACTTTTAAAAATCCAGCATGTTCTTGATGACTTCCAAAACCTGCCAAGAAGCTCATTAAGCCTACTATACCACCTATTGACAATAATCCCATACTAGTACTTAAACTGACATTGCCTGCGAGAAGATATGCACCTATAGAGAAAGTGTGAGAATCATAAAAAAAATAAATAAATTTTGTTTCATTCTATTTATTTACCACTACAAGCCATGATGAGTCCAAGTACCTAATTTATAATTTTTTTTACAAGGTACAATTAGATCAAAAAAAAAAAGTCTTGGCTTTTTTAATATAATATATAGTTTACCATGATGGATACATGAAAAAGAGCCAAGATTTCACGTAAACCTTGACTACGACGTCTTTGACGTTGATAAGTATTCCCTCTATCAGTCATTTTAGAGAGAGAATATATATATATTTAAATGTAAGAAAAAGGTGGGAAAAAGAAAGAAAGAAAGAAAGAGAAAAAAAAATGAAAAAAAGAAGGTCGGGATATTCTACAGTCAGGGTCAAAGAATTTCTTTTTCTCTAGGTATGACCCAAAAAGGCAATACTGGAGATTGTACACTTTATTCAATAAAAAATGACGGAATTCAAAGAATAAGATGGCGCAAAAATAGGAAATAAAATATCGTAAGGATAGAAAATAAATGACAGAAGAAAAAAATATAATTGTCGCATAATCAAATAGACAATATAAGAAAATAGATATCATGAAAAAAAATGAGCAATCAAAAAAAAAAAAAAGGAAAGAAATCCACCAATTGAGTTCACCAAGTTAACATATAAAAAAAAAAGATAAAAAAAATAAGATAAAAAATGAGTAATACTTATCCAGATAAAAATATTTCACTAGCTTACCATTTAAGTGTAACGAGATCGCCGTAGCGAAAGTAGGATGGCGATAACCATCCCGGAAATTGTTGAATAAAAAAAAAAAAAGGCTGACCGTAACCACGCAAATGCGCATTAGCGACCACGGTCAAGCCCAGAAACAAAAAAGAGGTAGATCAATGGAGAAACAGACAGAGGTGGTTGAGTTATTAAAGGATGCTTGTAAGGAAAAAGATAGGCAAAAAAAAGGAAGACAGACCAAAAAGTAAGCAGGTAGGCCAAAAAGATGAATATAATGTAAAGAAATAAAAAAAAAAGTTAAATCAAAGGGATCCTTTTATAAGAAAATGAATCACTCGTGCAATTATGAACTAATTTTAGTTGATAAAATGATGAGACAAGATGTAAGCGAGTTTTATCTTTTTTTTAAAAAATATTAGCAACATTTCTATCTTTATATCGTATCTAATTCATCATCATTTTTTTTAGTATCTACTTTATTATTTTAGTATCTACTTCATCATTTTTTTTTTTAGTATTAGCAACATTTCTCTCTTTCTATTGTATTTAATTTATCATTGTCTTTTTTAGTATCTACTTCATCATTTTTAGTATCTACTTCATCATTTTTTTTCTTTTTTTTTTTTTTTTAGTGTTAGCAACATTTCTCTCTTTATAATAAAGTTAATTATATAAATGCTCTGCATTAAATTCTATTATTACAATATCCATGTACTAAGTGATACATGATACTGACTTGTTTTTGTCGTGTTTTAGTTTAATTACTAGATTTCTTTTTTTTAGTTGTTCTATTTTAAATGATAGTATGATCGTGCACAGGATACTTATTATTGCCATTTTTTAATTTCCATAGATGTGGTGAATCATCATTATTATATTGATTTATCATGTTGGCTGATAAAAGAGTGTTTTGACATTTTTCAAAGAAAAAAAGAAAAGAAAAAGAAAATGCTGTTCTGTCAGAAGGTAACTAGAATGAAGTATTTTGTATTTTATCAGAAATTTGTACAGTGATTGACGACAATGTTTCATCATCCATCATCCATCCTGTAATCATCCAATATACAATCATCCGTTATCACATATCATCAATCATGAATCATCAATTATGAATCATCAATCAATTGATACCTAAAAAAGAATGGACAACACCCAAAGCTGCTAAAAATATGAAAAGCTTATGTTACTTTTCTTTTGTGTCTTTTATTATTAATAAACAAGTTATCATCAATGTGTTGTGTGTTTTTAATGTACTCTACCGCCATCTCTGGAGCGATATCTGAAAAAGTGGTAATGCGCCATTCATTTTGGGAAAGTACGATATTTTATTTGATAACATCACGAAAAGCATTTTCTTGTGACCCGACAAAAAACCTTGAAAACACTGTATATCAAAAAAAAAAAAAAAAAAAAAAAAAAAAAAAAAAAAACTGTATGATGAAAAGTCATCCAGTTTTAACTTAATATATATAAAAATAAATGAAGAAAAAAATATCGAATGATCTTTTTCTCTTATATATAATGATGATTAATGATGATATCTTTTTTATTGATAAGAAAAAAATAAATAAAATACATAATATATATAATTTTAGATGTAACCATTCACTTTCAAAGTCTTGTTACCATACACAAGAATGTTCCAACTAGTAGCTGCTACCATCAATAATGGTACAGGTTTACATGATAAAATAGCTTTCTTTGCATTTAAAAAAGACCAAGATAAACACCAAGCTAATAATTAAGAAGAAATCAATAAATAGTTCTTTTTTTTTTTTTTTTTTTTTTTTACCTGTTGCAATACCAGCTCCATTTTCACTATCTCCAACATGAGTGACATATCTACAAAGAAAAAGAATGAATATAGGGGGTTGTTGATCGATATTTTTGATTTAAATTACCCTGCTCCTCCATAAATGGCAGTAAATAACAAAGATTGAATGACAGATGGCATACCAGGTGCTTTTCTAGCTGACAGTGGTAAAGTTGCTAATGCTTTTTTTTCATTTCCCGATAAAGGTACAAACGAAAAAAAAAAAAAAAAAAAAAAAAAAAAAAAAAAAAAACATCAATTCATTAGCCTATTTGATTGTCTTTTTTTTTTTTTTTTCTTTTTAGACTTACAAAGTGCTGATAAGCCCCAAATAGAAGTAGGTGTATTAGCTTGATGATCAAGAAATGTCACCGGTGGTTTTTCTGGTGATATTTTATTGGTCATCTTGAAAAAAGTCAAACTTTTATACTGGTGAAAAAAAAAGGAAAAGAAATAATGAAAAAAAGAAAGAAAAGGGAAGGAAAATGGAAGAACAAACTCAAAAAAAAAAAAAAAACTATTGACTGGAAAGACACAGAATTCAAGCACCGCATCTTTTTTTTTCTTTTCTTTTTTTTTTTTTTTCTTCGACCTTTCTTTCTTCTAACCCAGCATGACTTTGAATCCAGTGGTTATAGGTGCAATACGTGGGGCAAAGAAAGAACTAGGTCATCTCGGTAAAAGAAACAAATCTTTAATAATAATAATAATATGTTACCTAACTTTTTTTTTGTCTAGTTGTTCCTGTGATTATTGGTCAAGAAATCACTATTGGTCGCGCAAAAACGAAGTAACTATCTTTATTTTATATTCTTATGTTTTTTATTTATCTCTTCTTTTATTCCCTTCCTTTTATATAATAGTACTATTGTTGTGGATTCTGAATTAGTTAGTCGTACCCATTGTCGAATTTATTTGGTAATGATCTTGACACTTTCTTAAATGATTCAAACTCACGTTTTTTTTTTTCTTTCTCACTCCTAGTTGGCAACTAGTGAAGATCACCATATGGTTTATGTAGAGGTATAAAGTAAAAAAAAAAAATATCATTGTTTTTGGTAATAAAAGAAAAAAATATATTCAACTTTCTTTATATATATATATATATATATTCATATAGGATTTTAGTCGTGGTGGTACTTTTCGTAAGTATAGAAACGTTGAATTTATGCTAGTCAAAAAACTCTAATAAACATAATCTATCTTAGTGAACGGTGTTCGAATTGGCAAAGGGAATCATCGAGCTCTTTATCCTGGATGTATTTTAACTATGGCTTTACCTACTATACGTAAGTTTTTCAAAAAAAAAAAAAATAAAATATATAAGAAATAACCATTACTTTTATAGCATTTTCTTTTATTCGTATGGGAACGGACTGGACAGAAACTACGACAATGGTAAAAAAAAAAAAAAAAAAAATATAAAGTATCTATTTATTTATTATTATCTTTTTTATTTATTTTTATTTATAGAATTTAACTTGTGGACAAGTAAAGATATCTGATGAAATGATCGGTTCTGGCTCTCAATCCAAAGTATATCTTGTTGCTAATGAATTTCCTTGTCGACATCAATTTGTATGTCGTCGTACACGAAAACAAAAATTATTTGGCGGTGATCGACGTTTACATGAATTACAATTGAAGAATGAACTTGAATTATTACAAACATTCCATCATGTAAGTGATTCCAATCATTACAATATAATGTTTACCTTTTTTTTTTGGTAGCCAAATATCATTCAATTGATAGATTATACCATTCATTCTGATAATACTGTCTCAATGTTTTTTCCTTTGGTTTGTGGTGGTTCTCTAGAAGTTTTATTGAAAGGCAGAAATATGTTACTTGCTGAACAACAAGTTCAATTTATTATGTATCAATTATTCTCTGGTACAAAGGTAAGACATTATTTAAAGTTGAAAAGAAAAAAAGGAATGATTATATGGATTTACTAATTCGATTGGCTTTTTATGATTAGTATCTTCATGGTAACCGGATTATTCATCGAGGTATAAAGAAGAAAAAAAGAATGAACTTTTGATCCATATTGATCCTTCTTTTATATATATATATATTATACAATATTGATCGGTTTATTCTAGATCTCAAGGTAAATGATTCAAAAAAGAAAGTCTTAAAATAGGACATTTTGAAATGAATATAAAACCTTACTATTCTATCAAGCCAAGTAATATTCTAGTATACAAGACTGGTCACGCTTACCCACGCATTATCATCACTGATTTTGGATTATCTATTCAAATGGATAAGGAACAATTATGGTCGCATAGTGATGGAACTAAAAGGTAATAATAATTACGCCAAACTTTTCTCTAATCTGTTTCCCTTTTTTTTTTTTTTTTGTATTATTGAAAACAGTTACTTTGCTCCTGAATTGGCAAAAGATGATACTTCTTGTGATCCTTTTGATACCAAAGTAGATTGTTGGAGTCTGGGTTTAATCCTTCATCAATTATTGACACGTTATTTACCTTTTGAACTGGATGCTGAATATAAACAAGAAAGTATCAATGTCGATGATCATGGTTTGTGGAAACTTCAACGACAATGGATTCTATATGGACAAGTGAATATAAATTTACCTTTAATCTCATCTCAAGGTAATGAATAAGAATTACAAATTAAAATAAAAAAAATTCATCTTTTTTTTTTTTTGGTAGCAATATCATTGACGTGTCATTTATTAGAAAAGGAACCAAGTCAAAGATGGTCAAGTCAACAAGCTTTTGAATCCCCTTTTATTCAAGATGGATTGGCCAAACCTTGGTTTCTTGATGCACATAATCGAATGATGGATTCTTTTATGATGGATTCTTCTGTACAAATGGAGGATGATTTGATGATGCCTTCCAAATCACTATTGCCTACACCCAAGGTTTCCATTGCCAATCCAATTCCATTTCCTGGTGATCAAGCACAACGACAAGCATTTTATATGACAATCAATCAATAATTCATTCATATCCCCATAGTGTATATCTATTATTATTATCTCCTATCATCACGTTTAGCATTAGCATAAAATAATCAATCAATAAAAAAAAAAAGTCAAATCAAATCTCTGTTTAAATTCCAAGATCTTGGGAAGGGGTATTTTTCTGAATCATCATTCTGAAAGTATATCTCTGCTGACTTTATTCTTCAGGCTTCACTCACGTAACTGACCAATCAAATCAAATTCCCCACTTCTATATTTTTTTTATATATATATATTCAAAAATGGGTATCTTTTTACTTTTTCATTTCCTTTCTCCTTTTTTTTTTTTTTTTTGTTGATTTTGACAAAAAATAATAATAATACCATGACTACCACACAACAACAATATTTATTGGTCAAAGCAGAAAAAGCTATTTTATCACCTCAACATGCCACTGCACCTACTCAAGTTTTAATTGACCAAACCACTGGCAAGATTATACAAATCGGTCAAGCTATTGACATTCCCAAAGATACCCAAATTCTGACTTTAGATAATGATCAACTTTTGATGCCTGGTCTTGTTGATGCTCATGGTAAAAAAAGAGGAAAAAAATAAAATGAAAGTTATTGTTGTTCATCTTTTTTTTTTTGTGGATAGTCCATTTGAATGAACCTGGACGTACGGAATGGGAAGGATTTGAAACAGGGACCAAAGCTGCAGCTGCTGGAGGGATTACCACGGTGATTGATATGCCTTTGAATGCTATTCCACCTACAACGACACCTGACAATCTGGATATCAAACTGAATGCGGCCAAAGGACAATTACATGTGGATGTTGGTTTCTGGGGTGGCGTGATTCCTGACAATAGTCAACACTTACCTGCGTTACTTGATCGTGGTGTACGTGGATTTAAATGTTTCTTGATCGAATCTGGTGTGGATGAATTCCCATGTGTGAATGAAGAACAAGTTCGTTTAGCCATGGATCAAATGATTCATTCTGATAAGGTGCTTTTATTCCATGCCGAAATGGACTGTGATCATTGTAGCAATAATACAAAAGAATTGGATCCTCGTACGTATAATAGTTTTTTACAATCAAGACCTCAACAATTGGAAACAACCGCCATTGACATGATCATCCGTTTGACACGTGAATATTATGAAAAGGGAACACCTGTCAATACTCATATTGTTCATCTCTCTGCCGCTGATGCTCTGCCTGCCATCCGCCAAGCCAAGAAGGATCATTTACCTCTCACTGTCGAAACTTGCTTCCATTACTTGAATTTTGCCTCTGAAACGATTCAAGACGGTGCTACTCATTTCAAATGTTGTCCTCCTATTCGTGAAGCCAATAACCGGGAAGCCCTTTGGACGGCTCTTTTGGATGGCACTATCGATTATGTCGTCAGTGATCATTCTCCTTGTACTGCTCAACTCAAACGATTGGATACTGGTGATTTCGGACAAGCCTGGGGTGGAATTGCTTCTGTACAATTTGGATTACATATACTTTGGACAGAAGGTCGTCGTCGTGGTGTAACGTAAGTACCAAAAAAAAAAAAAAAAAAAAAGGAATATCAAATGATTTGATCTTTTTTTTTTTTGAATGACTAGACTTCAACAATTGATTCACTGGTTGAGCAAGGTACCAGCGGAACGAACACAATTACATCATCGAAAAGGAGAAATCAAGGTTGGAAATGATGCTGATTTAGTGATCTGGCGTCCTGAAGCTTCATGGAAGGTGGATGTCAAGGATATTCATTTCAAGAATAAATTATCTCCCTATGTCGGTACTACCTTTTATGGTGTGGTGGATCAAACCATTGTTCGTGGTCAAACTGTGTTTGATCGCTCTTCTTCTTCTTCTTCTTCTTTTGCCTCTGTGCCTCTTGGTCAAACTTTATTAGAATAGATTCTTTTTTTTTGTTTTTTGTGATTCGTTTTTCCTTCCCTGTTTGTATTTTGTTTGTGTTTATTGCTTTTTTCAATAAAGAAAAATATGGTTTTCCTTTTTTTTTTTTTTTTGGTAATATCATCTTAAGAATTCATCAACAAATATTTAAAATATTAGTCATCATTTGGATACTATGGTGCTAATGATCAAAGGATCAAAACATCTAATCTACCATCTACTTGTTTCATTGCCCACCATCTGTCATCCCACACCCGTATTATATACTAGATCAAAAAAAAAAAAAAAATACGGATATATATATATATATATGACAAGACATCATTTTTTTTTATTATCATTATATAATACACTAATTAAAATCATAAAGGTATCTTTCCAATTCGAATCGAACACTTTGTGCCACTGCCCGAATAAAATCAAAGCTAACATTACATTTGTACTTGGCCGCATCCAATTTGTCCATACCAGTACATCGTACTAATAATCGTAATGTTGTCAAACTTGTAATCTAAAACAAAGAATATTAAATAATGCTATATATATATATATTTGGTTTACCTGAAGTTGAATATCAATACTATCTTCCAATTCATCATCAATAATACTATAAAAGATGGCCAACATACGTTCAATCGGGAATGCTTTGGGACCAAGTAATTGTTGTCGCATCTAATAATAGATGATCATTATTAGAGATTGTCATCCTTCTATATATATTTTGTTTACCTTGCCACCAGTTTGTTCAGCTTTGCCTTTTCGAGTACCACCACCTTTTCTTTTCGATCGTTCTTCTGGTCCTTTGGCAAAGTAACGCATATCAAATCGAGGAGGATTATAACTTGCCAAATAACATGCCAATAATAAGAATTTTGTATAATAAGGAAGATCAAAATCACCTAACCATATCAAACTTATAAGTATCATCCAAATTTTTTTTATTTATTTATTTATTTTACCTTTTCCTGTTGATCTTGTATGAGATAAAAAAGCACCTACTCTTTTATTTTCATCTAATTCTTGATCCAATTGTTGTGTTTCTTTACTCCATTCCGCACTTGAGATTTCACGTAAATACAATTTGTCTGTGGCTTCGGCAAAATAAGGTTGTGCATGCTTGAATAATTTGGCTGTTTCATGTATTCCCACTAACATACACATATAATATAAAATTGAGTTCATAATAATGAGTTGATTGAGTTGGGAGAGGGAAATTACCTGTGCCTTCTTGAATTGGTTTGAGATACAAAGGGAATAATAAGGCAGCAAAGTAACGTAATTCATTCAAATCTTTACAATTATGATTAAAGATAGAATAAATCAATTCAATATATTTGATAAAAAAATCATCATCCAATTCCGTCATTTTGTTATCATCTTGTATTTGTACTTGTCTTTCTACAGTAGCAAAGTCCAATAATAAAATCTGTAACGTATCTTCTTTGGTGTAATCAGGAAATCGGATATACATCGGTTCATATGAGCCACCTTTCATACGGAATTTTTCAAATACAATAGTACTAATCAGTAAAACACATACATTCCGTTGTGTCTAACAGGGTACATCATTAGTAAAAAAAAAAAATTATATTATAATCACACTTACGATTTCAGAAAGACGTAATAACACCGGTAGAATGGAAGGAGGCATATCTCGTAACCGTTCAGCGCGATCCAACACCTTTCAGTCCAAAAATAAATAAATAAATAAATGACGATTCTCCATTATTGGACTTTTTTATTTTTGACTTACTAAATAGATAGTTTCCTTTTGTCCTAGTTGAATCCTGTCGTCATTGGCTTTACCAGAATTGGTTGGAACAGTGACACCTTGTTGAATGATTTTGACAAACTGATGAATAGATTCAGCTTTACAAATGTTGGAGAATTGATTATCGATCCCAGGTGTCCAGCCACACCATTGATTCAAAGCACGTTCAAAGATCATACGTGGAGTATAGTTTTCAACACAATGGACATACGCATAGTGAGTGGAGGGTAAATGAGATGCTAATACGGAACGAACAACGCAGGTCTTTCCCGATGATGAATGTCCATAGACAAATATACTCGGTACCACTGTATCTGTTGGCTAAAAAAAAAAAAAAAGAAAAGAGAAGGAACATGAATCTTATTGTTCCTAAGAACATTGTGATTTGATCTTTCCTTTTTTTTTTTTACATTGCCCATTAATGAAACAAGTTTTTGGATCTGTTTGGATCTACCAGGGAATCGTTGTTCAAGTGAAGCAATAGACGGTGATTGCATCGTGATAAAACTTGAATCTATGTATAAAAAAAGAAAGAGAGGAGGAAAAAAAAAAAAAGATGACAGTTAAGCTTTTTTTTTTCAGTTCACAACCGCTGACCCTGAAATCACCTTCCCCCTTGTTTTTTTTGTGATGAGGTACAACATACAGAATTGATTTATTAATCAAAATATATTGTATAAATAAACATAAAGTAAAAGTAAGTGTAATACTAACTAGTTAAACTACAACTTAGGATTGTTAGTTAACAACTACCAGTAGAAGTCCAAACACCAGTAGAACCACCGGGAGTGTCACCTTGAGTCCACCAAGCAGCCTTCCATATCTTACCGTTGTAAGTAACTTGATCACCAGCAACATAAACAGTAGCGCTATCCCAAGCCTTGATAGAACCACAACCACCTGATGATGTAGGGGAAGAAGTAGGAGCAGAGGAAGTAGGTTTAACACTAGTAGCAGAGGAAGTAGGTTTAACACTAGTAGCAGAGGAAGTAGGCTTGACACTAGTAGTAGCAGATGTTGCGGAAGTAACAGTACCACCATTACCACCACCACTAGAACCTGTCAAAATCTTAGCAACAACATTCAATAATTCACCATTATCTTCATCCACAGACCAAACCATCAAACCACCCAAGTTCTTGCTAAGTGCATAATCTGTTTTAATACCAACAGAAGTAGGATCATCATAAGAAATGAAATCTTTGGTAGTAGGATTGAATAACCATGGTGTTTGAGTAATGTTGTCCCAGTTACGAATCCAAGGAGAAGCAGCAGTGGTAGGAGTGGTAAGTACACCTTGAGATCGCAAGTTAGCATAACGCCATACACCAGAAACACCACCAGGGTCCTTGGAACAATAAGGATCTTGCCAATAAGCATCATTAGAATCACCAGAAGGAGGATTACCAGCATTTTGAGGTTGATATTGATTTGTTTTTGACATGTCAACAGTAGCAGCTAAAAAAAAAAAAAAAAAAAAAAAAAAAAGTATATTTACATCATCAAATCAAAATCAATTATTTTTTTTAACTTACTTGCAGATCGTCCATAAAAGGCAACACCAGGAATAATTTTACTTGCAGGTACACCAGCAGACATCCAATTATTAATGGAGGACACAAAACTATCAGCATCACCCAATCCAGGTTCAAAGTTGAATGGTGCATTAGGACCAGAAGTGGAGTTCCAGGCACCATTGATATCATAAGTCATCAAATTGAATCGATCAATCACTTTGACATAATCAGATACATCTGTCATATAACCACCAGGTACCTTGAATGTACGTACATGGCAAGCAATGGAGATTTCCTTGGATCCAGCAGGGAAACTACTATCAAGAGCAGCACGCAATTCTTGAAGTAAAGTCAAATAATTTTTAGCATCATTTTGAAGATCCACAACATTACATCCAGCACCTTGAGAACCAGGATATTCCCAATCTAAATTTTTAATTAATAATATAAATGATCAGCAAATGATGATGATGATTATTTTTTTTTTTTTTTACCCAAATCAATGCCATCCAAATTATATTTCTTGATTTCACCAATATTCCAATTGATGAAGGTTTGACGTTGAGAAGCATCAGCAGCCACAGTACTATAAGTCAAACAACCGGACCAACCACCTACAGAAAGAAGGACTTTGGCATTTTTAGCATGAGCAGCAGATACTAATTGAGGTAATTGTGTTTCCACTTGTTGAGGATCGGTATAAGTGGGCGTCGCACCACTGATCAAAATGGCAAATGCATAATTAATATGGGTGTACTTGCTAAAATCAATTTGAGATACAGGATACTTTGCATAAAGCCCTAATAATAGTAAAAGTTGTCAATCATGGATAAAATAGAATGATAATAAACTTACAGTTAGGAAAATAACCTACAAGTGATTGAGCAGCAAGAGCAGAAGAGGCTGAGAAAAGAAGACTTCCCAAGAGTGCAAATTTCATATTTTTTTTTTTAATTGAAAAAAAAAGGAAAGGAAGGTTTCTTGATGATTAAAAGATATGAATAAAGAAGAAAAAGAAATGGAATGAAAAAAAAATGGATGATTTTATATATAAAAAAAAGACATTGACACTCCGAACTCCTTTGAAATCCACTACTTTTTTTTTACATAAGCCTTTCCATTTCTGTGATCATAAATGAACCATAACATTCATCTCATCATATGATTTAACATCATCATGTCATCCATCTTTCTTGTAATGAAAAAAGAAAATATCAACTTACTCTCTCTCTCTATCTATCTATCTATCTTAGTCCGGTTATTAATCATTACTTGTCAAATGTCATACCATGTTTGTTTGTTTATATAAACAAGTATTAAATGAATGATTATTAAAATAAGATTATATTGATTGAGTATTAAAATGATGATTATCCAACCTGATTATGTAAAAAAAAAAAAAAAAGTGAGTGAAGGAGAGTTCAAAGAAGAAAAAAAAAAAAGATAAAACATCACACACACACACATATATATAATCATTCCCACATGATCTATATTCATTTTAATGTACCTGAAAACTACTTGATAATCATACTATCACAAAACCCTTTCCACAGTAAAGAAAAATAAGGGTCATTTAAATTTCTCACTTTGGTCAGGTTCCCTTCATTTTTTTTTTTTTTTTGTATAAGGGAATCATCACCAATTTAAGGGTAGGTCTCACTTGTGTTCACGTGGGACAATTTTGATCCTTCATTTTTGTATCTTCTCCAACTCTTTGATATTTTTTACTCACACAAATGATTGGATTGTTTAAGACAAAACTTGATATCAGTGAGTCATCATCTATTTTTATTGTTCTCTTCATAAAAGAAAAAAAAAGTATTTGCTTTGTAATTGTTGGATACATTCCGAGGATGCCATGGGGTCTAGATAAGAAAACGAAGAACCCAAAATTTTCTTATGAAATAGTCTGGATGAATGTTCCTGAATTTTTTTTTTTAATGATTGAGTAATATAAACCTCTTTTAATGATCGAAATAATATTGTCCTACACTTCCATTATATGATCGCATATCGTACAAAATAACTATTTTCTTGTAATCAATGTAACCTTGAGGAAGTCACCCAATCTTTTTTAGACATCATCATGAATATATATATATAAAAAAAGAAATGATGATTCGTATCATCGAATGATGTAATCAAATTTATTACGTGATAATAGTATATGATTTTTTTTTTAACTTGGATCATCATAGTAAATATGATTGCGCTATAATGTGGGGTCCAGGCGGAGTTTCATTCACGTATTACCAATGCGTGATTTTTCCTTTCTTGCCTCTGTTTCCCTTTTCAGTTTTCTCCATTCGTTTGCAAAAAGGTATGAATTCTTTCATGCATCCATCCATCCATCCATCCATCCATTTAAATCATTTACTATTATCTCCTTGTTTTTAATGCTAAATACAACAATATCAATTTTACAATATATATTCACCCCACGTCATTCATAAATATATACAACGTATTCAACGATAGACGAATTAACATGCTTTTCTTTTTTTTTTCATATATATATCATTGATTGATGAATAATAGTTTGTTTTTTTTTTTATCATGCAAATTTTTGTCAAGACTCTTACTGGCAAGACCATCACTCTTGAAGTGGAAAGGTAATTGAAAGAAAAAAGACACCATCATGTAACTTATCTAATCAATTAAATAAACCTTCATGTAACAGCTCCGACTCCATCGACAATGTCAAGCAAAAGATCCAAGACAAGGAAGGTATTCCTCCTGATCAACAACGATTAATTTTCGCTGGCAAACAATTAGAAGATGGTCGTACTTTATCTGATTACAACATTCAAAAGGAATCTACTCTTCACCTGGTACTTCGTCTTCGTGGTGGTATTATTGAACCTTCCTTGAAGGCTTTGGCCTCCAAATACAACTGTGAAAAGATGATTTGTCGCAAGTGTTATGCTCGTCTTCCTCCTCGTGCTACCAACTGTCGTAAGCGAAAGTGTGGTCATTCCAATCAACTCCGTATCAAGAAGAAACTCAAATAAATCTTGTATCAACCCTCTCTCTTTTTTTTTATCCTTCTCCCTATATTTCTTTACTTACATAGTTTAACTTGTGTATATAACTTGATTATCTTTTGACAATAAAAAAAATATACTTTTTTTTATCTTTTATCAACCCTGTCTCTAATAGAACTTAATGCTTTTTTGATCCTGGTACTTGAAAACTTGAACATCCGATTCGCTTTTTCCCTTTTTTTTTTATTATTTTCTTTTTTCTTTCTTACATTATGGTGACCTTGATTCGATCAACACACTTAAGCATCCCATCTTTTACAACCTTTAGACGACAACAAAGATCTTTATGGACACGAGTGAGTAGTGGAAATTCAACATTGAAATCATGTATAGATGATTGTTTCACACAACAACAACAACAACAACAACAACAACAACCGAGTATTTGTTTTGCCTTGTTTTCCAAATCATTTGCCAGTCAAGAATACAATGATGCTATCAAATATCTCAATAAACAATTCCCCAAAACAACAAGTGTCATGGGTTGTGTGGTAGATCGTACTGCTAGTGATCATCCTCAAGGTCATGGCATTAGTCTTTTGTTCGGATACAATGAACATATTCAACCATTCCAAGTACAGGATTCACCACAACGACATAAAGCACGCAGTATCTCTGTAGGACGATGGGGTCAAGTCTATGATTTCGATCGGTTCAAATATCAAGACAATAGTTTGGATACCATGGGATGGTTATCATTCGACACGATCAGTCAACCACCTCAACAGCATGTGGATGTTTTTTTAGCTGGATCTCAACCACCTTCATTTATATTGATGGCAAGTGATCATGAACCTGATCAAGTTTTGACATCGTTGGATACCACGTACCCTGACACTCCTAAATATGGCATTCTTGGTGCATCCACTCCTTTTTTGACCGGTTCACCTTATACCATGTTTTATCAAGATCGTATCATGGAAGCAGGGATGATTGGTTTTGCCTCTTATTCTTCTTCTTCTTCTTCTTCTTCTTCTTTGGTTCATTATCCTTGTTTGGAACCTTTGGGTTCTTCTTTACAAATCACTCGAGCACGTGGCAATATTATTTTGGATTTGGATGATCAAGGTGCCACTCGATTATTATTACAATTGATCAATCAAGTCAATGTTTCCAAAGATGAAGCTTTTTATTTGGGTATCTATCAAGATGATGAAAATATGACGGTGGCTCGTATCACAAGTGGTGATCCAGGACGTGGTAATATGGCCGTCGATACAACTTTGGATTTACAACAAGGTCAACGTGTACAATTCATGAAAACCAATAAATCTCACTTGACTCCTCAACAACTTTTAACTGGTACTCAAGGTAATATATATATTCAATCTTATAAGAGTTGACTCATCCATCATTGCTTTTTTTCTTTTTTTTGGTCAAAGATCATACTATGGTATTTGGTGTAGTGGATTTGGATCATACTATCGATACAGTCATGCCATTGAAAGAATCTATGACAACAACAACAACAACAAATACATTTGGTGCTACCAGTGAAAATGGGATGATTGTGGGAAATCCTGGCAGGCCAAGTCAATTACATCAAGTTCCTTTTTCCTTTGCCACTATAGATCATATTTGATGAATTAGAATAAACATAGATAAGATAGTATTTATTGCATATATAATAAAACAAAAAAAAAGTTCAAACATTGAAACTCATAACGAGATCTTTAGCGAGTAACTTGACACAACGGTTAGAAGGCCATTGGAATTGTAATTGTTCAGATGCGTTGGTAAGATCTAATGAAACAAAAACAAGATATATTTCAATGTAAAAAAAAAAAAAAAAAAAAAAAAAAAAAAAAAAAAAAAAGAGATTGTAAAATTGGACTTACTATTATCATTGGATTCAGGTAATGCAAAAGAAAAGACTTTGTAAGGTTTCTGAGCACCAGCAGAAGAAGAAGAAGGTGATGATTTTGGATCACGGATATGAGATAAACCACTTGTAAACATACCAAATAAACTGAGTTGAGCATACCATACACGTACGGTTTGATCGGTTAAGGAACCTGTGGCTATCCATTTGGCATCCGGAGAAAATTTGACCACATTCACAGGACCGGTATGACCTTCCAAGACCACTGATCGCGTTGCTGTTTGTAAATCATATACAATGGCTGCTCCTTCTAAAGTACCCACCACCAATTTTTGTGCATGACTACTAAAATCTACCGATGGATAACTAGGAAATACAAATCAAAAAAAAAAAAATAATAAATAAATAAATAAAAAAAAATAAAAAATAAAAAAAAAAACTTACATTCGAACCAAATCATGAAGGGTAGAAGTGGCAGTCGCAAGTACAGATTCACGCATATGAGGAATATTGGGATTCAGAGTTTTGACTACAGCTTCCATGACACGATAAACATGACCATATAATAACATTGGATTCTATAAAAAAAAAAAAAGAGAGATGATATATAGAGAATTCTTTCATTTTTTTTTTTTTTTTACCTTGCGTATAAAGGAAGAAATCATTCTCAAACAAGCTAAACGATGATTAATATTCTTGGCATGAATAGTATCATAAGTCAAGGTACCAATGACCAAAGGCATATGATTGTTTTGAGCAATAGTGAAGATGGCATTTTTGGCTCCTTGACGAATCATTGCTTGTTGTTGTTGTTGAGTGATTGTTGTACGTAAAGATGGTGAACGGCTGTTGGCATAAGTAATCAAAGTACGAAGTACATTGGATGCATTGATATATGTTTCCCAAATACTAAAGCCTTGACTAAGTAATTCCATAGAAGATAAAATTCTTGTCAACGTTGTTGGATCAATAGATGACATACCACTTGATTCTGTTGTTAGTGTTGATGTTTCTGGTGCAGTTGTTGTGGTTATAGTTGTTGTTGCTGAAGAGGCTTCTTGATGTACTTGTTCTTCTTGTTCCATCATCAAATCTTCCACGTTGTTATCAGATAAAAGTAATGTCAAACTTAATGCAGTAGATTTTCGTACACTACATTGATTTTTTTTTAAAAACAATGATTAGTTCTTTGTATACATGATATGTCTCTCATTTTTTTTTATTTGTTTTACGTATCATCCAGCATCTGGGGTTGATCACAGCCAATAATCCCAAGGAGAATCGTAGCTCTTGTCATCATTTGAGTTTCCATCTCCTCATCAGAAGATGATGAACTTGAGGCAGGTACTATACATAGAATGAAAGAGTATAAGAATAATCATCAGAAAGAATATAATAAAAAAAAAAAAAAGGATTGGACTTACGATATTTTTTCCAATAATGAATGAGTGAATGTAATTCGGTTGCATCCAGTGCCATAATCGCCATTGAGAAGATCGTCCGTGCTTAAAAAAGAACAAGGGAAAAAAAAAAAGAAGAATCAGTTTCATTCAAAAGTTCCCTTTTTGTTCTCTCTCTTCTTTGGTAACTCATTACCTTTTGGATCTTGCCAATACTTGCTCAAAAAAGGTAAAGAAGGAGGACAATAATTCTCTCCTACCTTATGACGTAAATCCTTGCCATAATCCATCATATTATCGCATATCATTGGATTTTCTACTTGTTTTGTAAAAATTTTTTTAAATCAGCATAATAATAATTGGTTTCCTAAACTCTTCCTTCCCTTTTTTTCTATGTAAAGATAATTTCACTTACCTTCAACTTGAGATAAAAGAGCAATAGAAAGTAGTCGAGAGGCAGTCAAAGTAGAAGAAAGTGTCCAAGGTTGACGATCATTTTGACTAGGTGCTACTAAAGAGAGATAACCATTGGCTCCACGAATACCATAACTGATCCCATGAGCTGAAGGATGAAATTCATCATTATTGTTCATACTAGGGGAGACAAGGACAGACATCACGGCCGACACCAATTCCCGTTTCTTGATGCGCTGCTGATCTTTATTGTTGAATGTTCTTTTTTTACCATCACTGTTGCTGAGAAGATCATCACTATGATCACGTTGAGTTGTTTGCTGAGAAGATGAGAATATATTATTATTGCTTGCGGTGATGGTATCCATATCGTCGTCATGTTTAGTGTCAAGTGGATCGGTCAAGTCGGGACCAAATGTGGAGGAAGTGGAAGTGGAAAGTGAAGGAAAGGCAGAAGTAGACAATGAAATCATAGGTTGAGGTCGTGTTGCCGTTGAGGATGATGAACCATCCAAGGAGTGGCCGGTGTATGCGTTGGGAGGTAATGTTGATTGTGACGAGTCCAACAAGTCATATACCAGGCGTCGTATATTGAATATAAAGACTTGAGCAAATAATGTATCAGTATAAAGATCTATTTTCAAAAAAAAGAATAATCGTTAGTTTATAAAAAATAAAATAAAAAAAACAATCATCATCTTGCCTTGACTTTGGGAGAGAATGGATCTAGTATGTACAGTGTGATTTGTATTGGGATTGGATTTTCTTGAGGAAGAAGCGGATTGTACAATCCTATTACATGGCCATCTATCATCCGCCATCACTTGTTTTGAGGTTGTTCCATGAAGTACTCGATCTAAATGTCCTGCTTGTAACTGTAATGTAAAAAAAGAAAGTATTATGAGATAATGTCCATCTAGCATTGTTATCATATTTTATTGGCTCACCTGCCATACAAATACAACACCATCCGTGTATCCAAACAAAACATAATCTTCTGAAGGTCGCCATTGAATTTGAGTCAAAGGATAAGTATAACCAGGGATAATATACAAACTAAAGATAGAAGGAAATAGTTAGTTTTTTTTTTTTTCTTTTTCTTCAGAAATGTAACAATATACCAAGTCATGGAATCCACCGATATCAAAGCCAAGGAATGATCATGAGCAATAGATACTACACAACCTCTGACCCTAGAATCCTTTTGTTCAGCAGGTTCAACAAATGATTGTACCGGAGATGCATGCACAGTAAAAGAAGCCACAAATTTTCCATTTCTAAATATATATATATATATATATATATATAAATTAAAAGTGAATAGGTTGATATGGATTGTCCTTTTTTTTTCTCACTTACATCAAATTCCAAATCTTGACACAACCATCACGACCACCGGATAATAGATATTTTTGTTCAGAACTATGATGTTCAGGAACAAGCAAACATGTCACTTTGCCATGATGCGCTTTTTCAAATATCCTCGTATCTTGTCGATTGTAAAAGTGATCAGATAATTGATTTAGATGTAGTAAAGCCATTGTTAATGGGACCACACAAATTGTACCGTTCTCTATAGATAGAGAATTGTGAAGTGAGTTTATGATTAGTGTATTTAAATCTTTTTTTTTTTATTCTTTTATCTTTACCGTATCCTATTGCCAAATGATTACTGCTGACTGGAATGGTACTAGTGATGGAATTGTGTGGTTGTTGTACAGTGGGTGATTGCATTGGCCATATATCCATAAATGATATCTCTGTCATATAGTTAAACATCTTGATCAGTTTTAAGGATAAGCGTATTCTTCTTTTTTTTTTTTACCTTTGCTTCTTGAGATATTGTTATTTTGAGGATCAGACACAAGTGATTCCATGGAAAAAGAAGAAACACCATTGGATCGATTGAAAAAAGTAAGAATCATTGGTGTATTGTTTTCATTGTCATCTTGAGATTGGCATAAAGTAGAAACACATCCATCAAAACGAGAAACAGTAGAGTCTATGGAAAGAAAAGAAAAAAAAAAGGATATCATGAGGATCTTTTTCTTTTTTTTTTTTTTAATTGTTGGACTTTACGGTTTTCATTAGGGAAAGAATAAGTTGTTGATAATGTTGCACTAGGAAATAAGACAAGTCAATCTTTATCTGATTTTTTCAATCATCAAGCCTACCTGTAATAAAGCTGAGAATCCTTGGATACTACAGTCCCATTGGGTACACCTTGAGGGGAATGCAATCTGTAATCAAAAACAGTACCATCCTATATATATATATATATATATATATATATATAAAATAATGATGTTACAAATAATTGGTTTAACGATATCATTTTTTTCTTACCAAAGTCCAAAGTACCAATCGATCATGACCAACCCATTCACCGCCTACCCATTCTACTTGTTCTTCTGATAATGATGCTGGGAGTGTAAAATGTGGAATGAAATCATTTTCGCCGTTCAAGGTGAATACAATAGCACTTTTGCGAGTAATCATAAGGAAGAGACCGGTGAAAGGATGGGAAATCAAATTTATTACACTATCCAATAAAGCATCCTTTAACATTGTCGTTGCATTATCTTGATTTGAAGAAGAAGAAGGTTGATTTTTGATAAATTTCTTTTCCTTGTATAAAGCCACATTCTTGATATCCATATCCCAAATATCTAATTGCCCAGTCATTGTTGCCGTCATTAATCGAATCCTTTTCTCATCTAAAAAATATATAATAGGTTGAGATGATAGTTTGATTTTTTTTTTTTTTTAATTTTATTTTACATGGATCATAAAAACTTGTGCAAGTGACCCAATTAGTATGTCCACCCCAAACACGCACCACTTCTAATGTAGTAGTATTCAAAATACAAATTTCATTGGATTGACCACAACAAAAGATATAATGATTTGATAACTAAAAAAAAGAGAGAGAAAAATGAGAACTACAATAATAGCTGATAAAGGACTTACAGTATCAAAAACTTTGAGTTGAGTAGGACAACCAAAAAAACCATGAGGATTGACTACTTGACAACGACCATCCGTAGTATCCCATCGAGCTATTTCACTATATTAACATAAAGTTTGAATTCATGGACGGTAATAAAAAGATCATTATTTTTTTTTTTACCCAGTTTCATCGGCACTAACCAAAATATCTTGGTTACCATTGTTGTTTGTTGCATAAGGGGTATCAGTGGAGTTGAATATATACAAGGCAGTAATGGCTGCTTTATGTCCAGTCAATAAATATTTATGCTAGTTTTCTCGTAAAAGAATAAGAATAATAATGTGAATTTAATGTTTAATTTTTCTTTTCTTCTTTTTGTTATCTCACCCGTAATGAAGATGTCTGTTTGTCAAGAGTATAGACCCAGATATGTCCGTCTTTTTGTCCAGCGTAAACGTGAGCATGATGATAGAGTAATGTGGTGGTAGTAGTATTGACATTGGTGTATTGATGCCATGAGACTAATGGTAAATATAAAGAAGCCGAGGCCATACCATATGAATGGTTGAAAAGAAGGGAAAAAAAAAAAAAAAAAAAAAAAAAAAAAAAAAAAAAAAAGAGGGAACCAAAAAAAATTGAATGAAATTGCGCGTTCAAATCCCAGCACAAGCAGTAATTATTAAATATTCCTTTATTATGAAACAATACTGATGATTTTTATCAAAGTTGATAAATTGATATAAAAAAATATACATATTGAATTGATAGGTTTTATTGATTTTTATTCTTTTTATATAAAAAAGAAAACAAGGAAATTGAAGCATGGAGACAGAATATTACGAAGTGCACAAATAAAAAAAAATTGATCAATCAACGGGGGGACGCAATACAAAGAATACACTACACTAAGAAAAGAAAAAAGGATTGGAAACCAAAGCTGTGATCATGTTGTCCTACTTCACTGATTTGAGATATGGACTTGGAGCTAGGATTGATACAGGAACGAAAGGGGACATGACTTGAGCAAAACAAGAATCCAATTCTTTATCCTTTTAATATGATCCGAAATGTACCTAAGTTTGGCTTTCCGTTTCATTTGATAAATTTGATTCATTGCCATAGCTTACATCTAAAAAAAAAAAAATCATCAAATATATCGATGATGTCGTCACTAGTCGTTATTATTCTATATGATGAAGACTGCAAGACCACGATGACGATGCTTCTACTCTTGTTCTTGTTGATAAAGAGGAATTGACATGACTGTATGTTCCATTTTCAAAATAAACAAACTTGACGTTCGTTGTCCAGGGTCTTCTTTCGCTTGTTCAATTTATACTGCATCCAAACCGTTTCTAACATGATATTCCAACTTTAACCTATAGTATGGCGGATAGGAAGAGGCATAGAGTACAATAGCTTTTTTTTTTGAAATGACTACAAGAAAGCAACTAGAAAATATTTAATATTTGTTTTAATATTCGAAAAAATAATAAAGTAGAATTCAGATTTATTGTAGTTTCCATTTCGTCTTTCTGATTGAATACTTACATGAGAATAGTAGTTTCATGTTAGTTTATACTTGCGTAAGATTAAAAAGAAAAAGAAAGAAAGAAAGAAAGAAAGAAAGAAAGAAAGAAAGAAAGAAAGAAAAAAAAAGACAGAAATCTTTATTAAGCATGAATTTTCAACTCCGTGGACCATGACCACATTCATTCATGGACAGAACCGTGTCTCATCCCATTGCACAGAGTAAGAGGATGTTGCACAATCTCAAGAGCCATAGGACTGACATTGTCCCATCGCATCGTAACAGTCCTAATTAATGATGGACCATCATTGCTTATAAAAATGAAAGTAAAAATCTCTCCAAGTAATATTAATGAATAATAATAAAAAAAAAATAGATTTTAATCAATTACAAATCTTAAAAACTCGAATTTCTATCAATTAATATGATTTTTAAAGGAAACATGGTCCAATTTTTCTTTGTCATATGTCGAAAATCGAACAGTTTCAGCGGGATTTAAATGATTGGGCGTAAAAAAAAAAAAAAAAAAGAAAAAAGAAAAAAGACGAGGTCATCTTACTCTTTGAGCCCAGGTTGTTTTTTTTTGTTACTTCTGTCTCTCTTTCTTTCTTTTTTTTTATCCTCCCCTTTACTGCTTTTCTCCTTATTTTCCAAGCTCTTTGTATATATAGATACCTATTCTCTTTCTATCTCTCTATTTCACAAATACGATCCTTGGTAAGTTTAAATGTATGTCTATATAGCTTGATAAACTCACGTGCGTATTTTTTTTTATATTTGTTTTGTGTATAGGCTTTTATATTAAACTTTTCTTTATCAATTAAACAGGAATAATGGATTCTCCAATAGCAGCCACACCATCATCTTCTTCTCCACCACCACCAACAACAAATAATGGTACTGTTAAACATACGGAAGAAGGTACTCTTTCCACTACCGAATGGGACAAAGACACGAAATCCATTCCTCGACTTCAACTTGTTGATGAAGACCAAAAGTTTACGTAAGATATATATAAAAAAAAGAAAGAAATATTTATATCCTCATCATCTTACTTTTCATTTTTAGGGATGTACTTCCTCAATATATGAATGAATGGGGACTTGGTGAAGCAGGATTCAAATATAATGTCGTTGCAGTATTTGGGTCTCAGAGTACTGGCAAAAGTAAGTTTTCCTATTGAAAAAAAAAAAACCTGATTTTTATCTTAATTTTATTCTATTTTTTTTTTTTATAAGGTACACTTTTGAATGGATTATTCGGAACTTCCTTTGACGTGATGAATGAAACTCAACGTAGTCAAACAACCAAAGGGATTTGGATTTCACGTGGACGTGGTATGCATGTGCTTGTGATGGATGTAGAAGGTACCGATGGACGTGAACGTGGTGAAGATCAAGATTTTGAACGTAAATCTGCCTTATTCTCTATGGCCACTAGTGAAGTCATTATTTTGAATTTATGGGAACATCAAGTCGGTTTATATCAAGGTGCAAATATGGGATTATTGAAAACTGTATTTGAAGTCAATCTCCAACTGTTTCAACACAAACAAACTTCTAAAGAAAAGACTCTCTTGTTGATTGTGATTCGTGATCATGTCGGTTCTACTCCTTTGGCAAACTTGGCAAAAACCTTACAAAATGATTTGGAAAAGATTTGGGCTGGATTATCAAAGGTAAATATATATATATATTACTCAATTTTTTATTTACTTTATTTTATTTTTCTTTTTCTTTTTTTTTTTTAGCCTGAAGGACTAGAAGATTGTCAAATCCATGATTATTTTGATTTTATGTATACTGGTTTACCCCACAAGATCTTGTTACCAGAAAAGTTTGATCAAGAAGTAGCTCAATTGCGACATCGGTTCAACGACCCTCAACATCCTGACTTTGTGTTCCGTCCTGAATATCATAAACGTATTCCTGCTGATGGATATCATGTTTATGCTTCTGGTATCTGGGATAAGATTCTGACCAACAAGGATTTGGATTTACCAACCCAACAAGAATTATTGGCTCAATATCGATGTGATGAAATTGCAGCCACAGCATTTGAACGCTTTTCTCAGCAATTACAACCATTCAAACAACCTATTTTGGAAAAGGGACAGACAATGGATGATTTAGGACCTCAAATGCAAGCTATTCGACAAGAAGCCATGGATGCCTTTGACAAGAATGCTTCTCGGTATCACCAAGCTGTTTATCAAAAAAAGCGTCAAGATATGCTCACCAAACTCAATACCCAACTCAATGTATACTTTGTGGGTCAACTCAAGAATTTGCACAAAAAGGCCATGTTATTATTCGAAACCACTCTCAAACAAGAACTCAAAAAACCCAATTACAACTTTAGTCAAGTCGTTCAAGATGCACTTCACCAAGCTACAGATGTGTTTTTGTCAGGTGCCAAGGCTCTTGTCTTACCTGATACGGATTGGTCTTATACTCACGAATTGACCATTTTGGAAGAAGAATTTGATGTTCTTTCCACCAAAGCTCGTGCTGATGAATTCAAGAAGATGAGTAAGGCTTTGACGGTAAGTAAAAAAAAAAAAAAAATTGAAATGATAAATGAACGGGTCACTGATTTTTTTTTTTTTTTTTTTTTTTGATTAGAAACAAGTTGAAAATGAATTATCGGAACCTGTCTCTCTTGCATTAAATGATCCTCAACCTCATACATGGCATAAAATCATTGAAGCATATAAATCTACTGTAGATAATGGTCAAACTACTTTAGTGAAGAAAGCAAAGAGTAAAGATCAAAGAATTGTATATATTTCATTGCTAACTTCCTTTTTAATTATTATTGAATAGGCTTCAATTCGACAGAAGAAGAATTAGAAGAATCGTTATTGGGATTGAGAAGAGAAGCTTGGATTGTGCTACGCAAAAAGGTGGATGAAGAATTGGCAGATACAATGTTATTACTGAAACTAAGATCAAAGTAAGTTATTGTAAAAGGATTGATTGGTTGGACTGATTCCATTTTATTTATATATATATATAGATTTGAAGAAAAGTTCAGATATGATGAACATGGATTACCTCGAGTATGGAAACCTGAAGATGATATTGATACTTACTTTAAACATGCCAGAGATGATGTAAGTTAACCTCTTTTTTTTTCTTCTGTTGACGAATGTATATTTACAATTTATTTATTTATTTTGTCCTGATAGACATTGAAATTGATTCCATTGTTTGCCAAGATTGATCTCCGTGAAGATGAAGACTTTGAAATCGAATCTAACGAAGTAAGTGTAAGAAAAAAAAAATAATTTTTTTTCTAACTTGACTTTATTTTCAAATAGGACTTTGATTTCCAGCAAACATTAACAATTCTTGGAGAAGGCAAACAAATCGATATTACCAATCGATTCAAAAGGGAATCGGATGCATTCTATTTGGAAGCTAAACGATCTGTTGTGGCAACAACTGCTAAAATCCCCATGTGGCTTGTAGGTGTGATCATAGCTCTTGGTTGGAATGAATTCATGGCCATTATTCGAAGTCCTATTTATCTTGTGCTTTTTATCTTGATGATTGCTGGTGGATACGTGGTATATGTATTGAATCTCTGGGGTCCCATTGAACGTGTATTGACCGTCGTAGCAGGAGAAGTTTCTAGGATAGCCAAAGAACGTATTATTGAAGGTGTGGATATGCTTCGGGAACAACAACAACAATTAGCTCATACTAGTCCTGGTGTAGAAATGACTTCGTTACAGAATAAGGATAAAAGTGAGTGATTCTCTCTTTATTTTTTTTTATTATATTTATCTTTTTATATATATTATATATATTGATTGATTGAATGAATAAAACAGAAAATCATTTTTTTTTCCATCATTTTACTATTTTTTTTATAATATAAACAAAATACAAATGTATTTATTTTCATTTTTCTTTTTAATAAAGTAATGAAGACCCCAAAAGGAAGGGCGAATGTTCATGATATGGTTTTGCCGCCAGTCAAGACCACATAGTGGCTTCTCTTTTTATTTGATTTGTACTTTAGGCTCAGGAATATATCATGCCGGTTCATTTCCAATGATAGGCAAGTGATTATTCAAATACTAACATTAAATAACTCTTTCCCCTATCACCATAAACGGATATGAATCGATTATTCAAACTTGTCCTACGAAGAGGATATACACAAATAATAATTCACTCTTTTAACAAAAGTTCTGTGCCCACAAGTAGAACAAGTATAAAGAAAAAAAAAAAAAAAACAAATAAAATAAAAAAATGGAGGGGGCTTATTTATAGTTTTGCGGACTCAAAATCTCATTTTTGGTGGAAGGAAAATTTTTTTGGACTGCTTCAATGTGAAACGTTCCTCTTGCCTTTTCTAGAGACCTGTGATGATGAATAACTCCATCATTCAATTCATTTCATCATAATTATCATCATAATTATTATTCAACCTTCATCATAACTATTTTTATTCGATCATCATTATCATTGTCATTATTCAATCACCCGTGATGATGCTGTTTGTGAGGATGATCTACCTACCTTAATGCTCATCATATTATTGACCCAACCAGAAGGAGGTTTTCATACATTCATTGTTTCTTTCTGCATTTTCATACGTCGTTTGGTCAAAGAGCGGAGTCTAATGCCTTAAAAACCTAGCCGGTAATAAGGACGCCAAGCAAAAAAAACACTATTCGCTTTTTTATTTTAATGTAACGGAAGAGAAAAAAAAAAAACAGGGCGCCGTGAACTCTTTTTTCCTTTTTTTTTTTTACTCTCTCTCACTCCTTTTGACTTTTTTTTTCTTCTTTACTATCTTCCATTATACCTTTTTACCTTAACGATGGAAGATCCCGAAGATAAAAAGGCTTTATTATCTACTGAAGAACAAGAAGAACATGACCTTTCTGTATTGACACCACAAAAACAACCACCTCATCAACCAAGTGCTGTTTTACCAGCCAATAGTCTTGTTAGTCATGACCAAGCAGAAGCTCAATTATCCTCTAATCCTCAAAGTAAGATTTAAAAAAAAAAAAAAAAAAAAAAGGTTTTATTCATATTTTTTATTTTATTTTATTTATTCCATTCAATGAGTAGATATGGATCTATTTGAAGCAGCACGACAAGGCAATTTTCAACAATTGGTTCATTTATTGGAAACGAAGCAAGCTTCTGTACATGATGTGGATGGAGATGGAGCAACGGCCCTTCATTATGCAGCAGTCTCAAGCGAGGTATGTGCCAAGTATCTTATCGATCGTGGAGCGGTGGTGAATCAAGCGGCTGGTGAACTACAAGCAACCCCTTTACATTGGGCAACACGACAAGGTCAACTTTGGACGGCACATCGACTTATTATGGATGGTGGTGCGGATCCAACTCTCAAGGACGGTCAAGGTTTCAATGCTCTTCATCTTGCTGTGCATTCTTCACAAGCCATGCTGGTGTTGTACTACCTGTTTTTAGGAAGGATTGATATTGATGCAGCGGATACGATTGGTGGACATACAGCATTGATGTGGGCTGCGTATCAAGGCCAACCATTGGTATGTCATTTGCTTCTGACATTTGGTGCCAATGTACATGCTACGGATCATACTGGATTGACGCCTCTGCATTGGGCAGTCGTCAGTGCACACAAAGGATGTATCCGCAAATTACTCGAATACGATGCTGATCCTCATTGTCGTGATTCTTCTGGTAAATCCGTCATGGATTTTGTTTATGATAAGAAACTCGATAGTGTTTGGCAACGTGCTGTCTTGGAATTTGATATTATTGCTGAAACAAAACCTCATTTGACTTCACGTATTGGTTCTTATCCTGGTTCTAAACCTCATCAATGGTCAAAGGTAACCATAAAAAAAAAAATTCTATTTATTGTATTTATTCAACTTTATATATTTGAATTGGATTAGAAAACAATCAATACTATCATTTACTTTTTACCATTTATCGCTTTGGGCATGGCACTAAAAACATTATCTCTTTTTTCTTGGTATCTTGGACTTCCTTTGGCCTTTTTATGTTTGGTTTGTATGCATGTTGGTATTGTCAAATATTTAATTCCAATTCCTCATAATGATGCTTTATGGAAAACTCCTTATTTTTCTTGTATCTTTCAAGCATCGGCTTTTTGGGTATTAATGACATGGACTTGTATTCTTGTACCAAGTAAGTCTTTCATCATGATAATATTATTATTATTTAGAGAGATTAATTATCATTTTTTTTTTTTTTAGGTACAGCATATATGATGTTGACACATTTGATTTTTATGTCTAGTTTCTTTATTGCCATGTACAACTTTTATCAAGCAGTGATGGCAGATCCAGGATTTGTCAACAATACTCCTAATAGAGAACAACAACGACAAGATGTGATGGAATTGGCTGATGCTCATTGTTTAGATATTCGACATTTCTGTGTCACTTGTTTGGTAAGAAGGATGGAAAAATAAAAATGAACTTGATAATTCTTTTGAAGATGGGAAACAGTGATAACAATTTTTTTATTATTATTACTATTATTATTTAATTAGATCAAAAAACCTTTAAGATCTAAACATTGCAAGATATGTAATCGATGTGTAGCACGATTTGATCAGTAAGTTTATCGAAGAAAAGGGAAAATGTATATATCTGATCCTTTTTTTTTTTTTTTGTTAGTCACTGTCCTTGGATTTACAATTGTATTGGTGTCAAGAATCATCGTGCTTTTATGGTGTTTCTATTGAATATGGTGATTGCTATTATCTCATTTACTTTTCTATCTCTTCAATGTAAGTTAATGATTATCCAAAATATTTGTTAAAATAATCATCCTCTTATTCTTATTATTATTATTATTATTGTAGACTTTTCCAGTTTGTCACCGACATATGAACGTGGGATGGATGGTACATGTTTTTTAGGATCAACAGTATGTGGTTATTTCCAATTTGATACATGGACATTGTCATTAACAGTATGGATTCTAATTCAATTATCATGGTCAGTCTTCTTACTTGGTGTACAACTCTACCAAATTGCAGTGGCAACTACAACCAATGAAAGTGCTAATGCTCATCGATATTCCTATATGAATCAAGGTGGGATCATGACAGCAGCAAGTACAGGTGGTACAATAGCAGGTTCTGATGGACCTCAAGTTCAACCCATCATTCCAAATAATAATCGTCATGGTCATGGTGTGGCTGGATTTTTACCTTGTTTACAATTATTTGCTGGGGCAAGAGCTTTACATCGAACAAGACAAGCCAATCGTGGACAACAACAAAGAGGTGGTAATCCTTTTGATCATGGATGTTTGAATAATTGTATGGAATTTTGGACTGAAGAAGCAAATAATAACAAAAAATCTCATGATATCAATTGGTATAATGTTTATAATTTACAAGATATTATGAATCAAAGAACTTCTGATCATCATCATCAACAACAATCCGTAGTGTAGAATTCCCCCCCTTTTATTATTATTATTATTGTTATTATTAGTTAGTTCTATTTATATATATATATATATATATATATATTCTCTTGAAATAAACATATATAATTTTTTTGTATACCTGTAGAAAAATAAAATATGAATGTGTCTCAAATAAGATGACTGAACACTACACTTTATTCAATAAAAAATGATGGAATTCAAAGAATAAGATGTCGCAAAAATAGGAAATAAAATATAGTAAGGATAGAAAATAAATGACGGGGAAGGAAAGAGAGAGTTGTCGCATAATCCAAATTGAATACAAGAAGAAGAAAAAGAACAAGAAGAAAAGGAGTGATAGTAGTTCCATTGAGTATTTTGAATAACAGAAAATAAAATATTATTTAGTCAACATATCCATTTTTTTTTTATATTTATTTATTTTAACTTACCTGTAGAGAAGCATTAAATACGTCCTCAAAAGAGGCGATAACATATTTTAATATGTTGCTGTTACAGGTTTGATATTCACTTTGAATTGGAAACACCAAGAGAGATTTCAAAAAGAAAAAAAAAAAAAAAAAGAGAATGATTAATATACTGTATCATTATTATTATTATCATTAAAAGAAACTTACTATTAAGCAAGGTACAGAAAAAAAAAAAGTCCAATAAGTATATAAAAAGAAAAGCAAATAGACCTAAAGGTCCGTCTTGGTTATTGTAAGGTTGTAGTTCAGAGAAAAAAGCTTGTATTGGTATGGATGTATATGAAGGTCCTGTAGTTTGTAAATTGGTTTAAAAATTGATATCAAAATAGATAACGAAATTAAAAGGAAAAGAAAAAAAAAGAGAAAAAAGAAACAGTAAAAAAAAAGAAAAATAAAATAGCACTTTTTTTATATCTCTCACTTGATCAAGGAATAAAATAAACCTGGCAAAAATATCTCATAAGAAAAAAAAAAGAACTATTATGCAAATTTACATTCGTTATCGATCGATCGAATGTCTTAGTTAATGAAAATAAACAAAGAAGACCCGAGTAAATGTATTTTTTTTTTAAAAAAAAAGAAAGGAACTATTATGCAAATTCACATCAACATCACAAGATATGAATATTACATTAGTATACCCCTGTCTTATATGATACAATATAAAAATATAGTTTTTTTTTTCCAGATATGGCCTGTTGAAAAGAATCAGCTAACAATCAGTCATCAATCATCAATCATCAATCAATGACATACTCTACCGACGTCTCTAAAGCGATATCTAAAAAAGTGGTAATGCGACATTCATTTTGGGAAAGTACGATTTTTTATTTTATAACATCACGAAAAGCATTTTCTTGTGACCCGACAAAAAACTTTGAAAACACTGTATCTTTATTCCCCTTCTTCTAATTTTGATGAGGGTAACCCAAATGAATGAAATATCTGTAGGGTTAGGTATCACCCCTGGTAAAAAAAAAAAAAAACGTGGCGTTTTTGCAGTACAACTTATTCTGTCACCTTCTTTTTTTTTTTTTTTTCTTCGGAAAAATCATCTTATCTATTTATAAATTAGAAAAAGAAGAAGAATTGTATTTAAATCTTTTATGCAAGGGGAGAGAGAGAAAGGGATGATCAATACAATACTACTGTAATAATATATATGAATGAATATTGTTACAGCATGAATCCTGCTAAGATGACATGGGCTTTTAGACTTAAAAAGGGAAGATGGATGAATGAGAAAAGTAACTATTTTTAACATCAATGGTTTTTTTGGATGAATGATAATAATACTAAAAAAGAAAGAAAACAAGTGTAAGCAAACATTGACAAGATGTGATTAAAAAAGGCAATTCTTTTTTTTTTCAATCGCAGTTCTTAGACCGAGCAAATAAAAAAAGAAACAACTGAACGCTCAGACTGAAAAATCTTTTTTTTTTTTCTTATTTATTTTAGTTCCCCTTTTTTTTCCCCTTGATTCTTTTTTTTTTTTTTTTCATTTTATTTCTTCATGCCAGCCATTTTGAAAGAACCTCGAAAAACCATTGCTGTAAATCTAGACGAAACATTAAGTCATACTTATGAAGCATTGCTTAATTGGCATAATGATTTTTATCATACACAATATCGACTAGAAGATCTTACTACAACAGATCTATGGAAAGTATGGGGTGGGAGTCGTGAAGATACATGTCACAAGATTCGACTTTTTTATCAATCAGAATATTTTCAAACTATTCAACCCATTCAAGATTTTGCTTTGGAAGCTCTCAAAATGTTAAAAAAAAGAAAATTTCAATTGGTGATTATTACATCTCGACAACAATTCATTGCAGAAGAAACAAAACGATTTGTAGATAAACATTATCCAGGTAAATACATATAGAGTTTGATAGAAAAAAAATAATGATTTAATGTTGTGTTATAGGTATCTTTGAAAGTATTTACTTTTGTAATCTTGGATTATCTGAAAATGAACAATTGGAATATATCAGCAAAACAAAATCAACTATATGTCAAGAAATAGGTGTCGATGTATTAATTGATCATCAATTAGAACATTGTATGGATTGTGCTGATTTAGGAATGGATGTTTTACTTTATGATCGAAAAGGTCAATATCAATGGAATCATCATCAACAACAATATTATGATAATATTAAAAGGGTCACTACTTGGCGTGATATTATTCGACATCATTTTCCAAAACCAAATAGTCCTTTACGTCATCTTATATATTCAATGGATCAACAACAACAACAACAAGATGATGATGATGACGACGATGATGATGATTATGATCAACATGAAGTTATAGTATTGGAACAAAATGATGAAGATGAGGAAGATGAATGGTCTATGATAGTATAATTATATTTTTTCCCCTTTTTTTTTATCTAGTTATTTATTTTATCTTATGTTATTTTTTTTTTATTTTACTTTTATTTTCATTTTTTTATTTTTATTTTTTTTTATTTTTTTTTCTACTATTAGCATTATATTATATTTATGATATACATTTCTCATTACTCTTCAAGCATAACATCATCATTACTTAGTTACATATATTACATTTTACACTCTTTTCATCATCCATTCATATTTAGCATACCCCTCTTTATAGGTTTTACAAAGAAAAAAAAAATAAACTTTAAAAATTTATATTGTCTGTGTTACCTTGATGTTTTTTTTGATTTCCCTTTTTGAAAAGTCCGTGTTCACCCACAAATGAATAAAGACAATGTAAAAGGCAGTAACATACAAAAAAAAAAAAAAAAAAAAAAACAAATTATGTAAAATAGATATAAAACCTTTTTTTTTTTTTAAAAAAAAAAGAAAAATCTATTCATTTCTACTGATCTCAGCCATTTGCGAATCATTGTATCAATATTTTCCTGACCTATAAAAATATGACTAAAATAAAAAGAATGCAATCTACCTAAAAATGAAAATAACAAATGGCATATTCAATTTTATAGCTTCTAAATCTTTTTTTACTTGCATAACAAGTTAAAATGCCAAATAGGAAGGAATCAAAGATGTTGTTTGACGATTTCCAGAAACAATGTATAAAAAGTAACATAAGGATAGCTTAGAAAAGGAATAAGAATATAATAAAGGAAAGGACAAAGAAAAAAAAAAAAGACAAACGCATAAATAAAAAAAGAAAAAGGAAATTGGCAGCCAATATTAGCCAATAGCAAACCACCAAAGATGAAAGAGTGGAAAGAGTGGCAAAGTTAACGATTTAGATTTGCTCCTTTAATTTTCAATGATTTGATTTTGTATACCCAATAGACATTTTCTTTTTTTTTGTAATATCACTGTCTTTTACATTTGTCTTTTCATTTCTCGGCTCAAAAATGACCATCACTATATCAAATTTGGACGAAACATGCATCCATATATTCTCTTTCACTTATGTTAATGATACCTTATATATCACCGTACAATTTATAAAGTAAAATAAGAGTTAATTCACTCCCATATAATGATCATCATCTAATATCATTTTACTGCTAATCATGCCGCCACATCACCCTTTCAAATCCCAGTTTTAAAAACTTGAACCTATCATCATTGTATCGTATAAATGCCATTAACAAAAAGATATATTTATGATTATAAGTCGATCAAAAAAAAAGGTCATCTGACAAGTTAATCCCATTTTGAGGATCAACCTGCCATTCGTAAAATATCATTTAATATATCACTTCTATTAAAAATGGCGCGTTAAACTATAAAAATATAATCTTCTGTGTTATTTTGATGAGTTACAAGTTCAATCATTTTTATTAGTTACTTAATTTTCTACCTTATATACAATTGAAGGAGCATAGAAATTCTCAATCCAAAAACGGCAACAGGGTGATCAAAAAAAAAACAATCCCGACAACTGTTTTTATTCAGGTGCGACACCAATTTCATAATATGTGCAACACTTTATATATATATATTTATGTGTGTGTGTGTTGTTTGTCGTGTGTGTATGTGTATCATTTTTTTTTTTATTTGTTTTGAACAATACTCCAAAATTACCCTAAAAGGTTTCAAAACAACCTTCTTTTATATCCCACTTTTTTTTTTTTTTGGTCAGTCTATTATTTTATCTTTTTTCTTTCTTTTACCCCTTAAATCTATTTCGTCACTCTAAAAAAGAAGGTTTATTATAAAATAAGCATGACGGTGCCAATTCACCCGTTAACTTCTATTCCTCCCTCTTCTTCTTCTTCTTCTTCTTCTTTTTCACCATTGATACCATCAGAAATGACTAGTACTTTATCATCTTCACATCCATCTCCTAGTTTAGTACCATCTACTACTTCTGATCTTTTTACTTCAACAGAACAACAACAACAACAAACTAATAATAATAATATGAATAATGATTATCGACCGAATTATCATCAACAACGTGCTTATAGTGTCACGGCTATGCCTTCCGACTTGCAAAAAACTGTTTTACGACATCAACAAAAACAACAAGAACAACAACAACGACTTATGCAAGATCAACCTTGGTGGCAATATTATTATCAACGTTATCATTATCATCCTCCACCTGGTAGAAAACCTACAGTTTTTGGTCCATATCTTTTATTACAAACTTTAGGTGAAGGTGAATTTGGAAAAGTGAAATTAGGTATTCATATTGAATCTGGACATGAAGTAAGTAAATAATAATAATCATCATCTTTATTATTATTATTATTATTATTATTATTATAAAGGAGTTTATAGATGGATGATGATGATGATGATGATGAAATTGGGGGGGATGAAAAAAAAGGGGATATTAACTTATATAAATCTTTATAGGTGGCCATCAAACTTATCAAACGAGATAATATTGATTCTTCTACAAGAATGACCAAAGTGGAACGAGAAATCTCTGTACTAAGGGTAAATAGAAAAAAAACCACATGCAGTGTACAACATTACTTATCCATCTTTTTGGCTTTCTTTTCTCCGGTTCATTCTGTCTTTAGACTGTTCGTCATCCTTATATTGTCAAATTATACGATGTCATTGAAACTGAAAAATATATTGGTATTATATTACAATGTGCTTCAGGTAAAATAAAATAATATTGTATTTTCTTCTTCTTCTTCTTTAACTTTTTTTTTTCTTTTTCTTTATTTACTTTTTTTTTTTTTTTTTGGTTAAGGCGGCGAACTTTTTGAATATATTCTTGCTCATCGATATCTCAAAGAAAAAGATGCTAGTCGATTATTTGCCCAGCTGATTAGTGGAGTTCATTACATGCATCAAAAACATATCGTTCATCGAGATCTCAAATTGGTAAATTAAATATTGAATATATAATCCGTTTAACAACGAATTTAACTTTATCTCTTTTATGTTGTTATGATCTGCTTCTAAATTAGGAAAACCTGTTATTGGATAGACATCGAAGTATCATCATTACTGATTTTGGTTTTGCAAATCAATTCTCTTCCGCTCGAGATGATTTGATGTCTACTTCTTGTGGTTCACCTTGTTATGCTGCTCCTGAATTGGTCATTAGTGAAGGTCTTTATGTAGGTTCTGCTGTTGATATTTGGTCTTGTGGTGTCATTCTCTATGCTATGTTATGTGGTTATCTTCCCTTTGATGATGATCCTGCTAATCCTGATGGTGACAACATTAACTTACTTTACAAGTATATTCTCAGTACTCCTTTGGCTTTTCCTGATTATGTTAGTCCTGAAGCCCGCGATCTATTAAGAAAAATGTTGGTACCTGATCCTGCCAAACGTTGCTCTATGGAAATCATCATGAATCATCCTTGGTTACAACCTCACAAAAGTTTATTTGGTAAATCCGTTCATGAGTTGGAAATGGAGGCAATGCGTTCTTCTGATCTACCTATTCATATGGTTATTTCGAATCATCATCAACAACAACAACAACAAAGACAACAGAAGCAGCAAGAACAACAACGACATTCCAAAGAACAATACGCTAACAGAAGAAATACCATTGATACCGAATATACCCTTTCTACCGAACAACAACAACAACAACAACAACAAAAAGATGACGATGATCACGTTGTACCTACAAATATGGATATCGACGAAATGCCTGCGGATTTGGATCATGATTTGGAAAAAGGAAAAGACATGCAAGATACCAATCAACAAGTTGACCAAGATACTCCATCCATACAAGATATTACATCCTTTGAATTACCTGCTTCAGCCGCTGATGACGTTGAAATGACCGCTACTACAACCACACCTACAACAACTACAACTACAACAACAACGACGACAGTGGATGCTACTATCGACACTCCTGATGCTACTCTAATTACAAAGGCTGATGTTTCAACTTCTACAGAAACAACATGCATCAATACCTCTGAAACAGATAAAATGGATAACGATAATATTCAAGCTGCTGTTGAACAAACATCTATCAAGGAATCAGAAATCAATTCATCAACTACCACTAAGGAACAGGAAGAAGAGAAGGAACAACAACGCTTGGAACAAGAAGAAGCTGATTCAGTTGTACCGGAATTACCTCAACCTTCGCCATCCCCTAGTAAACGTCAATCTACTTCTACCGATCGTATTTTACAATTCCTTTCCGGCAACAATAATACACCCAAAGTTTCCCGTCATTTATCTACCAATTCTCCCCCACCACAACATCGCCGTCCTATGTCTCTTTTAGGCGATTCCAATGCAGGATCCATTTTACAAGCCAAATTCTTATCCAGTATTCAACGTCAACATCAACGTCGTTCATCTCCAGGAAAGAATCAACAAAAAGAAGATGTTACACCTAGTGCTAGTCTTAGTGCATCTCATATTCCAACACATCAACAACAACATTTATCATTTACATCGGCTGTCAACAATCCATCCATTCGTAATAATAGTCGTACACCTCAACCTGGTACATCACAACCTATTCGTGGTACACGACGAAAAGCACTTAGTCTTTTAGTGAACTCGATGACGGATTATATTAGTCATGATGATCAACAAGGAAAACGTCATAGCAAGAAACCCATGGTGTTTAATCGTCATCAAGACACCAAACTCCCCAAAGTCGTCATTTCAAAGGAAGATTCTTCTTCTTCTTCTCCTCATGGTTCAGTCGATGATGCTCCCAATGCTGCTTCCATGCCCTTATTACCTTCTGTTTCTGAACATACGATCAACATGACTCAAAGTACCCAAATCAATAGCAAGGAAAAACATCGTAGTGCTGGTAAAAAGTTGATGGATTGGTTCAAGAAGAAACCTCTCAGTAAGTCTTACTCAAATATATATATATATATATCTTATTCATTTTTTTTTTTTTTTTTTTGTGTAGGTACTAAGGATCGAAGTATGAATGGACCTTTTACCAACTCAAGCACTCATCTTCATCAAAACAATAATAATAATACTAATAATAAATTATTAAGCAAGTTACCATTGGGATCTTATGCTATGGACTTTAATGATGCCAAACTTCGAAATCATCATGGTGCTGTGGATCAAGATGCATTGACAGCAAGACCACCTCCAGAAATTTTCCAACAAATCAAACATACATTGACAGTGATGGGGATGGAGATCAAACGAGATGGTGGGGATTACAAGTTGAAATGTATTCGAAAGAAACGACCCAACAACAACAATATCGATAACAACGGGGTATCTTTCCGAAGACGGATGTTGATGCGTAAATCGGCCGATATGCAATCGTCTTATGGTGACCCAGCTTTAGATCCCGGGGATGAAGTGCGATTCAGTGTGGAATTATGTAAAATCAAGAATTTGCCTGGTCTTTATATTGTGGATATTCGTCGATTACGTGGCAATTTATGGTCTTACAAGTTTTTATACCATGCCTTGTTGGAACAATTGAATTTAAGTGGGAATGGGGGTTATATCTCCAATCAACCTCCATTGGAAACTTCTCAACAAAGAATTAGTATGGTTAGTAGTAGTGGTGCAAGTAGTAGCGTGGTAGAAGAAGAAGAAGAGGAAGAAGTAGAAGAGAATACTTCTTTGAATCATCATCAAGATACCAATTGTTTATCTCCAGTCAATGATATTCCTACTGTATCTGCCTGATGTTTTTCCCTCTTTTTTTTTTTTTTTTTTTTTTTTTTATTATTATTATGATTATTCATTTATACCATTTCTTCCGTTTTTATTATTATTCACTAGATCATCACCAAAAAAAAAAAAAAAAAAAAAATAGTTACCCTATATATTATCTTATTCATTCAAATAAAAAATCTCACTTCAATACTCTATAATCATCTAACCATGGAATAGACAAATATATCTTCCTGACGGACCCCTTGCCAAACTCATTCTAAGTAGAATCAAACGAATTCATATTTTATTCATTTATCTAATCTACTAAAAATAAGAAGCTATATACTAGTAATGATTCATCCAAGTGTGTACGCTTGTTCTTGATAAAAGTGAAGGAGCAAATCAAGACATCATTGAATCCGGTGTTGTCGGTCCGTTTGTTTTTTTCATCCTTCCTTGTTGTTATCCATTCAAGCGTTCCTTTCCTCTGTCCTTCCCTGGTGTCCCTACTCTTGTCAATTGTACTACCATCCTTCCTTCCTTGTACAACTAAAGTATATATCATACCCTATTTATCTTAACCTACCTTTTCACTTACTAATATCGCTATTTCCTGCCATCTCCACTTGTGCAGATCAGATCGACACCCATGTTTATGCCTAGCAAAAAAAAAAAAAAAAAAAAAAAAAAAAAAATTCTTGACAAGAAGGAATGGGAGGAATTCCGTTTTTCTATGAATGTTCCAAAAAAAAAAAAAAAAAAAAAAAAGGGATATTGATATATTCGTTCAAAACCTAGATGAAAATAGATAGATAGAAGGGAAGAACGTTAGTAACACATACGCATATATTCATATGATTGCAAGAATACTTACTTACGTTGCTTGAAGTTTTTCTTTTATCATGTCCCGATCTATCAAAAAGGAAAGAAACGGCCATGCTTGATTGTTGCTGTTCTCATTGTATACATTTTCAAGGAGACATATGACATCATCATTACGTATTCGGCAAGAAGAGTTAAAAAAAAAAAAAAAAAAAAAAAGGAAAAGAAAACAGAGAAAGAAAAGGGAAAAATTCTTTTTTTTAAAAAAAAGTTTATTATGGGAATTTTGAGTGTTGGCTGTCCTACAATTTTTTTTTCCTACATTTACATTAGATTACTATTTTTTTGTGATAGAGATAGAGATGGCTTGACCAGATTGGATGGATGGTTGAGTGAAGAGGGCCAAGGTACGTTGATCATCCAGAGCATAAGGAACAAGAGCATCGGCAGGGGTAAAAGAAACATTGTAACCATTGGGGAAAGTATCCTTGGGCAAGATCAGTTCTGTAGGGGCATCTATGGTTGGATCAGCATGGAAGACCAAGGAGAAGGAGCTATCGGTGGTATTAAAAGTGAATTTGTCAGGAGTACCACTGATGGCCTGTGGGTAAGCGCGACTGTAATGTTTGGCAAGAGCAGCATACATGGTGCCATTGGCATCGTACAAGTTTTCATAAGCCCAGCCCATCCATGACACCATATAATCATCGGCAGCATTCACAGCGGTCTGGATGCCATCCATCTGACTCTGATCACCCATCCACATGGTAAATTCCGTCATCACAGCCGCGGTGTTCAATCGCTTGCTGTCATCGGCACGATTGGCCAATGTGGTGGTGATGGCGCCAATCTGAGGTGGTCGATAATAGTGAAAGGATTGGACGGTCTTGCTCCCATCTCCTAATGGCACGTTGTTGAAACCCGATTTAATGTCAAATGTGCTTCCTTCGAACCAGATCAACGTGTTATTGTCTACGTTGCGGATCTGGGTGGCAGCTCGGTTCCATAATGCTTCCATCGTCTTGTGATCAGCCACCCCAGGGACAAGTAACGTTGGATCAGCCCATTGATCACCTACCCATGGTTCATTCAATAAATTGTAGCCTAAGATGTTGGGTGTATCCACATATTGACTGGCCAATTGTTTCCAATAAAGAGCAAATGCATCCCCTAATCCATCATAGTTGTTGTACAATCGGCCAAACGCATTAGCCACCGCTACTGTCAGATAGGACAAATCCCATTCCAAACTACTACAATCACTTGATGATGGTATCCCTTGATCATTGGTGGTAAATGGTGTTAATTTTTGTGGTACTGGGAATCGTTTATAGGATGGTACCCAATCCGTTTTGACAAACCACTAAAAAAAAAAAAAAATCAATACATAAAAAAAAAAAAAAAAGAAGAAAAAAAGCTTTACACTTGGTACACCATGTCCACAAAATTGTTGAGCAAGAACATCTTGATGAACATCCACAAGGATATAAATACCATGATCATTCGCCAACTGAGTTTGTTGTTTCATAATATCTAGGAACGTGGTATTATATTGACCACGTACAGGCTCACTTCCTGCCCAATGATGACCCAAACGAACAGCATTGATACCAAGACGTTGTAAATTCTGTACATCTTGCAATCCAAATGAATCACCAGGTTTAAAGTCAAAAGAACGATACCATGGAGCTTCCTTTTTGACAACATTGGTACCATGGAAGAATCGAACACGACCATGAATATCTGTGATTTGATGATTTTTCACTGGTCCAATCTTTGCCATCCCTGGATTTGCTTTATACCATTCTGCAGGATTGATGGCAAAACTGGTCAATGATGATCCTAATAATAAAAGAATACAACCTAATAATTGCATAATGAAAAATAAAAGAAGTAAAGAAAAAAAAAAAGAAAAAAAACAGAGTGAGGTTAAGTAATCAAAATTTTTTTTGATCTATATAGAACAAAAAGGGAAAAAGAGGGGCGTGTGTTGTACAATATGTGCGTGTGTATTTCAAAAAAAAAAAAAAAAAAAAAAAATAGAAAGACAGGGGATGTGTGAAATATGTACAAAAAAAAAAGTTAGAATTATATGAAAGGATTGTTCCTTAAAAAAAAGTCAGAGAGACGTAAAAGGGAAAGTATCATGAAAAAGAAGTGATAGAAGTTTGATGAACTTTTTTTATCCATTTTTACTCAATGGTAATATAGATTAGTACAACATCATTGTTAAAGTTCAGGGTCCCACAATCCCATTATGTTGAAAACATTTATCCACAGCTGCATCATTTCATTTCCGCAATTTAACATTCTTTTGTTTTATTATAAAAAAAAATATATAAATTCACTAACTAACTAGAAGTGACCGAACCAGTCGCACTTGCATACCTTACAATCATTGCCCTAAGATTGAAATAAAGTTTTGATAACCATGGTGGAATCCTTGGATCTTTGGTAGGTGGTAATAACCAATGATCTAAAAACAAAGTAGATTGGAATACAGCTTGTTGTGTATGAGGTGATAAATAATAACGTAATCGAAGAAAATGACTAAAGATAATTAAGGCTAAAATAGAAGTACGGAATCTTTTTTTTAAAAAAAACAAAAATTAATATAAAATAAAAAAAAAAAAGAAAGAAAGGAATTGCTTACAATAAAACACCTAAAAGTAATCGAGGAATCACAATCATTACTTCAACATAAGCTGATATTTGCATAGCTGTTTCATGATATTGATCTGTATAGGACTTGATGGTATCACATAATTGGGCAATCCATGGATTTTGATCTGCTGGAAACAATACTGGAATAATCGTACTTCGAATATATCCAAATGCATGAAAGATAGAAAATACAAAATAAGGCACCAATGTCACTAAAATATATAGAAAAGATTAAATATATATATTATATATTATATATTATTACCTGTCACTGGTTGATAAGAATACCAATAAAAAGCAAGGGCAAAATATTGTATGTTTTCATTTCTAAAAATATCAAGATGCCATTGTTTAGGCATCTAAGAAATAATAAAATTAGTGAGTATTATATATCATTTTTATTTAAATGTAACTTACACCAATGGATTTATAACTAACAATGGCATATGACAAAAGAGCACCAAGATACGCGCGATAATAATAAGTGGAATCTGAATGAAATGAAGATACTGAAGTAAAATAAAGAATACTATTACATACAATACAAACATGCCCACACCACCAATAGAATTGAGGATGCTAAAAAGAAAATGTCATCAATATATAAAAAAAGAATATATAACCTGTAATTTTTTTCTTCTTTTTACGTACATACCTTGGCAAGTTGTTTGACACGCTCCACTAATGAATCCATTGCGTTTTCCTACAAAAGATATAAGTAAAAGGTAGGATGGACAAAAGAAACAAGTAAAAAAAAAAAAAAGGAGGGAAACCAACAAAATGAAGCACTTTTCAATCCCCGGTTGCCTCCTTTTTTTTTTTTTTTTGTCATGGAAGGGTCGTGGCACACAGACACATTGAACGATATCGTTTATCGTCCCGCAAATGAACCGTCAAAACCACAATTTCCATTTTTTTTTCCTCTCTCTGGATCATCACCCTCCGTACTCACCCATAACCGTCTATTTACTCCCAAAAATATGATTTAGGATGTTTCTCTAATTAAATTTTCTTTGAATTCAGCTACTGCCTCTCATTACGACGAAGTCATGTTTACAAAAAAAAAAAAAAAAAAAAAAAAAAAAATTACTGAGATATTTTTTTTTTCTTTTAGTGAATTGAAATTGATACGTATCTTGCTTGTGCTTGAAGGAAGTTATGTCTCAAGGATTACGATCACGATAATCACAAAAGCAGTAATATAAACCAAAATATACTTGACAAGCAATCATAAATAAATATAACAAACAAATCAAAAAGTGATCAATAAAATGATTTATTATAAAAACAAAATTAAATAGTCATACTAAAAAAAAAATAAAATATGACACTATGACTTTCATTTCTGGAAGTGCTGCTGTACTTGACAAATCGTGCGGCTATGATAGAAAGTGGATATTCAGTTAACAAATTTCTTTATTCAATTTTTTCATTTTCTTTACCTGAGTTTATTTAGGAACTTTGTCTAAAAGAATGATCCAACGTAATCCAGGACGAATTGATCTAAGCTACCTCATGAAGGAGGATATGTTGATGTGATTATCGATAGTATTCTTGATCCATTGCCACTTCATGATGATCTTTCAAATTGGCGAACCAGGTCTTGAAATCCTCTATGTTCTTCGCCAAATTCATACAAACGAGCCCTTATTCCGATATTGTCTACTTCATACCCCTTTGAGGAATCGGTTCTGTCAACTGATAAAAAAGAGCGAAGAATTGATGGTCCATTCACCCCACACACCAGGTATGCAACAGATTTTCTTGTTGTCGGTTGCCACCTTCAAAAGCTGTGAAAGCGTCATGCACGGCAAACCACGTTTCAAAGAGCGGGCCTTCATAGCCTTGTGTCTATCGGTCAAATGTTGTATGTCTTCTTCCGTCAACGCCCCATCTGAATAATCACCCTTCTCTTCTAACAAAATTCCCAGCAATTCCAGTTGAGCATCGGGCATACGGTCATTCATGAGGCTATCAAAAAAAAAAAAAAAAAAAAAAAAAAGTGTCACTGATTATAATAATAAGAATTTTTTTTTAAAAAAAAAATATTAACTTACAAGTTGCATGGGCGGCAGGAGCTTACTACATTCCAGGATACATAACCATAATTTGGATTGATTCGTTGGAGAGAGCCACCGAGGATACCTTGGTTCGGCAACCACGTCAAATCAGTACCGCACAAGTAGCAAGTTGGTTCTACTACTTCCAATAGTCCCGTCAAAATATCTTCTGTCTTTCCCGACACAAACAGTTCATCAAGTAGACCTTCAGGAACCTTCCCTTTGTGAGCCTTTATATATCGATCCTCATGTTCCTGATCACGGTAGCGTAATCGAGAGGCAAGGTCGGTTAAATGTGCCATAGTATCGGTGTATTTCTACCAATAACAAAAAATATAAGTTCCTACCTATTTCTGTGATTACTTTCCCACCAATTTATACTTACAGGCAAACTCTTGATATACTACTACTAAAAAAAAAAAAAAAAAAAAAAAAAAAAAAAAAAAAACACAATCAGATATAATCAAGAATGCTAGACGAATCATGATAATTACCTTGATACTTTTTCGCGGCAACCGGCGCACTTTGTCGAGTACTTGTTCTCTTTGATAAATTGTCCAATTGGCTTTTTGGATCGGCAGTAGCTACAGAAAAGGATCATATGATTTGTCCACCTTCGCCTCGTTCTTGTTGATTGATTGGATTATCTACCCGTGGAATGAGACTTCTTTTGCTCTTTCTGCATTTAGGACATCTTAGAGACTTGGCAATGGATGATGATGTTTTCAATTGATCATTCAATGTGCGGATGGCCTTCAGCAAATATATGAGAATAAAAAAAAAGTCAAAAACCGAGTTTTCAAAAAATAAAGAGATGCATATGTGTTGATAATTACCTTCATTCGGACGTTGGCCTTCATTCCACGATCACCATAGGGTAGCCAGCAGGAGTTGTTATTACGATGAAGATCCATTGTTTTAGTCAGCCACTAAGGGACATCCATCCATCTTGCAAAAAATCTTTTTTATTTTTTAGGGTCAAAGCATGAATAAAAAAAGATTTGAAAAAAGAAACATGATAAATAAAATAAAAATAAATAAAGCCTTGGCAGAGATAACTAGAGCTATTTCATTGGCCTATCCTTGGAATCTTCTAACAATAGAATCATCAATTCCAGTTGATCGTCAGGCATATCTTTCGTTAAACTATCAATGGAATGGTTGTAAAGAATCATGATGTACAGGAGGAGCCACTTCTTGCACGAAAGGTTGTTCTCTATTGACAGCATCCACAATACGTCGCACAAGTCGTGATTTTGCCGTCGTCCAAGGTTTCGAGTAGCATCATTGTCTTTCACCACTAGATAGGCCCAGGATTTTGTTGCTTCAACTTGAACATTGGATGCCACTTGAACTTGATTACTGTTGTAAGCTTCAATGAATTGCAAGGCTTCAAAAAGTTTTGTTACTGTTACTGGTTATGATAATAAGGATAATTACTTTTTTCAAATGGTAACCTTACAAATGACCCGACCAAGATGAGCTGACGACATTTCACGATAGAGCGCAGGTACTTATAAAATATACGCGTAAAATAAAAAGAATGCATTCAAAAAGAAGATACAACGGAAGATGGAATCAATTACATTGACATGTAACCAAGTAGTTGGAATAAAGTATAATGATTAAAGACGGACTAATGACATACTAAAATTATATAGCCAACACAAAAAAAAAAAAAAAAGAAAAGAAAAAGAAAAAGAAAAACAAACTGACATGATATATAACAAAGAAAAAAAAAAAGGAACGGACTTTGGAATTTGCAGGATCTATCAACTACTGCAATGATAAACAATGATCATGATAAATTCATAATGATGATGGTTATCTATGATATCAATAGAACCCTCCAGAAGTAACCAATAAGAATTTATATAAACTAAAAATAAACAAAAACATGATCTGGTGATCGAATGAGAATAAGGGATGAAACAAAAATCTAGTACATATAAGAAAAAAAAGAATCATATCCTTCCATCCGTTTATTTTATTCCAATTACTTTGTTACAATGATTCTATTTTTCTGATATACTTTTATTCTTTTGAATCCTCATCTAGAGTTTATTTTATCGATTATCTAAACTATTATCCAATATTCAATTTTTTATTATTATCAAGTTATTTTGATCACCATCAAAGTGTGATCATATATTCCAAATATATAAAAATACAATAAGTAAAACTAAAACTAACTAACTAAACTTGTTGATGTTCGAGATCCTAGACAGATAATTCCTTCTTTTCGTTCCGATCATCATCATTAAAAGAGTTTATAGCTGTCTTGCTTGGACCCAAGATATCTTCCACGTGAGCATGATTGATATCACCAAATAAGGCATCGATTTCTTCCAAGCTTTTCCCCTTTGTTTCCACAAAGAAACAGTAGACAGTAAAGAAGGCCACAACGTTGAATGCAGCATAAAAGACATATGTACCAAACCCAATGGATGCCAGCATCGGAGGGGTCCATAATCCAATACAAAAGTTGCTAATCCAGTTGGATCCTACTGCTAAACTCATACCTTTAGCCCGTGCACGCAATGGAAAGAGTTCCGCCTACATAACAAAAAAAAAAAAAGTAATTAGTATCACTTGATTCTATCAAAAAGAAAAACGCAATTACAGGATACAGCCAGTCTGTGCACGCCCATGAAGCACCAAATGTTGCTACATAAATCATTGTGAAGGCAATCACCAATATTGCAGACGTTTCACCTAATGAGACCTTGTTGAACACTGCCATGATTACTAACCAGATGACCATGAAAAAGTTGCCAGTCATGAATAATGGTCGTCGACCTACACGATCCACCAATAATGTTGATACAATTGCTCCACCAAAGTAAGCTAATGCTGTAAATCCACTGAATAAAATAGATGCTCTACCAGGTCCTAACACTCTTTCGTACATTTTTGGAGCATAGTACTAAAAAAAAAAAAAAAAAGGGATAAGTATTTATTTTCATACCAAATCTTTTTTGTTTTTTTTTTAATGCTTACGGTGACGATGTTGATTCCACAAAGCTGGCCTAAAGCTTGAACAGCAATACCAATAAAAGATCGTTTACGATAAGTAGTAAACATTTCCATCCATGTTGGTGTTCCCATAGTACGTTCATAATGTACAGCTGAAGTGATACCATTGTATTCATCCTGCACATCTGGATGATCAGCTGTTTCATCGTACATATCAGTCAATACTTTCAGGGCAGCTTTATGATTATCCTTGTTGATCAAATATCGAGGAGATTCAGGTAATAAATAGGTACCCAATGCCAAGATCACAGCGAATACACATTGTAATAGTAAAGGAAGTCGCCAGGACCATTCCGAATCAATATAGGAAGCACCATAATCCACAAAACAAGAACAAAGATAACCAAACATACTTTTTTTTTTTAAAAAAAAAAAAAAGGTAAGTGTTAAGAAGGAAAAAAAAAAAAAAGAGAGAAAATTTGAATAATAACAACTTACTTGATTGCCATTCCCATTACAGTCACTGTTCCTCTCTATAACCAAAAAAAAAAAAAAAAAATAAGTATATATATTTGGTTTTGATATAAAATAAGGAACTTACGTTATGAGCACGAGATAATTCAGCAGTATAGACAGGTAACACAGTAGACAAAAAGCCAATACCAAATCCACTCAATATTCTACCGATCATAAGCATAGGCATATTGATAGCAGCAGTTTGTAGAACGCCACCAATAATAAAGACGATGGCACCAGAGAAGATAGTAGATCGGCGACCAAATTGATCCATGACCCAACTAGCAGGATAAGATGTCACCCAAGCACCAAGTAAGAACACACTGACCACCATACCTTGTATCGTATCATTAGGATGATTAAATTCTGTTAACCAACTTTCATTTACCAAAATTCCTGATAAAACCCCTTGATCATCTATATATATATATATAAAATATTAGTTTTTTTTTTATTTTTTGATTTTAAATAAGTAACTTACAGCCAAATAAGAATTGACCAATAGAAGCAAAACAGGCAACACAATATAAGAATAAATTACCACGAAATAATGTCATGAATATATATATGGTATATGTTATATACAAAAAAAAAAAAAGTAAGGTGTACACAAAAAAGAAGAGGAAAAGAGAGATAGTTTTTATACTTTTTTTTTACCCCGCCTTTTTATTATTTTAGTGACGTTTTGGAACCCAGCTTACTTTCCTTTTTCTTTAAAATCACGGGAAAGAATGCACCAGTAGAAAAAAAAAAGTAGTGAATAAAGAAGTGAAAATCCCGATATTATGTAGTTGTCTCCACATGAACCTCCCTTATACCCGATTACTACCTTATGATGATGTATGATGTGGGGCAAGTATTCTCCTTTTCTGGTTCTACATTCCATATATAGACATTAACACTGTCCCCCACTCTCTTCCCACTTTTTTGTTTCTCCGGTTCAGAGGCAAAAGTGATCAGAAAATCAAATTCATTGGATAATATACTTATCCTGAATTTCTCAAACATCCGCTAAACTCCATATCCAGTAAAACTGCAATAAAAAAAAATAACATACAACTAATCAAATCAAAAATAAGCATCACTTTTAGATACCCAAAAAAAAAAATATGTTTTATTCAAAAACAGTAACTAACGGAGGGGGGAATAATCTATCTAATTTAAATTAATTCTTTTTGGTTCCATTGCCTTCATCATCTACTACCACAGTTTCAGCTACATCACCATAAACATCAAATCGACGTTGAGAATAGAGAGGAATATTGGCCCGAATGGATGTCACTTCATTTGGATCCACATCAGCATACACAATGGTTTCTTCTTCTTCACAAGTAGCAATCACCGTTCCCCTAAATCATCACACAAAAAAAAAAAGATGAGATTGATTGATTAATGATAATTGTTTGTCCTTTTTTACTTTGGATCCACTACGGTAGAATGACCCCAAGAATGATAAGAAGCATTTACATCTCGAGCTGGAGCACAACCAGCCACATAAATCTGATTATCCATAGCTCGTGCTCGTTGCAATAATTCCCAATGAAGTGGTCCAGTTGTCATGTTGAATGCGCCAGGATAAATCATTGCTACACATCCTTTTCTTGCTGCCACGGTTGCCATTTCAGGGAATCGAATATCGTAACAAATCCCAACACCAATTTTACCATATCCTAAAATCAATAATAATAATAATAATAAATAAAAAAAAAGATATACACAATATGATTTATAACCCTTTTTTTTATTATTTATATATTTCTTCTTACTTGTATTCACATGGGTTAATTTATTGCCAGGTGTCAAAGTATCACTTTCCTATTTTCAATTGATCAAAAGTAAGTCTCTCTCTTTTTTTTTTTTTTTTTTTTTTAATATTATATATTCTATCAACTTGCCTTGAATTTTATTTTCCCAGGTACATCAATATCAAACAAGTGCAATTTGTTATGAACAGCGATCATCTTGCCAGTAGGGTCATAGGCCGTCAGGGTATTATAAATCTTATCTTGTCTACGTTCTGGGATGGATCCACCAATCAAATACACACTAGCTTCCTATAGAATGTAAAGTGAGTCATCCTTACACAAGCATATTTTATTTATTACCTTGGCTGCAGAGGATAACATGTTGATAGATTCACTATCATTCAAATCTTCGGCATACTTTGGAAAATAATCGCAACCATAGGGAGAATTGAAACATTCCTAGAAATAGATATATATATAAAAGTTAAGTTTCCATTGATATATATATGTTCTTTTGTGAATATGTTACAGGTAAAACAACCACATTGGCACCATTCTTAGCAGCTTCCAAAATCTTGGACTTGGCATGTTTCAAATTGTTAGCCTTATCAGCAGTAATGGCGACTTGAATAAGAGCTAATCGAAAAGGAGCTGATGGACTTAGTGGAGATGTTGTAGAGGACATGGTCTGAAAAGTTCTTTTAAAAACAGAAAACATACAAAAAAAAAAAAAAAAAAAAAAAAAGGAAAGTGTGAGAAAAAGAAAATTCGTATTTTAAGAAGAGTAATAGCCAGCTGAGATTTAACCTACTTGTGTAATGATTAAGTGCGTCCTATCTATATGATGTTATCAATAGTGATAATAACAATGAAAAATGTGGTGATGATGATTTATTATTAATATAGTTATAAAAGGATGATAGCTTGATACTTTTATATGAGGATGATCACTCTCATTTGTAAGGACAGTAAATGATGAAGAAGAATACGTATGAGAACAAATGATTTACTGGCTATAATTATATATATATATAAAAGATATTGTGTTAAAGAAGTATGCCAACCCATCTCCTTTGTCATATTTCTCTTCATTAATTCGATGATCGATATTTGTTATGATAATCAACTTCTGTGGTAGATTCCTGCAGATTTTCAGTATAGAAAAGAATTAGACAATTAAAAAAAAAACAATCCATAAGATTATACATTTGATTATAATATTTATAATTTATTTATTTATTTTATTTTTAATTGATGTTAAAAAAAAAGCATATCATTTGTAACTTGTTTTAAATCGCCTGGACCTTCAAATATGTCAATAATATGCGCCTCATCCAAATGTATATGTCTAGTAGTATGATCACCTATTTTAGACAATTTTCTCCATCTTTCTAAATCTTTCATATTTCTTTTATCACCATGTGCATCTTCATTATTTTCCCAATGCCCTTGACTGAATGCGATAAAACCGTGGACCCTTTTTTGATCAAGATCAACAGTTGTTGTTACAATTGTACCAGTTTCTTCAACCCAAGATACGTTAAATAGATTATCTCTAATTTTTTGATAATAAGCTTTTACATAATTGTATCTGCCTTTCATAGGTCCTCCATGTATAGCATAAACAACTACATCTTCAGATTGATAGTATGCTTCATATTTACCTAAATCACCATAGGTATATACAATATGTTTACCAATTATATCTTTTAGTTCTTCTTTCATATCGTCAGAAGTAATAGTTGCACCAATATATAAAAAAAAAATCAGATTAATCGAAAAGTAAAATAACAAATAAATCAAAAGATAGTGTAATTTTTTTTATTTTATTTTTTTTTATTTAATTCTAAAGGTAGTAGGAATTTTCTAAAATCTGACACAATAAAAATACTAATTAATGATTAAAAAAAAGATTGTAGAAACAAGTCGAATGTTTGAGAGATAGGAAAAAAAAAAGTCAAACGGATAACTATAAATAAGTACTATAAAGAGGTTTTTTTTATTATTCTATTTTATTCGGTAGAATGACTTTACCAAGTTAAGCTTCCATGGGTTGATGGAATATCTGGAAAAGAGTGATTGATCAAGTGGAAATAAAACCCCTGGACTTAATATTATTTGATATTGTCGGTGAATAATGCATCTGTTTATTATTATACTCACTTGTATTTTCCTTTTCCCTTTGTCGTCCTACCTGCCCTAAATAACTTGATCTTTACTATCGACATTGATTATGCCAAGTAAAAAAAAAAAAAAAAAAAAAAAAAAAAAAAAAAGATTATGCGGATAATTTGCTTTTCATTTTATAATAATGTCTGCTTAATGATCACAATGATGATGACTCTGACAACGATATCACCTACGGTGATGAATAGTAACGAATGATAGATGGTTGGATGACTATTAGCTAATACTATTCTGCAAATTACCAATGGAATAAAATACTGGAAAGAAAAAAAAAAAAGAAGTATGGGAGTAAAGATCGTATTTTTTAAAAAAAGACTGAGATTTAACACTCTTCCTCTCCATAATGACAATGGTACCTATCAAGGATACTGTCAATGGCGACGACATGGATGATGATCATACTGGTAATGGCGATGATAGTGAAAATATAGAAAAGTTATAGAGATAACGGTGATGATAACAAATGATGCATGTATAAGGACGAGTCTGTGATGCATCTGTAAGGTTAGTAATTGATGAAGGAAAACATAATGTTTTGTTAAGGAAGTATGCCATTCCACCTCCTTATACCTCTTCATTGGTTTGGGGATCGGCATTTGTTATGATAATCAGTTACTGTGGCGTCAGCTTCTTGAAGATTTCTTGTTCTCCTCCTTTCCTCTTCCCCTCCTTATTTCCTTTGATCTTGTATATAAAAGAACCAAATCCCATCTTTTTTTTTTTTGTTCTTTTACACTTATTTCTCCTCATCCGATCATAATCTACACGTATTACAAACATCATCCTCATGGTCAAACTTATTCTCTTCGTTGTAGCTTCTTGTTTGGCTGGCGCATACTCTGCTCCAATGGCATTAACAAATGATAATATCATATCCAATGAAAAGCGCGAGGGTGATCCTGGAATTGCATCCGTTGTCGAGAGCTTGTTTGGGGATATGGCCTCCGGTGGTTCATTTCGTGCTGGAAGTAATGGTGATGGTGGCCCTAGAGGTTATGCACTTGGAGCCATTGGCCAGAGCTTAGTTGGGGATATGAGCCTCAGTGATGCATCTCCTGGTGGTAGTAATGGTGATGGTCGCCCTAAAGGTTATGAACTTGGAGCCATTACCCAGAGCTTGTTCGGCGGAATGTCTGGAAGAGGATGATTTATCAAATGGAAACAAAATCTATGGTAGAAGTATTATTTGATATTGTCGGTGATTAATTGGCCAAGTCTTATTTTACCCATTATATCTTTTTTTTCTCTTTTTTTATTATACCCATTTCCTTTCCTCTCTTATCTTCCTATCTGCTCTGATAATAAAATAACATGATCCTTACTCAACAGTCTACATTAATTATACACGTAAAAATAAAAATAAAAAAAATGCGGATGATTTACTTTTCATTTTAAAATAATGTTTGCTTGATGAGTACAATGATGATGATGATGATACCATCTGGTTTACCTATTTTTAAAATGGGCTCTATTATTTAAATCTCTTATCTCAGTTTCCAGGGGTTCAAGAAAAGAAAAAATCAGTTCATGTTCTATTTGCTGTGTTTCTTGAATGGCGTCTTTCTAGTTACTGAAACCGTTACTTGGGAGGCAGTGCCATGGTCATGTGAGCTCTTTTTTTTTAAAGAAAATCATTGGTTAAGTAGGTTTCATAATGATGGAAAGAAAGAAAAAAAAGGTGTGGGAACTATGTTAGATTTTTTTTTTATTCATGCAGTGTAAAAAGAACTGTGGAGTTTGAATAACTATCCACCCTGTCTATAAAAAGCCAATGGTGTGAGAATTTCCTATCCATTATAACTTCTTTCTTTTTCCTAACGTTAAAAAAAAAAAATAACCTTACAAAAAATGAATAATCAAATAACTGCTTTGAATGAACATGCTCCTGCTCGTAAGTATGATGATGATGATGATGATGATGATGATGAAAATTGATCCTTCTTTTTTTTAAATAGAAATGGTTGGAGGTATGCGTGTAAAACAAGCCAATCATCGACGTACCTCATTATCTGAAGCCAAGAAAGCAGCATCTGCAGAAGAAGATATAGAATCATCTGAAGAAGATCAACAACAAATGGAAGAAATGGAAAAAAGAAAACAAGAACAAATAAGACAAGAAAATGCCATGCGTAGTCATCAAGCTTCTCGTGATATGAATATTTCTCGAAATGCTGGATCCCATGTGAAAGCAAGAATTGATCCTTCTTTCCAACCTAGAGATTTAAATCATTAATTAGTTAGTTAGTTAGTGGATGATTTGGATTTGATGAAACATTGGATAAACAGGCGTGTGAATTTGTATTGTATGTAATTTCCATCCATCACTTTTTATCAATAGCAAGAGTAAAAATGTAAATAAATAAATAAAAAAAAAAGGTCTTTTTTTTTCTTTTAGTATCATCTTGTTACTATCAAATATTGAATGAATTTGCCTTATGCAAAAGTGGGATGAATGATGGGATGATCGGAAAATGAACGTGGCAAAGCCACCTAGTCTAATTTTTGTCCCTCACAGTATACCATTACTGACGGGCTTGAAAATTTTTTTTTTTTCATTGTATGAAAAAGACAAAAAAAAAAAAAAAATAAAGCCTCTTTCTTTCTCTTTTATTTTATAATTCACGGTGCAAATATGGTCGCTTTGTAAGTCTTCTTCTTAAAAATATTTCCTTGTTTATTTACTATTTATTATCGTGTTATAAATAACTCTTACTCCTTCATTTATATACTAATCTTTTGTTTGATCTATTGTTATTATTAAATGATAGCAACGTTCCTTCCACCAACGACGTTCTCGTCCCCGAAACTCTCTTGAAGAAGCAAGCTGCTGCTGCCAAGTCTGCTGCTGAAACTGCTGCCAAGAAGGCTGAACTTCGCAAGGTAAATAAATCGAATATTATTGAAGATGAGGAAACTTTTTAGACTTTATTGCTTTTATACGCGATGATGTTTTTATAGTGAAATCAATGATAATGAAAGAGTGACAAACCTATGATATTAATTTCTTTATATATATATATAGGCCAAGATCCAAAAGCGTCGTGAATTGTTCAACCGTGCTGCCAAGTACCAAAAGGAATACCAAGCCAACGAACGTAACCAAATCCGTCTTCGTCGTCAAGCCAAGGCCTCTGGTAACTACTATGTTGAAGCTCAACCCAAGTTGGTTTTCGTTGTTCGTATCCGTGGTATCAACAACATTGCTCCCAAGCCTCGTAAGGTCCTTCAATTGTTGCGTTTGTTGCAAATCAACAATGGTGTCTTTGTCCGTCTCAACAAGGCCACTTCTCAAATGCTCCAATTGGTTGAACCTTATGTTACTTATGGTGAACCCAACTTGAAGACCATCCGTGAATTGATCTACAAGCGTGGTTATGCTAAGGTCAACAAGCAACGTATTGCTCTTTCTGATAACGCCATCATTGAAAAGGCCCTTGGCAAGTACAACATCATCTGTGTTGAAGATTTGATCCACGAAATCGCTACCGTTGGTCCCCACTTCCGTGAAGCTAACAACTTCTTGTGGCCCTTCAAGCTCTCTAACCCCAACAACATGTGGCCCAAGCGCAAGTTCAACCACTTCATCCAAGGTGGTGCTGCTGGTGACCGTGAACACTTCATCAACAACTTGGTCCAATCCATGAACTAAAGGTTATAGTTTAGTCCTCCCTTGGTTTAGTTTTTTTTATATATTGTTTGGTAATTTATTAGTACTTGACTTTTAGAAATAAAAATAAATTTGGGGACTATTACTTCATTGTTATTTTTGACGTGATGTTTGAAAGGATATAACAAAAGAGGGAGAGAGAAAAAAAAAAAGTGATTATATTTAATACTTTAGGGACGCACTTGTATAAAGCATCAACAACCATTCATTACTCATTATTCATTATTCATCAATCAATTCATCCCATCATTCAACTGACATTATTCAATCATCTATTTTCTAACGTCCAGCATCAATAAAACCATTTTATTTGATATCGTATCGGGGAGGAATAAAAAATAATCAATGGATAAAGGAAAATACTACAAAACTACAAAAAAAAAAAAAAAAATAGTGGGGATGATCCTATAATTTGGAGATATTGAATGAATGGATAACATGCTTAGCGATACCATAGCTAACAGCTTCAGTAGACACCATTGGATTGACACCTAGAAAAATAGTAATCAGAAACAAAAAAAAAGATGATGAGAAAAACTAGATTGTTTTCCATATCATCACATCTTACCAGTACTAGTGGGAAAAACAGAAGCATCAGCAACAAACAAGTGTTTGACTTCATGAGTTTCACCATAAGGATTGACGACAGAGTTCTTTGGAGAAATACCCATACGACTTTTTTTTTTTTTAAAAAAAAAAAAAAAAGTATCAGTAAATTGACAGATCTTTTCTTTCCCTTAATTTATACTTTACCAGGAACCCATCAAATGTGCCGAAGCCAAACCTTCAGGAATACCAAAACGTTGTAATTGATCTAACCAGGCAATAAATCGAGGATGATTGACATGAGCCTCTTCACCAACTTCAAAGACAAAGGGAGGCATACGAGGATCACTAGTATGCAATTCACGTGCCCCTTCTGCCACAAGTACCCGGTAACCAGCAACAAGTCCAGCCATCACAGAATTAGCATCATGCTTTGAAATCTTGAAATCCACTATGACTTCACCTTGCTCATCATAACTAACCGATGCCACCGAGTCCTTATCACGCACAAGTACTACAAGAGGTACAAAGTTACGATATTCCAACATCAATTGTTTATGTTCTCTAGCACCTCGCCATGGCATCAAACTAGAGAAGAGACCTATTAAAAAAAAATGAAGGTAAAAATAAAAAAAAAAAAAAGAGTTCAACTTTATTACCTGGATGAACACCACCTACTTCAAGTTTGGCACCATAATAATCACCTTGACAGTTTTCAGCTACATTACTGATGGCAGTCATAATAGAACTATTCCAAGTGTCTACAGCGTAATCCATCTTGCCAGAACAGAAAGAGACAGGATGCACACGTAAATGATGACCAATATTGGGATTCTTCAAACCACTACGTTTCAATACACCAGGTGAATGTAATGATCCAGCAGACACAACGACACGATCAGCACGAATACGAATTTTCTGTTGAGAATTGTGAATTAGACATTCCACACCAATAGCCCGATCATGTTCGGTCAACACACGCAATACACGAGTACGATCCAAGAAATGAGCACCATGATGGGCCGCATCACGAAGCCAGGTATTCATTGTTCCATTCTTGATACCATCCTTACATCCAGTATAGCACCAGTGACATGGATGTAATTTTCCACCTGTGTTTTGAGGAATATTATCATAGTGATACCCGAGTTTCCTAGTTTGGAATATAAAAGATGTTATTAATAAACTATTTGTTGTTTTTTTTTTGTCCCCCCACATTACTTGCATCCATTGATTAAAATTTGATTGGGCTTGTTGTGACGAATACCACTTGTTTCTGCACCTATTCTTTCACACACACGATCAAGATCCTCCGCAAACTATCAAATAAGATTTCCTATTAGTAAACGATATCCATTGAAAAATACCCACACACACATAGAATGTTCATTGGTCCATATTTTTTTTTACCTTTGGGGAAGTATAATAAGTAAGACCTTGTTTTGCCCAATCTTCTCGTACAAAATGTTGAGGCTATATGATAAAATAAAATTGAGTAGGCATGTGATTCGTAAAAAAAAAAAAAAAAAAAAAAAATTAGAATGTTATTTTATTGAAATAAGGTTCTTTCTTATTTTGCAAGTGTTACCTTCAAAGAAGCGGACCAGTTGACAGTAGTAGATCCACCAAAAACACTACCAGCCAACATACCCAAAGAACCATCAGAAGAAGGAAAGACGCCACCCTTTTCATACAATTGTTCAAACCCTTTGGATTCACACAAATCAAATTCAGTTTCATGATAATACTTGCCTTTTTCAATCACCAAAACACGTTTGCCAGCACTAGCCACTTGAGCAGCAATGACACCACCACCAGCACCACTTCCAATCACAATCACATCATAATGCAAGTCAGGTTGAGTAGCTTCGGCATAAGATAACATGACTAGTCGTTCAGGATAATGACCTTGAGGAGGAACATAATCAGGCAAACTACGAATAGGATCTTTGGTAGGGAACCCGAGTATTTGATGGAGAGGTTGGCCTTGAAGAGCAAAATAAGTCACTCTCATGGAAATCGCTGCCAATCCTCGAGCTAGAGATCGTAGCATAGCAAATCGAGAGTGTTGCCAGTCAGTAATCAATTTACCACGTTGTTTGAGTGTGAGATCGGCAAATCCAGTCCAATGTTTTCCTTGAGAAAGCAATCCCATCGTTGAACCTTGAGATAACCACTGTAAGATCTTGAGAAATTTTTCTTGGTCGGCCTTGTTCATGCCAAGTTCAATGTATCTCAAAGCTTCATCCACTGCATGCCAATCGTCATGTAATTGAGAGAGTGAGGTGGCACTCACTTTGGCTAATGTGCGAACTTGGTCTTCTGTTATTGTCAATGGAGCAATCCGCTGGAAATGACCTACCATCTTTTCCGTATTCTTGTCGTCCAACTTGCAAATAAACGTATCCAATACTGAAGACAAAGTCTGTAATTGACCCTCTGAAAGTTGAGAATGTAAAGTACTTTTGGTCATATTAAAAGGGAATATAAGATTCAATATAATGAAAAAAAAAAAAGAAAAAGAAAAGAGAGAGAGAAAAGAGAGAGAGAAAAAAAAAAAAAAAAAAAGAGCTTAAAAAGGGAAAGTGGAAGAATGACGGAGCTTCGATTCCAGCATGGAACTTGGCGTCGATATGTCAACAATTGCTCTAATGAATCATTATTCAACAAGTAGATATTGTATATATAAAGTATTAAAATGATCAACTAATCCTAAAAAAAAAAAAATCAAAGTTTGGCTGTTTACTTTCATATATATTCGAATAAAACTATTCTCAAACCACATTTGAACAGGGAAGTTTAATAACATCCCCTCATCGAAAGAAGATGATTCATCGGAGTATCAACCGCTACAATACCTTTTTCAGGAACACTGTTTTTAAGGTTTTCACTATCAATGCATCAGTATTAAAAAAAAGAACGCGCTTACAATGCGTAGCATGATCCAGATTTGTTTTTGAAAATAAAAAGTTTAGAAAAGTAAAGAACTATACTTTATGAAAATAAAATAAAATAAAATAAAAACAAAAATGTGGTCATCAAAATAAAATACCGTAACACCAACTATGTACAGTAGCACGTAAAAAGGCGTATATAAAGAGATATATAAAAATAAGTTCAAAAGTGTAGATACTTTGTCTTTTTTTTTTATACAAAATATATATATGTTTCCTTTGTCCTGTCCTTATACTAAGAGTAAGATGAAGAAAAAGAAGGAAAAAAAAGGATACGTTAACGCACCTTAGAAATATTTCAAATATAAGCATTGAATAAATTTAATAGTATCTATAATCCTTTTCTACAAGTTAGATCATGATCATATTCTAAAATTAAAGTTTATGAAGAACAAGCCTTATCAGCGATCATTCTCTTTTCAAGTGACACCAATTATCGAAAACATTTGTTTTTGTTCTATCAAATTGTAGAATGTGCGCCCACTACTTCCAAAGCCTTTGCGTAAATAAATCAGGATATGTATAAAATAAAATGAATGCATTCATAAGTAAAAAAAGTACATTTGTACTCTGTGCAGCAGTAGGAGCGTAAAAATAAAAATAAAAATAAAAAACTTTATTGAATAAAAAAAGTATATAGACTATACTAAAAGTCAATTGAAAGAAAAGAAAGAAAAGTAACTGTTATGCTCATGAAAAAAAGGAGTATTTGACTCTCAGTGAACTCAAATTTTATTAGTTAAGGGATCATCCCCTTTTATTCTTTTCTTCTCTTTACTACTTACTTTTTCTTTTACCAAAAACAACATCATCATCATCACTAATTTGCAAATAATAATAATAATAATAAAAAAGATAAGGATTGTTCGAAAGACAACAACAAAAAAAAAAAAAAAAAAAAGCGTGGGACCAATATTTTACCTGTAACATTGTACACCTACCAAACAACTAAAACAAGGACCAATAAAATACTCTTATGGAATCTACACCGTGCATCAAACACTTGGCAACTGTCTCATTAAATCATATCAAGCTGCTGATCCAAAAACCTAAAAAACGTGGTGCATCGTAACTGACTCAATTTGTATCATGTGTCTGATGTTTCCTGGAATCAATCCTTTGAACGAACAAATGGAGATGATCTACCAAAAAAAAAAAAAAAAAAAAAAAAAAAAAAAAAAAAAACTTTATAAGCCATCATCAAAAAAAAATTTTTTTTATTCATCATCAATCGAAATGAACAACACTTCTCTTTATACCTTGAATAAATCCAACTTGAGTCCCGATTGGCCTACAGCACTTAACACCTTCTTGAACCCGCAAACGCTTGAACTACATATCACTGTTGGTAACCAAGTCATCGACACACAATCTCCTTTTGATGATACAACAGAAGAAAGCTGGCCTGTTTCAAGTCGAAATGAATTCATAATACATCCTTTCCTGAATCCTAATCAGCCTGTCAAGGACGCAGAAGATTTGCTACTGTTGGCAATCCCCACCTATGTATACCATATAAAAATGATTAACGATCAGAAATATGAAATACAAAAACAAGAGGAAGAATACCTGATACCAACCGCTTTGAATGCCATACATAAAAGGTTCACTTATCCTCCCACAACAGAGAAACGCGACACGTATGCTCCAAGGAAAGAGATGAATGGATACGCCAACTGCTTCGACACAACATGCCCAATAATACGTTGAGACTGTTTTTGAGGACAATATACGATGGAGACCATCTTCTTGATGGGCGTGGGAAGTCAAAAAGAATTATGTATGTGATACGGTGATTGAATTTTTTTTTTACTTTTTCTTGAAATTTCACTTATTCCTTTTTACTACCTCTCTTCGAATATTAAATTCAATTATCCTTTTTCTTTACCATTATCACCTTAATCAAAAAAAAATTATATTTATTATTATCAAGTACAAATTATCTTTTATTTTCTTATTTCCGCTAGACCTGTCTAGTAAGTATATTTTTTTTTGTTATGATTTTTTTTTATATACTTTACTAATAATAAACTTTTCTGGCCCCAAAAAGGCAGTATTTATATCACTATAATTTTATTTCACATCAACTTGTATTAGTTTTTTTTTTTTTTCATTTTCATTTTCATTTCTTTTCTTCAATCAATATAATCATCTTTTTTTTTTTTAATAAAAAAAGATCTTAACAGCCCTACTTCACTGTATTGTGGATTATTCTCTCTGATTGGCTCAACCCCTTTTTTTGAAGTCAGACTAGGAACTTCGTATTTCTTTCAAATTTGGTGTTTATTTTACTACTTTACTTTTCTTTTTTATTTTATCTCTTTTCCTATACGCGTGCATGCATAATCAAGTACTGGTGCTCACTATAAACATTTTAAACAATCAATCATCGCATTCTCAAGAAAACCAAAAAAAGGCCATGGATAAGAAAATCATCGAAGATATACGACAATGGAAACCTCCTTTTTTCCCCTTGTAATCAATCTGTTACATGATCACCTGGAACCACCAACAGATAACATTAGTCGTCAAAGATGTGTAAAGGAACGCAATCGTTTTCTTCATCGCTTGTTGGGGGATGTAATGCCTTCCGCTATGGAATACTCCTTCGTCAAGAAAGTAAAACGCAGGGATACCTGGACAAAGAAAATAAAATGGGGACCATTTTTATTTGGGGCGTGGGTTGTCGTATAAAAAAGAAAAATAAATAAAAAAAGTTTTTTTTAGATACGATTTTTCTACCTTTTTCCTTTTTTTTTTTTTTTATCTCAGTGATTTAGTTCCATCATATATTTTATCTTTTCGTATTTTCCAAAATCTTCACCCTCTGTCCATCCAACAAAAAGAGTATAAATAGCCCAACTTTTTCCTTTTTTTTTTTTTTTTTTTTTTTTTAGTCTTTCAGTTAATTTGATTATTATTTTTTTAAATAAATCTTTACTTTTTATCCCTACTTGATTCTATTGTGGATTATCATTTTTGATTGGCTCACTTTGTTCTTTATTTCACTACTTTACTTTTCTTTTTTGTTTTATCTCTTTTCTTATGCGTGTGCTTGCGTAATCAAGTACTGGTGCTCACTATAAACATTTTAAATAATCAATCATCTGTTGAAAAAAAAAAAATTATTAAAAAAAAAAAAAACGAGACGTATAAGAAAAACAAACATAATGATGACATCCATTAATAATACTTCCCTTGATGACTTCTTGCCTCTGGATCAAAGTCTTGTAAATTCTTCGTGGATTACCGATTCTTCTGCTCCCCAGGTGAACACTAAGGAATTTTCCACCATGTTAGACCCATTCACTCTTGACCTCCATACGGTGATTAACAATCAAGTAATCGACACGCAGCAACTGTTTGTTCCTGACCAAGTAACTGACGACATCGTTTCAAATGAAGTATCTAAAGCAGATACTGAAAAAACAGACAAATGGCCCAAAATGGCATCTGACAATTGGGCGTATCCGTTTCTTCGTCCAAACCAACCTTTCAAATTAACTGCCAAGGATTGTCGTATCAGCGTATTCCATAACGATATGCGTAAAATAAAACTAAAGAATGCATTCACAAACAAAGAATAAAAAAATACATTGTAAGAAGGAATCAATTACATTGACGTGTAACAAAGTAGTTGGAATAAAAATAAAAGTTTTATTAAATAAAAATATAACGACTAAAGACTAGTAATTGATATACTATAACTAAAATTGTTTTAAAGAAAGGAAAGAAATAAAAAGAAAATAAAAATTATCGCATATCTAAAAAATAAAAAAAAAATAAAAGTACGGACTTCGAAAGTTATATGCTCCTGTTCTTTTGATACTATCAAGAAAGATATAAATCAATGTATAAACGTTCCAGGGCAACTAATATAATGAATCATTACACATATGAAGATAACATCACATCAATGAAAAAATAAAATACTAATAAGATTATACGCCCTGTATAACAGTATTACAAACCAAAACAGAAAAAAAAAAAAAAAACAAAAACAAAAATAAAATTTGATCACCAATCATAAATATAGTATGATGATACCAGTATTACGTATCACTCACTACGTACTTATATATAAGACCAGCAAAACTCTTTGTGTAGATACTTTGTCTCTTTTTTAATCATCTTTTAAATAAAAAGAAATCTCACAGACTTGTTCTCGTCTCCTTTTTTTTATTTTTTATTTTTACACATTATTATCAACATTAACACCAATTCGACAACCTTCCAAATTTGGAACAAGACTTTATTTTTCTTTACTTTTTGTTTTATTTTATCTCTTTTATTATACGTGTGCTTGCGTAATCAAGTACTGGTGCTCACTATTTTACTTATTATCTATCAATCATCTGAATTACTTTTTCAATTTTTGCCTTAACAACCAAAAAATCACTTAACAGAACCAAGTGTTAAGAAACAAAAAAAAATTTTATATATATATATATATATATATTCTTACCGTTGTCACACTTTGTGACATCCAACTATTTTTTACTCAAGTTTACATCATATTTTTTCTTACCAAAGTTTAACATCGTACTTTTTTGATCATCAGTCTGAACCGAGGTTTAGACCTCGGTTCAGGAAAATAGTATAAATAGCCCAACATTTTCCTTTATTTTTCTTTTTTGGCAGTCAATAATTTATATATTTTTTAATAATAAAAATCTTCTTAACATCTCATCTCAATTGTATTTGTGGATTATCTCTTTTGATTGGCTCACTTTGGTCTTTATTTTACTATACTCTTTTTTTTTTTTTTTTTTTTTACCTCTTTTCCTATACGTGTGCTTGCATAATCAAGTACTGGTGCTCACTATAAACATTTTAAACAATCAATCATCGCATTCTCAAGAAAACCAAAAAAAGGTCATGGATAAGAAAATCATCGAAGATATACGACAATGGAAACCTCCTTTCAAGCTTGGTGACATAGTGATATTGTATACTGGAATCAAAGCTAATTCATGGGCAGGAAAAATATCTGACATGTGGGATGGAATTTACGTTGTACATCAAACACTTGGCAAGGGAACCTATCTCATTAAACCATATCAATCCACTGATCCAAAACTTAAACGAGTGCATGGTAACCGACTAAAGTTGTATCAGCTGCCTGATGTTTTTTGGAATCAATCTGTTGACCGCATCCTTGGAGATGATCTATAAAAAAAAAAAAAAAAAAAAAAAAAAAAACCATAAAAGAGTCAAAAAAAAAAAATACACATAACATCTTTTATCTATTCTCTTTAAATACCTTTAACAAAATGGCTGGCTCTACTACGCAATTTGTGCTCGATGATTATACTTTTCTTGATCCTGAAAATTTCAATTTTTGTACAAGCGTGGGGAATGAGGTGACCGATGAGAGACCTCTCTTTGGTGAAGAAAACTCTTGTCCTAATACAAATAACGATGATACTTCGTCTGGCAGCACCTTGAATGAAATGCAAGAAACTAATGACTTGAATGTCGACAAACACCCGTTCTTCATACCAACAAGTCCCTTCGTGTGCACCACTGAGGATATGATACAACTTCTTCAATTAATCATGCCTTCGTACCTATACAAACTGTCTATAATAAAGGATAAGCAACAATCTCTTCTCAAGGAAGAACAGGAAAATCTGGTGCCACTTGTTATTCACTTACTTCATGACCACAGTGAGAAACCTACGGACCAACATACTTTGCAACAATACTTGAAGGAGAGAAGTCGCTATCTCCACCAACTCCTTGGGGACTTAATGCCTGCAACGACGAAGCATGCCTTCATCAAGAAAATCAAGCGTAAAGACACCTGGGTCAAGAATTAAATGGGGACCATTTTTCCTTGAGGTGTGGGTTGTCATGTATATATATATTTATATAAAAAATAAAAAAATAAAAAAAAAAAATAAAAAATAAAATTTTTTAAGTACGCTTTTCCTCCCTCTTTACCTCAGTGACTTGTACCAACCACATAAATTAAAAACCATACCAGTCCCACAAAAATCACGGGTATTTAGGTCCCGCTACGTGTGCCTAAAAAAATAAAATAAAAAAAAATGAAAAATGTCATATTTCTTTTTTCTTTCTTTTTCTCTTTCTCTCCATTTTCATATTTCTTTTCCTTTTTTATATCTCTTTCTCTTACTTTCCTCCATTGCAAACGACTCACCATTAGTAAGTATGTCTAACATTTATTAACTGATGCTTTCTTCTCCTTTCCTCTTTTTTATCATTAGACAAGTATATCAAGATAAACTTTAGGTAACAAGGTTACTTTTTTTTTATTTTTTTTTTTATATAAAGTGAAAACAATGCAGCTGATACTTTCTTTTTTACATATTATAGTAATTACTCAATCTATTCAACTTCTACTTATTCTGCATTAGACAAGGCGATATCAAGATAAACTTTAGGTAACAAGGTTACTCTTTTTTTTATTTTTTTTTTTTTTATAAAGTGAAAACAATGCAACTGATACTTTTTTATTTTATAGAAATCAACGAAGCGTTGGATATGGATGGATTATGCATATTAGATAGCTTGGAATAACGACAGTAGTGATGGTAGTGATGATTTTTTGTATGAATTGAATAAAACTGAATGGATGAATGGATGATACGAAGACTATTTTATTATACAATTATTACAAATATCTAGTGTATTCGTTCCAGTGGCCATATGTTTGGCGGGTGGTCCTTGCATTTCGAAACGTTAGCACTTGATGGAGATATTCATCACGATCCTCTGCGCTTTGAAATACCCGTGATTGTACCAGAGGTAACCGAGAAGAGTATTCTGTTGCCAACACTTCCTCTCTTTCTTGATCTTCTTGGACTTGCCGCATCAGCTCCTCTATTTGTCGTTGCTTCTCTTGGCGACTTCGACGAATGCGTTGCAGCTCTAGTTCAGCTTGTCGATAGTATACTTCTTCATCAACTGCAATACGAGGCTCCAGGGAAATTGGGGATTCATCATCACTTATGACAACAACATCATGTCGGATGATCGGTGAATTGGAGGGCGAAAAGGTCAATGGCGATTGAGATATATAGGACGACAGAGTGAAAGACGTAGAATTGGATGGAGACAGGAGATTGATTCGTCCAGGATGAAAAATAGCGTGGGCGGCAATCTACAGTATAGTTAGTTTTAGTTGTTTATGTCAAATATTGAAATAAAGTACCCTTTTTTTTGCCATCCTTCCTTTATACGTATATATATATTTATATCTTTTTTTTTATTATAGTACTGTACTTACGGCGCGATCAATGATGATGTTTGTCAATGCCTCTGGGACTAGGACAAAGGGAGGACAAACGTTATGAAGGCGAAGCATAGGAGGCTCTATGCGACGTTCGATAAAAAATTGACCAGAGCGAATACGGCCTACACCACTTTGGTTTACGAGATGCTTACAAAGTAAGAATCTGCTCTCTACGAAAACAGGACAGCCACAAACCCAAAGATTCAAATTTGTATCATAGTCAGCGCGAGGAGCATCTGCCTGTTGGATGCATTGATTCCATGTTGATACAAACTGTCGTTCCCAGCTAAACCTGTCACGTCTTTCGATGACCTTTTGGTTATACAAGTCCAAGAGATCTCGACAATGCCGTCTGATGATGATGTACACTAGAAAATCGAGCCTAGGTCGATTGTGATGATATAGATGATTGCGCTTTAGCACCCGCCAGTGAGATTCTACCAGCATGGTGGACTTGCCATTGGGGATTAAATGAGGCTGGCTTGATCTTGCCCACAGGATCCACTTGTTGTACGTATACCAGTTTCTATATAGGTATGCCCATACATTAGGGATGTTGTTGTTGACGCAAAACGTGTATGCTTCAAAGGTTGATTGACGGTGGATAAGAGCAGAGTTGATGACTACGTTCCCTAAAAAAAAAAAAAAAAAAAAAAAAAAAAAAAAAAAAAAAAAAAACACACACACACACACAAACGTGTTATTCCAAAAAAGGTAATATGTATGTTGCCTTTGTCCTTAGGCTTTTTTTTTTTTTTTTTTTTTTTTACCTTGAGGTATGAGAGGATGCAGACAATAATGTCTAGTCATCATACGCTTGATTTGTTTTCGCTTTTCTTTGTTGCATAGGTTAGCGTTCCCTTGAGGTGCCTGAGGAGCGAAGGTCAAATCAATAAAATCGAACTCGTCTTGTGGATTTAATGACTCATATACTGGTGGAAGAACTGTTCTCTGTGGTCTTGATAAAAATTGCTCTACTGCTCGACTAATGTGCCAAAGACAAAGCTGAACCTTCCTTTCACTCCATGTTTCACTGATTGCTGCAATTTCCGCACTATCTTTATCACAAAACATAAAAACTGGTTGGATACCATTATCGCGGATTACTTCCAGGAATTTCTTCAGGGTAGCAACCTTCCATCCATGATGATCATCATTAACGTCGGTTTCATCATCATCATTACGTATATGCTTGCAAAGCATGTATGCGATAGGAAATCCAGCGCCGTTGATGTTTGCAATCACCGCAAATAGTTCACAATCATTACGATTCGTCTTGAAAGTGGAGTCAATATGATATTCGGTAACGTATCGGGATGAATTGGCACAAATGTTAAAGAACTGTGTCTTGAAACCAAAACCTTGCCAGTTATTTTCAATAGCCCAAAACAACTTGAAAATAAAAAAAAAAAAAAGATTATTCACCAATATAAAAGGTAAGAAAATAAAAAAAAAAAGATTATTCACCAATATAAAAGGTAAGAAAATAAAAAAAAAGATTATTCACCAATATAAAAGGTAAATCATATATAAAATATATCCTTTCTTTTTAGCTACCTCTTCAAAGCCGTTGTTGTTGTTTTGCTGGATCAAAATACGAGCGGAAATAAATTGATCATCGTGATGTTCATAATGCTGTCGAAGATAATGATGATACCACTTGTAGACTTGAGCCTGCGTTATCATAGGCGCTCCACCAAACTCTTGACGTATGTTCCGGAAAAGATGGGCAGAATCCAAGTTGAGAGCATGTCGTTCGATGTATTCCCTAATTGCCAACGGTGTCTCGTTTCTTTCAGTAAAAACAGAGCACTGATGCTGAAGACGATGATTGTACGTCACATGAACCCATAACTGCTCCCTATCGAAAAATCCAGTAACTTTCCCTTTGCAGTTATATGTGTTCATCCGGCAGGTTAAACGCTGTTGGAGTTCTTCTGGTAATTGCCGTTGTATTGTCTGGTCTTGGACACAGTATGCGTGAAAAGAAATGGATTGCCGCAGGACAGGATCACCAGTCTTCTTTAAAGCAAAATGATACCCTGAAATTTCTTCAAACCGATGTATCACCTCCTCAATGATCTGATCATCCGTATAATTTTCTATAACTTCTTCACTCATTGCAATATCCCAATCGAACTTTACTGGTCCGTTATTGCTAATGTGCTCTGTAGCATAATGTATATCCAAGCTATCCATGGATATCATCGAGTCCATAGAAGGCGCAAGGCGAGGAGGAGTCTGTCTATATCGGCAGCAGGTACAGGTGTTGTATGTTTGAGTTCTACCAACGTAGTCTTGTCTGTGCCTGTACGAGCCGCAACCAGAGCATTGAATAAAAGCAGATATATCCATATTGTAAGTAAATAAAAAGTGTATATAGTTGTTATAATAACAGTGAAAAAAAAGAAGAGTATATTGACAAGATAAGAATCGTTTTATTGATAAGTAGCTTGATATTTATACTAATGTTTCTATATAGTGATAAGGAAGGTAAATATAATAATAATAAAGGGGTAAATATATTAAAGGGATATATATACTAATAACTACCAATTGTTAAGATCTAATGTATAAGAAAGGAAAGAAGAAAAGGGAGAAAGGAAAAAGAAGGAAAGAGTCTCAAATAAAAATTCAGTGTGTCGCCAGCTCCCGAAATTCAGATCAGTCACACCAGGCATATCACATTTGAAAAATCGTCCAACTTGGATATGTATAAAAATCTAATATTAGCATGATGAAGCAGTTTAAAGAGGTGCAGAAGCCTTTTGTATGTTACAAATCCCTTCTCGTTATGTATCCATTCCTTCTATCATCCACTCATCCATTCAGTTTTATTCAATTCATACAAAAAATCATCACTACCATCACTACTGTCGTTATTCCAAGCTATCTAATATGCATAATCCATCCATATCCAACGCTTCGTTGATTTCTATAAAATAGAAAAGTATCAGTTGCATTGTTTTCACTTTATAAAAAAAAAAAATAAAAAAAAAGAGTAACCTTGTTACCTAAAGTTTATCTTGATATCGCCTTGTCTAATGCAGAATAAGTAGAAGTTGAATAGATTGAGTAATTACTATAATATGTAAAAAAGAAAGTATCAGCTGCATTGTTTTCACTTTATATAAAAAAAAAATAAAAAAAAAGTAACCTTGTTACCTAAAGTTTATTTTGATATACTTGTCTAATGATAAAAAAGAGGAAAGGAGAAGAAAGCATCAGTTAATAAATGTTAGACATACTTACTAATGGTGAGTCGTTTGCAATGGAGGAAAGTAAGAGAAAGAGATATAAAAAAGGAAAAGAAATATGAAAATGGAGAGAAAGAGAAAAAGAAAGAGAAAAAAGAAATATGACATTTTTCATTTTTTTTTTTATTTTATTTTTTTAGGTACACGTAGCGGGATCTAAATACCCGTGATTTTTGTGGGACTGGTATGGTTTTTACATAAATTATCTTTTTGAAACTCCATGATTCAATCTATCATCCTATCACTTTTATCCACATATCACTTTTATCCTTCTATCACATTTATCCTTTCTATCACTTTGACCTTTTTACTTATTCTTTTTTTATATAAATAGCCCAACTTTTTATTTTATTTTTTCAGTTCAGTCAATATTTTATATATTTTTTAAATAAATCTTTCCTTTTCATCC